ACGATTGTTTGGTATATAAAACTCTAATGTCTGTCAGAGTTTGAAAATTATATGTTAATATTAAAGGGAGTTACGGAGTGAGTCGTGTGCGTAGCTCTGGAGTAGAAATTTATCCGTTTTTCAGCTATTATTCCCTCTCTGCCAAAGAAAAATAATTATATGTATATATATATATAACACCTTATTCACGTTTAAATATCGAAAAAAAAAATTTTAAAAAATCAAATCAAGTAAGTAGAAAAAAAAATTAAAAATTAATGCGTGACCAGGACCGAACCCCTGATCACCGAGTCTACAAACTTCTTTACCCATAGCGCTAACAACCACACCACGACTCACACGTTGCTTCCACGAATATATAGCTTAAAGAACTTCCTTCTGGTTAATTAACAAAATCTATTTTGGCCGTTTATGTGCCCCCTAATTAGTGTATAAAAATTCCCTTTGGTGCGATTGTGTGGTTTATAAAACTCTAATTTCTGGCAGAGTTTGAAAATTATAAGTTAATATTAAAGGTCTGCAGAGTTCGTGCCACTGCGCGCTGGTACGTAAACACTTGTTTCACCCGAATAAATATACGTTTATTAATTTATGTCCTTTAAAGAAACTGATATTAAGTCAATTATTAAAAAAAAAATCACAAATTTTACGTACTTAATTAGGTATGTGTGATTCGCGTATTAAGAACGGTTTTTTCTCGACCCCCAATCGAGCCTTCCGATTCGGATCGACTCCCATTCGACCCCGTGACTCAGATTGACCCCGCTTTTGTCAAATAATCCCCTGGGGGTCTATATAGACCTCTTTGGCAACCTCTGGTCTAGACCCTCAATGTTTGATTTTTAATACACCAAGAGCAATCTGTCATTGGTAATTACTATCAACATCTAATTGTCTTATTTAATAAAGCATTTGATAATATGACATGGTATCGAAAAAGTTTGGTATCGAAAAGTGGTACCAATGACATGGTATCGAAAAGTGGTACCGCCAAAGTTTTAAGTGCTCAACTTTGTTTTGTGTAAAAAAATGTACAAGGAGTGCAAGGGAATTAAAAAAAATTAACGTTAGATTATTAGTTACAGAACTGTTGAATTTGTGGTAAAAAGTACCAATGCAATTACAGACTTGAAATTTGACGTTAAAACGTTTATATTTGAAAGGGCCGTTTTTGTTAATGAACTTAGCTAGCCCGAGATTTTTCTAAAAATTTTAAGTTGTTCAACAGTATTGACTTAATTATTACTACAGAAATGTATATAAAAATATACAAGGAGTGCTATGGGATAAAAATATACGGGAAAATGCTACCCTGAAAGGTTAACAAAAAATTCGTACTTCTTACTTTTTTTTTTTGGAATGCAACGAATGTTAAATATTCTCCTTTCGTTTTTTCTTTCTTTTCTTCTTTTTTTAAATTTTTTTTATTGGATTACTAATAAAGGGCCTCGACTCCCAGAATATTCAATTTCTATTCATTATCAGACGAAATTTGCTGGTTAACACGCTATTTGTGGGATAATGAGAAATGGTGTCTTCATCTTAACTGTAAATTTATTTAATTCTTTTTCATATTTATTTCACAAATCGTTCATTAATTATTTTATTTATTAAAGTAGAAAATTTTAATATAAAATCGTTAAATCAGTAATATATAGGTGAAAAAATAATATGTTGCAAAAATGTTAGCAACAAAATAAAATGAAATTTTTTTATTGTATCAAGTGAATTATATTTTCATATTCATATACTTATATGCTACAAAGATGACGGCTTTTTAAATTACTTTTTCACACTTGGCAAATAAATATATTTCGAAAGATTTCAATAAAATTAAATTCAATATTCCGCCAGTTTTGCTGAATTAAATATTACGTTGTTCATTTTTAGAATTATAAATAAATGAAATTGTTTAGAATTTTATTGCTTATATACATGAGAATTACTTCACTTTGGTTGTAGCAAGTCTAATTCCTTAGCTGCTAGTAAGCATGATTTTATTAAAGATTAGACTTTCAAAACTATGCTTGTTTGCTATGTTAAACAAATCATGCGTGTTTCTTAACTCTTGCTCTTTTTCAATATATTTTTTTTCTAGTGGTAATGAAATAAAAATAATGAAATAAACTGTACGAAGAAATTTCTTAAATTTCTCTAAAATCACATTAATGATTATCAGATAATTCATATATGTTTAAATTAATTAGATATAATGATAATGTACAAGAAAATTTCATTTTAACTTGTTTTCTTGATCAATTATTTATAGCTGGTATTTCTTTGCCGCTCTTGACGCTATTTTATTGAAATGCAAAGAACAATCGTAGAAGCCTTTTTTTGATTCAGTCAAATTAGAAATTTCATTCGGCCAACTACAGATTTCCCTCTCCCAAAAATATAAGTGCAAGTGCATTGTCGCGTTATCAGGGGGGCATTACCATGTAGTCAGTGCGGAAGCAGTTTCTGCGGTTTGCGGTAAAATACTGCAAACAACTCCGATTGCTCCAAAAAAGAAAAAGAAGAAGTCAGTAAGATTATATACTGAGATCTCGAAAATCGAAGTACATAAGTTTAACAGATAGGAAGCAAGATTTCCCAACTTGATTAATATCTTTCTTCCCCTTTGTGAAATCTGTCCTTTGTATTTCAAATTAGCTAAAATAAATATGCCTTCGATTTCCGATTAAGTTTCATCTGCCACAACAACTTAACAAACGAATAAGATGAAACGGGGAGAACAATATATAATATCAAAATTCATAGATGAAACAAGCTTTCAAACTCTCTTACAAGCGCTTTCTCCTTCCATCATCGGTTTGCTTGATAAAGAATTTGAGGAGGTGGAAGAAAAAAAACGATTTTTCAAAACAAACTATTTTTGTATTCATAATAATATAGAGGATAATATAGATTATGGCTTTCCCACTTTGGTAGACCGACAATCTGCGGGCGAAGTTGAGCTCTTTACTGTAGAACAGTTTAACGAGGACCGATACCGCGTACTCTCGGTTCCCAAGCAGGAGGATGAAAGAGGTTACCCATCAGCTAACTAATCGCAGCTAGTAATGTTTTACTTCGGTGTTCTACTGGGAACCGTGTCTTTAAGATCAGCCCAATGCAGGACTGCTTATTTTAGAAACTATATGTAAGAGAACTACTAGCGCATTCTTGGATAGTAAGGAGGGAATCGGATTAGAATCTGTAAGCGACAAGCAACTTAATGTGAACTCTTCAATCCCAATTAACTACAAGAAAAATCTCTTTCTTTTTCGCCCAGAGGTGGCTTATCATAGATAAAGGAAAATGTCAGCGTAGGAAAAAATAAGACAAGGGTATCTTAATCTTNTAGTAAAAAAAAAAAAAAAGTAAATAAAAACAATGTGTAGGAAACGCCAGGCAAGTATATATCGAAAAATGGCTCTTAACCTTAAAAAAACAAAAACAAAAAACACTCAATGTTGGGAATACCGGGCAATGGCCTACGAAATCATGACAATTATTTTCCTGGTTAATGCCGTTACGTGGGCGTCGATGGAATGTGGGACGATGAGTATATGTCGTCCTCAATAATTAGAAAACTCTAAAATTTCCCTCAATACTTCTGATAAATAAAGAAAATTTTATTGAATTTATATAAATTTAAATTCCTTAAAGTTAAAAGCAAGAAATAAATAAAATAATTTTTTTTGCAAGTATTTAGCACATTTAGGAATTTTTTTCTTATTTGTGAAATTTTCTAGAGCTATAGTAACTATGAAATTTAATTTCATTCTCCTAAAAAAATCGGCCCCTGCGACGTCCTTGGGTCATAATTAATAATCCTATGATTATTAACATTACTCACGTCTTTCGATAAACGCTATAAAAATGCACATTAATCTGCACATTGTCCGTTTTCAGAGGGAATATACATATGATATTTCGATGAAACGAAAATTTCTACTAAATGCAATTAAAACAACTGGTCAGAGTCATCTACTGATCATTGTTTTGAGTTTGAAAATTTGATGTACTTTTTTTCGAAAGAAACACATTTTCTAGTTTTTGTAAGGGTTGGTTTTTACTGTACTCAATTCATAATAATAAGTAGAAGCGATTTCTATTATTTTAAAACAAAACTGTGAATTTTATTTAAAAGGAATAATAGCGAAAAATTATTTAATTAATACCAAATAACAATTAAGATCGACAGGGCATTAAACCTGCTTGAAAAAGAAACAGTGACTGAAATTCGACCAATCAGACACAACGTTTTATTCGGTCATGGTTTTCATTCACGGTTTCCATGTTAGCCATTGCGTTGTGAAAAACTTAGAAAAACGTGTTTTGGAGTAAAACATGTAATATAGGTCTATAGTAGGTAAGAATCAAAGCTTAAAATTGAATGTTTATTTACACAACTATGAAACCAAATTTATAATTGATTTGGGTACATAACTTGTGAGATTGAGGTAATACTGACGCTGATCATCTGGCGTTGTGCCAGCAGTGATCACCGAATGAGGATGTTAAGATGCCTCTCGAAAATGGCGTTCGTGGGTATGTGATCATTGTCAAAGCTTAGCGGTGTCCGATAATTAGTGTGCTTTGGACTACCATCTTAAGAATTACATAATCAAGGAAAGATTGATAGAATTTATTTCATTTTATAAAATATACTGTTTAATGGTTGCATTGTTTATTCATCTGTTTCAATAATTTCAACTAATCAGTCATTTTCAGCTAATTGCACATATATTGACAATTAATAAACCTAGGTATGCTTAATATCTTATCAATTTGTTATGTTTTTTTTGTTGCTTTTTTAATATTAGCTCACTGTGTGTTATTCCTTTTATCTGTTCAGTCACGTTTATGTTTAGAAAATATTCATATTTCGGTTTGTTTACTAGTAATTAAAAACATAGGCCTATTGATTATGTCATCAAATTGAAATTCCTCCTCATCCATCATTTGCATACTGTTTCCTTAGGTATAGGAATATGTTATTTTTGAATATGGATTTAGGGAGATTTAAAGCCACTTTGTAAACATTCAAAAGTTGAAAAACGTATTGTTTATATTGTTGCATTGCTAGCTTTTGTTAGTTCACTCGGCGTGTGTTATGCATTTAAAAATAGCCTAATATCGGATAAATTTGCTTATTGTTTATTCTAAAGTACAATTATTAAAGTCTTGTTAATATTTGTTTTCATATAATAAAGAAACCAAACATTTTTAAAAAAAGATTGTATGTAAATATATCCACTGTTTTCATTGTCATCTTTGATTTTAAATGCAAGTCTTTTTTTTTCCTTCTTTTTTGAAGTTTGTAGGGGTTAAAATATTTTTATAGAAAGAAGTTGTTTACCATTATCTATTGTATTTTGTGGGTCTTAATTTATTATTTATCATATGGTCAGGGACTGCAGTTTCCTTAGATAATCAAAGTCAATGCTTACTTATTTATTATCCTAGTTTTCTAATTGAATTTTGCCACTGATTTATGAATATTATTTACATTTGACAAGAAAATTATGCTTATGAAATTAATTTAACTTATTGTAATACATGTATATTTTTTACATATATTGATGATGTTGATTGGTGTAAATTAATGAAGCTATTTTTTCTACTTTTTCTTTGTAAGTTAACAATTTGTACATTGTCTACCATTTATTAAATTATTTTGTTCTTAAGTTATTTTTTTTAAAAAAGTTGCTGAGTTTATCAAACAGCATATTTACCATAATTAAAAAAATTAAACTTCATGAACACTGAAAGCTAAATTTTATTATTTTAATTACATGTGTTGTATAATTTTGATTAATACAGGCAAAATTTTTTATTTTGCAGAGTGTTTTTAAGATATTTGCTTAAATATTAATTATCTGAATTCGGAATTATAGAATCTCCATTGTTTAAATGTTTATTAAAGTTTTCGTATCAAAACTCAAATGTAAAAGGTAAGTTAAAATTCATTTGAAAGTTATCCTTTGACACTCAAATCTTACTGTACCTTATAAATTTTACTCAAAACGAATGTTAGAATGTGCAACAATCAATAAATGTAAGAATGTAGCAACTCTGCATTTTTATTCATTCTTTAATTATATTTATTTGAGTATAAGCAGAAATTAAATTTAAAATTGTTTTAATTTTGATAACATAGAATGCATATCCTTTAGTTATATGGTTTATCTCCTAGAAAGCATACAACATTCAATCTATTCTTTAGTTTATTTACATTCCTTTTCCTGCTTTGGCCATTGATTGATATTCAATTACTCTTCTTCATTCATAAGAAGTTTTCATTTAAGTTCTCTTACCATCCTTTCCCAACTAGGGTATTTAAGAAAATTCACAGCCCATGTGACCCACCTTTTATATATATATAGTACTGGTGAAAAGTTTAGACTCACTTGTATTTAGTTCAAAACTTTTCAAGATGTAAATATTTATGTATTTCTGACTTAAACGTAAAATTTATCAAATATAAACGTCAACAAACTTCGCAAAACGCCGTTTCCATTTTAAACTGTTCATTATTTTTTGATTTTGTATCTATTCTGTTGTTGTTTACAAAACGAACGAAAATGTGTGTAAATACCTATTCTAAAAGTAAAAAAATTTTATTTAAAAAATTTAGTTAATTTTTAGTTTATAAACAATCTACTTTTAATCTTCTTTGAAAGGTTCATTAAAAGTTAAGTTCATGTACATAACAAATTTAAAATATTAATATAATAGCCTTCATTTGACAGAATAACTGGTACAAGTTAAACAAAAGTTAACATTACTTTATTCAATTCATTACAGTATAATGGGTCAAAAACCAGAAATAAGAGTCAAGACATGTGCAGATATTATTGCACTTCAAGCTATTCAAGTAGACAAATTGCCTCTAAAACTAATGTTTCATAGACACTGTTTTCAAAACTTAGCACAGAAAGAAAAAAACTGGCCAAAATAAGAATCGCCAACAATTAGGGAGATCTAGAATAACATCCAAACATGAGGATAAGTTTACCAGCATTTAAAGTAAGCTGCAGCAGACTCAAACAGAACCAGAAATCCATGACGAATTGAATGCTACTAATCTGTAAATTTCGTCGGTAACTACTATCAGTGACTATACAATGTCAACTTTGTGACTATTAATGTATGTGTAGTTGCTAGAAAGCCTCTTTTGAAAAAACAAAGCATATTTAAACTAAAAAAAATTTGCTAAAAAGCATCTTAACTGGTCCTTAGAACCGTAGCCAAATGTTATGTTTACTGACGAGTCAAAATTTGAGTTCATTGGGAGCAAGGAAAGGCAGTATGTTCCATGTTTAGTAAGTGTATGTATGACAAATTAATGTTTACTACCATCTGTGAAGAATGGTGGAGGTTCAGTCATGGTTAGAAGATGTATTGCCGGTGACAAAGTTGGAGATCTTGTAAGAATATAGGGAATTGTGGATAAAAAATATCGTAGAATATTGCAGCGTTATTCTTTTCTAAGCAGACAGGGAATCCTTGGTCAAGGATTTGTTTTTCAGCAAGATAACGATCCGAAATATGGAACATTAATCGAAATTGTGTAGAAACTATCTTGCACCAAAAGAAAAAAAAATAGTACTGAAATTCATGGATTAGCCCCCTTAATCCCAAGATATTAATCCTATTGTGGGATTAACTAGTGATGTAACTAATAGTGATGGGGCCGAATACTTTTTAAAAATTTCTCTTTTGATTGTAATTAAAGCAATTTTAAATTGAAAATGAAATAAATATTAACAAAATTGCTTTTTTAATCTTTGTATATTTAAAAAAATTTTAACAACTTGATTTATTTTTTGTAATAATTTAAATATCTTGATGCCAATAACAAGGCAATATGGCTTTTATAAATCTAAATAATTAATAATAGCATATTTTAGTTATAGTTATACTTGTAATTTATATGCTATTTTATTTAAAATAAGAACTCATTACTACTGTTAAATGTATTCTTAACTTTCTTTTTTGTCAGAAAAATTATTAAAACTCAGAAAATTAAGAACTTTTTAAAAAGTTTCACTTTTGAAATTTTAATTTTGTAATTAAATAATTTTCAAATTTTAAATTAAAAATGAAATAAATATTAACAAATTTGCTTTTTTAAACTTTCTATATTTTAAAAAAAATTTAACAACTTGATGTATTTTTTGTAATATTTTAAATATCTTGATGCCAACAATAAGGCTTTCACAAATCTAAATAATTAATAATAGCAGCATAATTAATAATAGCATATACTTCATTATTCGGCCGAATAACTTCAGTATTCGGCTAGGCCGAATATTCGGCAAAAGGGCCGAATAGTGACCGAATATTCGTTACATCCCTAGGATTAACTCGATAAAAATTTTAGTAAAATGCGATGTACCAATCAAAACAAACTTTGGGAATCTTTACTTAGTTGCTTAAAGCAGATCTCAACTAGGGCATTCCAAAAACCAAGAACAAGAAGGCCAAAAGTATGTGCTGCTGCGATTAAGACTAAAGGAGGATATTTCAAAGAATACAAAATTGGACGATATCCATAAGTTATGCATAAAATTATAGTTCTAACCACATAAGTGTACTTATAATTATTAAAATATGGAAAATTTGTTGTGATTTTCAATTTAAAAACCTTGTTTATTTGTTCATTTTTAAAAATTCAGAAATGATTCTAAACTTTTGACTGGTACTGTATATATTAAAAAAAAAATTCCCCCAGGTATAAGTGATTTTTATTGAGTTTTTTCATGAAGAAACCTACTTTTGTCTGAAGATCAGTAAGTTTTTTTCAAGTGTATTCTATATGCTTACCTCTTTATACCACATATAAATATAAGATAGTACATGCTAAAAAAATATTACTTGATTATTACCAATGGGATTAACAAAAAATAATAAATGGATATGAGAACAACTATTTCAGTCATTTTTCTACTTTCTAAGTGGTGAATCACATACCTAATGATGAAGTTCGTGAAATAATTCTTTGTAAAACTAGCTAATATGTTATGCAATTAGTTTTGAATTATAAACACATAAATTTTTTTGAAAGTAATGAAATTTTTAGAAGCTTTGTGTGCATTCATGAAATGAAATACTCAAATCTTCCAAGTTCTCATTAAATTTAATAATTATGCACGAATGAACAACCAATATCTACAATATGCATTCACATTTCATTAATAAATTTATGTTTAATATTTATTTAAATCTTTTTTTTTTGTAGTTAATAAAATTTTTATCAAATATTTTATTCATCATATCCGGCTAGACTGCCCAGGGTGGGCCAGTGCCAGAGCTCATTCTAGGCAGGGTAAACAGGGCGCAGCACCCTGCTGCCCTTTTAGTCAAAAGAATCCACCCTGTTGCCCCTGAAGTAAATTAGTGCCCTGATATAATAGACTCCATACCCTTTTTGCGCTTTTTTTCCTCAACCCTTCTTTACTTTTTCCCCAAACTCTACTATGGATTTCTTAAATTTTTGTTATTTTCAACTCTTTTTATTTAGTTTGTCATTGCTGTCAATACATAGATTTATACTGGAAAGGAAAAATAGCCATCACACCCCCTTGTTGCACTTGTCTTTGAAAGTTTGCAGTTACTTCCACTATCATTAAATCATAATTATTTAGAACATGTAAAGACCATAGAAAGAAATTATTGCCTTTTTAGAATAATAATGCCCTTTTTTTAAACTTCTGCACCCTGCCCTTTTTTCTGCCTAGAATGAGCTCTGGCCAGTGCCTTCCTTTGAATTCGAATCCACTTTTCTCTACTTTTGACACTTGTTCGCCAGTTTTTCTCCTTTAGAGTAAAGAAATCAGTCTCAACTAAATCCAGCCATCTCAGCCTGGGTCTACCTCTTTTCCTGTATGATAGGGGTTTGTGTAATAGGATTTTCTTTAAATTTGAGTAATCATTCCTTCTGAAAATGTGAGCTGCCCGGTTCATTCGATTTATTTTAATGAATTTCACAATATCTGGCTCTCTGTAGATTTTATACAGTTCAGTATTATATTGTCTTCTCCAGGAATTATTTATTTTTATCCCACCAAGGATGGCCCTCAAAACTTTTCTCTCAAAAATGGCAATTTTATTTTATTAGGAGGCATAAATAAGATTCACAAACATTAAATAGAATACATTGTAGTTTGCTGTGCATGTAAGTTTATAATTTTTAAATTTTTTACCAATTGGTGAAACGATAAGAAACAAACACTTATCCTTGAATCAAAAACAATAAACATCTGAAGTGTAATGGAAACTACACACTTTTTTAGTAATGTATACTGTTCAATTTTGAACCAAATCGAATTAATGTTTTAGAATGAAAAGTTTTTTTGTAAAGTTATAAAATCTAATTAACGAATTTAGTTTTATGGAATCTAATCTAAAAATAGTTCCCTTAATTTTGACATATTATTTCTATATATATATGTGAGGTGGTGTAAAACTGAGTTTGTCCCCAGTGCCTATCTTTGTGGTTGTTGTTCATTTACGTCGCACTAGAGCTGCACAATGGGCTATTGGCGACGGTCATCACAATTTTGATCCTCTGCAGAGGGGGGTGGCACCCCCGCTACGACGACCCCCGACGTCCTGCACGCGACCTGACCGACGACCGGTAGCCCGACGACCTGCACGCGAAGTTGAGCACTTTACGGTAGAACAGTTTTACGAGGAGCAATACCGCACACCCTCGGTCCCTATGCAGACTCATCCAAGTGGTCACCCACCTGCACACTGACCGCAGCCAGTGATGCTTGACTTCAGTGATCTGCTGGGAACCGTGTCTTAACGATCAGTCCACTGCGGGACGCCTATCTTTGTAGTAGCACTGTTTGGTACTCTCGGTGGTCTGTCTAGGTTTTTCTGAGAGGAACCTATTTTGTGAAAATTTAGACAGAATTTGTGAAAAATTAAGAATTGTATTAAAAAGTCAACGCAAAAATATGGATTTATTGTTTCTTACGGGATACAAAAATAACGTTTCAAGAAAAAGTATTTTGCGTAACTGCCGTTTTTCCTAAAGTTGAATTTGTGAAAGTAACGCTAAACGGTAGTAAATTTGGCCTGGACAGACCCCTGATTTTACATCTGAATGTATGTGATAACCCTTTAAGAAGCATTTGTGCTAACCTTAATATAATAAGCATGCATTTAAACTTAAAAACTGTTTCTGAATATAGGTCTGAGTTGCTTTTCAAAAAAAAAAAAAAAAATAAAAAAAAAAAATNATATTCTGAAAAAAAGTTTTTCTCAATTACATTTTTCAAGCTTTGGCAAAATGATTGGTTGAAAATGTTCTAAGTGAGGCCTCAAGAAATTAAAACTGAGTTGCTTTTCTCAAATTAATAAATAAATAAAATAAAGTAACTAGTATATAAAAAAAAGCTTCATCGATCAATTTTAAATTTTAATATAAATCAGCAGATTTTATTAACATAAAAGAATATTTAGTTGGCTTCTATTCATATTTCTCTTCCTTTTGTAAAGAAAAAGCAAAATAAGACATGGAAGCAGATAAAAACAATTGTAATGAGAAGAAAAGCAGTGGTGTCAAATGTAAAAATAATTATAATTTACAATAAAAATATTTATTATTTTCAAAATCAAAATAGACTATACAAATAAAACTTAAAATTGTTTTAACTTACAGAAAATTGCTGTAAACAGAATAATAATTTAGTTATGTTAAGCCCTTGTGGCACAGTACAATTTTAATTATGTATTTTGGTGTGATGCAAAATATGAAAAGTAATTTTTTTTGAGAATTTTTTTTGTAAATCAAAATGTAAAATGTTTCTACACATTTGTGCAAGATAACCTGTTTTGTTGTAGTTTACTTTAATTATTATTTATTCCATTTTCTATTAGTGTGCATTAAAAAAACTAAAAAAAGAAAACTATTTGTAAAAGATTTACTTACAATGGTTAAAAATTTCAAATGATGTAGCCCTTCATTTAACAGCCTATAACTTATTGAAAACTGATATTTATAAGTTATCCTCAATTTTTTACCTTGATAAATGATACCTTGTTTGCATAAAAATATTAAATTTAAAATTTTGGTCGTCTTACTGACCTTACTGTGGAATTGCCCAATAACTGTTGAAAAACGAATAAAAAAAAAATAAAAAAATTGTGTCCTAAGGCCATTAGGATTTTCTGGTCTAGAGTTCTGATTTAAGCCTCATTTAAAAAAAAAATTTCAGTGAAATGAAATGGTAAGAAATAATAATGAACCTGGTTTTATATTGCCACTTTTCAGTTACATTTGAAATTTTTTCTAACACTAACTAAATAATTCTAAGTTTACATATAAAAATTATGGTGAAGAGGTCAGTTCAAGCCGAGCACTGATGGACAGGCATAGCTTGATAATCTGTTACAGATCTTTTAAAGAAAAAATTAAATAAAAAGGCAGTATTCTTAAGAGATGGCTACGTATATTTTCAAAAAAGGCCAGGAGGGTGCATTTATAGGCATCAAAAAGCAGACACGGCGGGCTGCCCTACAAAATTTGCCCTTTGCAAGAACACTGCTTAACTGCAAGAGACATGTTTTGGAGAGAAAATGTCCAATTAGGCGAATTTATCTATAAGTTATTTGTAATGTTCTTGCCAACTCATCTTTCTAATAAATTGTCATTTGATAGGTCTTCGTATCTGTGAGCAATCGACTGTGCAAAACAGCTGGTCCGATTGAGGCATTTTTCAACCATATAAAAAAGCTTCCAGGCAAACTGGTTTCGCCTACATATTCTCCATTGTATAACATAGTGGCAGTGGTGCACTGCCTTTTTGAGTGAAGGGTCACTTGCACAGGAGGTTTAACGAAGGGCTGCACACATATTTCTCATCTTGGTGGCAAATATGATAATTTTTATGTAAACTTTGTAACATATTTGCAGAAAACTAAGTACTTTTAACTATTAAAATTAATTCAAAAATGAAAACGTTGATGCTTTTTTGAAAATACATTTTTTTATTCCCTTTTTATCAATAATTGAACTATCAAAAAAATCTATATATATAATATTGGTGAAAAGAAATATAAATTTTAAGAAGAAAAAGAAACAAAAAAAGAACGTATGCTCACAGAATGAAATGCCAAAAAAAAAAACAGTTGTATTTTAATTAGTATAAATTTGAATTAAATATTTTAATTAAAGAAAATTTATATGGTTTAAACAAAAAAAACTTTAGATATTTCTATTTATTGAATTATTAGAGGTTTTATTAGTTTTAAATAGTAATTTTTTTTCTTCTTAAAAGTTACAAAGAAATTTAAAACAAAATAAATTGCAAGCAGTGAGCAGTTTAAAAAAAAGCATTTTCCTTCACTTTTCGAATTTTTCATGTTGCAATAATGTAATAAAAAAATATATTATTGTATCAAAAAGTGATTATCTAAATGCATGATTAGAAACTCCCTTGTCATGATAACATCGTAATTAAAGCAACTCGATTGTCAAAATCATGTAAAAAAACATTGTAATAATTAAAAAAAACATTTGCTATGAAATCAGCACAAATAAACTGCTCTAATAAGTATTTATTTGAAACACATCCCCATTTTTATTGATCCACATCCCTAGCATATAATATCGTAATATGCAATAAAAATTATTTGATTTTTTTGAAATATCTAGATCAAAAAACCTCCTTAAGATAAAATGAACTTGCATAATGTATTATGGAACTATTTGTATTTTTTTTTTCTTTTCAAACTAAATAATTGATTTTTGTAATTTTCAGGTATGTGAGAAAACAATCAAAATGAGATACCTGTGTGAGGTAAAGCACACTGGTGATCTCCTGTATCACTGGATTACTAACAGTTAGTATATTTGAAAGAAATGGCAGACTATCATTTGATGAATGATGGAATGTTTAGTGTGGGAGGAAGTGGAGACATTATGGATGAAACTGCTAATATGGTAAATGCGGGTGGCTATGGCCATGCTTCTGCTGTTAATTCTGCTGGTCAGAGTATGATGCCACAAAATATGCAAAATCCTTCCGGTCAGAATCCTAATATGATGATGTCTGGTATGGTGCCCATGCAACAAGGGCAGGGTGGCACACAAATGCCAGCTGGAGGCATAGGTTCATATCATCAAGGAGCAGTACATAGCTATCAACAAAATGAAGTGCCTCAAAAACTTCACCAGTATTCTGTTTATGGTAGTCAGTTACAAGCTAGTAATATGGCTGGTCAGTATGTTTCTGGTGGCCCTAGACTTCATCATCTTAGTGATCCTCTTTCATCAATTCCTGATCAACCACAACAATCTTCTCCTAGAACTGTTGTACCCAACCAGATGTATCAAAATCGGAGTATGTCCACAGGTCATTATGGTCAACAAATGCCTCATAATTCTGCCTCTGCATCAATGAATCAGAGTTCCGCTCAATACCCGGGTCATTATGGTTCAATGCAGCATCATTCAATGCAACAGCATGCAGTGCAGCAAGTTAATCAGACTCCTGATATGTGGCAAAATTCTATGGCACATTCACAGATGACACGTCCATGTATGCCTGCTTCTCAGAATTATCCACAACATCAAATGGTTCCTAACCAACATGCTTCTGCTTCCTTAAATCACAGCCCTATGGGAATGCAAAGTCAGCGAGCATCTACACCAAATCAAAGCCAGTATTTAAGTAATCAAGATTATCCAACTCCGCATGCGGCAAATCAACCCATGCAAAGACCACCTGTATATAATATGAATTCTACTGTTTCTCAAAATGGGTCGATGGTTGGACAACTTAACACAGCTCCTCAAGCTGGTATGTCACAAACATTAAATTCATTGTCCCAAGCAGACCAGTCTATTACATTTTCTCAGGGACATTACGGGGCCTCTCAAACTTCTAATCGACCACACTACAATGCTGTTGTTCATCCACCTCAACAAGTTATGGGACAACAGATGATGAATGTTAGATCATCAGCTCATCAGATGGGTTATTCACCTGTAACACCTAGAGTTAATTCTGTTCAGCCGCATGCTTCCTCTGTTCCACCTGGTAGCCCTGCTAGACTTCAACAATATCATCCACCTTTTTCACCCAATCAGGCCTATTCAGCTACTCAGCCATCTCCGAGACCAACAAATCCAGAATCGGCTACACCGCCACACTTACATTATTCTAATTCTCAACATGTCCAAGCACCCATGAGTCCTCAATATCGAACTCCTTTTTCATCTCAAGTGACGCACTCTCCGCAACATTTAACACCTACTCCTCCTTCTGATATGTCAGTACCTCCTGCGTTAACACCAGAAAGAGTCCTTCAATCATCTACTCCTCAATCTCAGGGAAGTTATCATAGCCCTAGTACAACCCATTTGACTAGTCCAGGGCAGGGTCATTCTCCAGGGAATTCCAATGCTCCGTCCAGTTTGCAGCATTTGGAACAAATGGTTTTGCCCAGAGTAAGCACTGGTCCTTCCACTACTCCAACTCCTTCTAGCTTAAGCCCAGGTGGCTCTAATTCCAGTATAAGTCATAATGCTAATGTCGGTGGGAATTTTTATAGTCATCTTTCAAATACTCATAATTCACAACAACAGACTCCTCCACAACAGCAACAACAACAACCGCCGCCGCCACCACCACAACAACAGCATCATATGCTTATGTCATCTGTTAGTGACACGCGTCCTCAACCACCAAGTCCTGCTTTCACTCATGTTTCTCAGGCACATTCTCACCACACCTACCTTAATCAACCACATTCTGTGGGACAATTACCCTCCCCAACTGTGAGTAATGTGCCAAATTCATCTCAACCCCTACCTCCTAGTACACCTACCATCTCGAATCTAACTAATACTAACTTACTACCTGATGAAAGTTTAGTCGTGGAATCGAGCCAACCTAGCGCGCCAGTGTCCTTTGGCTCTGACAGTAGTTCTAGTATGCCAAGTGCTAGCGTAGGGGAATCTAATGTTGTATCCAGGAATATGACTGCTGGATCTATGTCTACCTCTGATCAAATGATGCCATTATCTAGCTCAGCAAATTCTGCAAACGAAAGTCTGTTACCTCCTTCCCATCAGTATAATATGCTCAACAAGGCACCTTATCAAGGAAGTTCTCCTTCTCCTCTGACATTTGAAGTGCAACAAATTCAGCAGGAATTGCAGTCACTTTATGCAGTACCGCAAAATCCAGAAATTATTGAAAAGGTAATTCTTTTTCATACTCACTTAATGATCTAATACCATCTGCATACTTGGAAAGTATTTTCTTAAAAATCAAAATATTTATACAAAAGTATTTTTTGAAAAACCAGGTTAGATAGTTATATAAGTTAATCTTGCACAATCGCATAAATTTAGTAACTATCTACCTTAACCCTTTATTACTATCTTTCCACCCACTTTTTTTTATAGATAGGTAATAAATACTCATTCTTGGCACTAATTTAGTGAGGTTTGTAGTTTGTATTTCTTTCTTAAAATTAGGTCCAAAGATTTAGTCGTAGAACGTTCTGAAAATTACAATTTTTTGCCGTTTTTTCCTTTAATCTTTGCTATTACTCTGATCCTTAATTCTTGTCTTCTTACTTCATGAAATTCTCAACTGAAAATTTTCTTTCTAAAAAAACATAAAATACGATGAGAAATTTTAAATGCTTGGAAGGTTCAGAAGTTCTGCAATTAATGTAACTAGGTAACAATTAATTGATTCTGAAATTGTGTTTTGGTGTATGCCGATAATTTTTTTTCCGTAAGCTTAGTCAAAAGAATTTTCTGCTATTATATCAGAGATAAAAAAGAAGTTATATGTTAAAGTGAATGTATATTACAGAATTATTATACCTATGTTACAGATTAAAGGTCTACAGGAGCGATTAAGGTACTTACAAACACAGCAGAATAATTCCAATCCACTAAGTTCTAATGTTGCACCAATGTCACCTCATTTTCCCATGTATAACTCAGGAAGCACAACTCCTTTTATGCCTATGTTGCAACCTGTGCAGCATTATAATCCTCAGGCTCAGCCATCGCAAGAAGCTCCAATGCAGCAAAACTTACCTCCAACTCTCCCACCAGATACTTCTCTTTCTGAACAGGTAATTCTTTATTACTTCCCCACAACAACTGTAGAAACATGGTGCTTTGAATTATTTAAATGCTTTGTTTTAAACTTCATTTCCCTATTTCATACATAATTTCAGGAACTATTTAATAATAATGGGTAGCAAGTAGATTGTCTTTCTTACACAGGGTGCATAGCGTTTTTAAAAAAGTTCGTAAATATGCTTATTTTTGATTTATATTTTTTAAAAGCCCCAGCGGTGCTCTTTTTTTTTACTCAGGATTTGTAAAAAGTGCTAATTTTTCTATCTTTTAAAAAGAGATTTTTTCTTTGCCATGTCAATTGTTCTAAATTTTAAAAAAATGCATGATTTTCACACTTTTCTCTGCAATATTTATCAGAAACTAGTTACTGTATCATGATTATGTAAAGTTTTTGAAATTGTTTTTGAATTTTATTGATTTTATGTTTATAAATTACGAACTTTAAACGAAAGAAACAAATAATTTTTATTACTGCACAGATTCTGATTTTTGTTATGTTTTGTTTTTGAAAATGATTAAAAATATTTTTTGAGCTCTTACTTAAGAAGTACTTAAAAGGTGCTTATTTTTTGTTGAAAAATCTGGCTACGCACCCTGTTACATTTTTACTATATTTGAATTGAAAATAATGAAGAATTCTTTAAAATTTTAATGGTTAATAAATCATTACTAAATTTAATTTTGTTAGCTTACATAATTAATCAAAGAGTATTAATTAATTAATCTGCAACACAACAAAAATCTTTCTATTCATTTAAAAAATATTGCTGTAGCAAGATACATAATTTTTTACACTGTGCATGGCTTTAAAACTTGCTTTGCTTTTGCTTTTCCGATTCTTTATTTTGTGCTATATATATTTAATTTTTATTTCTTTATTATGCTTGTAAANATCGACATGGAATACGAATCGATTAACACTTTAAATTTTCAAAAATCTTTGCATCGTGCCATATATTTTAGGCAATTAGCAAACTCATTCTCATGTTCTTCTGAAATATAAGAGAGTTCCCACATGGGTTACTTTTGCTGGATTTTTTAAGAGAAAGTGTAAAGTTAAGTAGGGTATGTCAACAGCTCTGGCAGCAGCTCTCGTACTGAAATTTTCATTTTCAATCATTAAAAAAAATTCACTAATTTTGTTTTCTAAAAGCTTAGCATCCTTTTTAGGCTTATAATTTCTCACCATATTTATACTAGGCTAATTTTTAAATTTAAAAATTATTCTAACGATGTACACACATAAAATTAAGATAGAAGCAAGGTAAGACAAACCAGAAATGGTGCAAATCAGAATACAGTCTTGTATACAGTTAGAAACAAATTTTGTGATGACAATTAAAATATATTTTGTAGTTGTTCCACTTAATAAATATGAACTGTTATTTAAGAAGAAACAATTAGCTATTTATAAGCTATTTTATATACTATTTATAAGAAGAAATGACAATGATCAGGAATTACCCCAGTGATCAATAATTACCCCATCTGTTGGGGCAACATTTGATATAGTTTCCTATAATCAATTATAATGTTTACAGTAGATGTGAAACAATTAAACAAAAGCTTACACTACTTTTATATCAAAGAAAAAGAAAGTGACTCAAAATATTTATTATTAAGAGAAGGAGGGGGATCTTTGCAGAAATGTGCACATTTTGAAACCCATCTTTGAAATGGAAAATACAGAAAGCAGTTAAAAAGATACTTATTTTGTTAGATTAAACAAAAAAATATTATTAAGTAAATGTAGTTAAACTTTAGTAAAATGTACAAGCATTCTTGTCCATGTCTTAAATTTAAGAAAAAATAATTTTTTTAAAATAAAACTTAGGTGATCATTATTTACCCCAGAAACGGAGTGATCGTGAATTACCCCAGGTCACCCTACTTAAAAGGTGCTTATTTTTTGTTGAAAAATCTGGCTACGCACCCTATTACATTTTTACTATATTTGAATTGAAAATAATGAAGAATTCTTCAAAATTTTAATGGTTAATAAATCATTACTAAATTTAATTTTGTTAGCTTACATAATTAATCAAAGAGTATTAATTAATTAATAATTAATTAATTAATTTGCAGCACTACAAAAATCTTTCTATTCATTTAAAAAATATTGCTGTAGCAAGATACATAATTTTTTACACTGTGCATGGCTTTAAAACTTGCTTTACTTTTGCATTTCCGATTCTTTATTTTGTGCGATACATATTTAATTTTTATTTCTTTATTATGCTTGTAAAGTAAATGATACAAATGCAAGCTTACTTAAAATCTGCTATGAGACAAATAATTGTTTAATGAGTCATTCTAATTTCTCTTACGGAAAAATATTCACTTACTAAGAAATAAAAAGAATGACATTTAAAATAATTTAAAGCAATTCTAGAACAACAGTACTGATATTTTAGAGCAAGATAATTGATTTTAGATAATGAAAGTCAAGCAGATGTTTTTCACAAATTATTTTTAGAGTTAATTTTTTTTTAAAATATGAATTCGTTACCTATTTAATTACCCAATTACTGTTAGAGCTTTAAATAGCAAATAAAACTAATGAAATCAATCTTAAAGGGACCTTGTGATCCGGAAAACATGAGACCCAATTTTTCTCCAACATCTTTGGACGGAATACCTCCGATGACTCTTCAGAATAAATCAGATGTTCCAGCGGATCCTTATGAAATGACTTTCAATGACGAGCCTCCTCCAAAAATGAAACGGCGAGTGCCAAAAGAACCTAAAGCGAAGAAACCTCCTAAATCTCCCAAACCCCCAAAATCTCCTAAAGTCAAGAAACCCAAAAAAGGGAAGAAGTCAGACCCGGTGGCAGTTCTCGATCCACTGCAAGCAGCTCCAAGTGATAATCTTACTAATGTGAGTATTATTTTAATTTTATGAAATTAGTAGTGTAGTCCAGGATTACGGAAAATTCTCAGAGCCTAATATTTCTTTAGTTTCTTTTTTGGTGTGAAATTTATACCAATATATATATATATATATACAATGGCGTAACTACCACTATAAATATTAAATACCATTTCCGTAGTATATAGACATGTTAAATTGGTGCTATCTTGAGGTACCTTTTGATAGATGAAGGTTGACATAGTCTAAAATTAAATTTCCGTCATATACATATTTTAAGTTTCAATAAATTTCACACTATATTTTTCGAAAGGAAAGTTTGTATATTTTTAAAATTTGGTACTAATTAATTCTTTTAACAAAGGGGAAAAAAAGATTTTTAAAAGATTCTTGAATAAACTGGCATATCTGTGGAGAATAATAGAAATATATTGAAATAGTAATAATAATTTGTAAAATTGAACTAAAGCTTCTGCCCATAAACTTGTGGAATTCAAGCTAATAAATTGACATTAAAGTTATATTTAACATAACAGAAAAACTTTTTTTTTTAGATACTTAGTTGATATAGTATAAGGACTGTGAAAATAAACTTTAAATGTACAGTAGAGTCCCGATAATCCGAGCCCCGGTTATCCGAGTTTCCGCTTTAACCGAGCTATCAAATATTTTAAGGATTTTTTTTTGTTCTAGTTTATTTTCAAAAATACCACCGAAAAATAAATCTTAATTTTATCTTCCAAACACTCGGGAAAACAAAATCTAACAACTTGATCCCATGAAATGATCGTTAATATCGTCAATAATGAAAATGAACCTAGCGAAGATGATGAAGACAGTGACGATGAAAATCAACATATAAAAATCTCTCACACAGATGAACTTAAAGCTGTCGAAAATGCTACTGAATACATAGAACAACAAAAAGAGGCGACACCAGCCTTCCTGTTATCCCTAAAAAATGGCGAAACATTGCTGCAGAAAAGCACCAAAGTTATGTAAAACAAAAAACGATTAAGGACTTTTTTTAAGTAAAAACTCTTTAATTCTCGCAAAGTATACTTTTTAAGTTTTTTCAAGTAAGCTTTTTAATAATAATAGGAATTATATGTGGTATACTCGTATAAATTTTATATTTCTTAAATATATTACATTTATACCAACTCTTTTTCTTTCTTTTTTTATACTCTTCGTTTTAACCGAGTTTTTCAGTTATCCGAGTTAGTCGTGGTCCACATTAACTCGGATAATCGGGACTCTACTGTATATTTAAATAATTTTACTATTATAATTTACTTTTTCATTTTTCTTATGTCTTTGTTCAAATGCTACAATTTTAGTTTAGCTACAAGGTTTAACAATAGTTAAGAGATCAAGTAGTCTAATTAGTTTTGGACAAATGACATAGACTGCGCTGCTCGTGCGTTTCTGGTGTCAAATATTCTCAACACTCTTTGGGAAAGCTTGTGGTCATCAGTGACATGAACGTAAGAAGTACTCTTCACTCTATACCATTGATGCACTATTAGTATCAATACTCATCATCATACGTGTAGACATCGATATTAATGATGCATCGGGAAGCATTGTACACATTGCAGTGAATCGTAACTTCCAGTGGTTTCGAAAAATTGCTGATCCAAACATCAGGTCAGTAATTGCATAACATCGATATTTTCCGATGCATCAATGTATCACCCAGTGCTAATGAATATATTAAGTCCACATCTTATGAAGTGTGAAACTATATTTTTCACATTTCCGGAAATTGATTGGTATAGTAGGAAATTATTAAACATTTCTTGCATTGCCTCGGCATTGCATACAATGATGAACCAGTATTTTGTAATTTAATTTATTGCATAATTTTTAATAATTAGATGCAATTTCTGGGTGAAATAAATAGGCTCATATTTTTCTGCTTTCTTTAATAAGAAGGGTATTAAATTTTTGTTATCACCATTTACAGCTGGGATAATGACCTGGCAGAAACGTGTGAGCCATTGCACAGCATACACTTGACCCTGTAAATGAAATATTATTATTAAGCACAAGTAAGCAGGAAAAAATAAAGTTTTTATTATGTATATAAATCACCATGTTATTTGAAGAAGCTTGAAATATGAAAATTAAATACTTTACCAGTACATTGTATATAATGCTTAGGGGTTGTATACTATGACTGATGCTCTTTAAATTAAGTATGATAGTATGTCAGAATCGATGTAAATTAGGAAGAAAGAAGAGGTTTTTTATTTTGCTTTCTTTCTTTTTATATATATATATAAAAAAAAGGTGAAATAGTTTTCCAATTTAACAAATAATGTTTTATGAAACTAAAATTTTACTTTTATCAATAATGTCCGATTTGGAAAAAGCATCAGTGTAGGCAATACTGGGCAATGTCTCTTTATCTAATACTGTAATATTAACCCGCAGGTCTACTGAGAAGGAAGTAAATTTTTATTATTATAAAAATTAGGTTTGTTATTGTTATATTTTCTTTTACTGAATTTTCACAAGTTATTTTTCCTTTCTAAAAATGTTAAAATTTCTGTTTTAAATATTTATTCTCTTTAGCCAACTCAAGAATCAACTGAAGGTTTACCTTCCACTATTCCACCACAAGTTGTACCACTGCCTTTACCCGATGCGGAAAATATCCCAGCTTTGGCTGAAACCAGTGAAACGAAACCTAAAAAGCCCAGAAAAAGAAAAACAAAAGAAAACGATGGGGAGCCTAAAGAACCGAAACCCAAAAAACCCAGGAAAAAGCCGGAGAAAAAACCCAAGCAACCAAAAACTGCTGAAGGTAGTGAAGGTGTTCCAAATGATGGCAACAACAATAGTCTTGAAAATGCTGAGGGGGATAAACCTCCAGCGGCTGATGCACAGGGGTCTGATAACGCCCCGATTGACGAAGAGGCTAAAGAAAATGTGGATGCGGAAAAGGAAGTGAAAGAAAAAAAGCCTAAATCAAAATCACCCAAATCATCAAAAGATGGCACACCTAAAGAGCCTAAAAAGTCTACCCCTAAAAAGAAATTACCTAAGTATGTGTTTCTTTAATTTCAATACTTATAATTTATTTGCACTTTTACTGAGAGACTAAGGTAAGTAAGAACATAATAAAATCCCCGAATTCAATTTCCCCAATTCTAGAATTCAATTCAAGCTTAACAGTAGTATAACTACTGACCTCCTAATTCAGAATTTTTAAAAAAAAAAAAAAAAAAAAAATTAAGAACAGATTATATGCTAGTTAAAATTCATTTTGGTCAACAATACAGCCTACGTGTTTTAATGTATTTTCTGAGGGTTTCAGAGTTCAATTTTAAGCAAAAAAAGTTTGAATAGTAATTTTACTGTTTACAAATATTATTAATTTAAATGCTAATAGTTTCATTTCATATATTAAATATTACTTGTTATTTAAATTACAGCAATAATTAAATGTTGCAAATATAAACTAACATGTATAGTAATAATGAAGCTATAATTAACAGATATTTCGATTAAGGCTGTTCGTACTTCATAAGGAAAGCTAAATGCCTATTGGGAAGAAGATTGGAGAACACAATTTAATCCTTAGCTCCAGTTGGTCAGTAAAAATTCCCAGGGAAGGTTGGTTGATTTATTTCAGTGAGAGGTCATCTGGTTTTTGGATGGCTGAGGCTTCATCTGTTCACTTAGGTTTTAGGTTAAAATATGTAAAAATTTACCAGTCATAAATGATTTTTATTTGTAGTGACCATTTTTGAAAATAATTTCTTACATATTCTTGTGTTGATTTTTTAATGTAACTTTTAATTTTCACAAATTATGTCTAAATTTTCACAAAATAGGTACCTCTCTAAAAAACCTAGACAGACCCCTGTCTTTATAAGTATTGGTTTGAAACTGGGGTCCCAAAAGGCATTTCAATTTGAACAGGTGTTACGCCCAAAGAAAATAGCATAGGTTTATTTAATGAAAAAGTTTGGTTTAATTATGTGAGGTTTAGTTTTTAATTCCCTTTTATATAAACTTCAATTTTTGAAAGACTGATTTCCAATTATTTATTTATGCAAATTGAATATTTTTTTTAAATAATTTATTTAAATGAGATAACATATAGGGCTCCTGATGTTCCTGACTATCTAATAAAATATTTTGCTCCGATTTTGAAGATTTGGTGTTAATATTCTTGTTTTGTGTGTGTTTTATTTCTTTCTAGGTTTGAATTTGAAAGAATTGAATAACTTACTTTTTTTCACAATCATAATCCATTTATTTTAATTAACATTACTAGTATACTTATTACTTATACTACTAATATTTACTAGTCTACTTAATACTAACAGAGTAATGCTTATCTTCCAACCTTGACCATCATACCTAACTACTCATCTGATTTTTATTTTGTTTTAATAAAAAAACGTATGTGTATAACTTTTTTGTTCTTATTTTTTATTGTTTTTAAAGTTAGAAAAGTTTAATATTTACACAAAAAAATAATAGAAAAAGAATTTTTGATATTCAATGAAATATTTAAAAAAAAGAAAGATATAAAACAAATCTTATGTTTCCTTTGTACATGGTAAGCTTCATTCTTGGGATTTAATTATCCTTAATTCGGTAAAATAAAATGAAAATATGGTAGGTGCAATAATATTGAGGGGACTGGGTTTAAATGGCTCTTTTAATATATTCAAGTTGAAAATTACTTTCATTCTTGCAATTATTTTTGCATGTTCTAAAATACAAAATAAGTTAATTTATGATTTGAGCTGTGAATCTTTTTGTGTATTTGCTTTAGTATGTATTCCAGAATTGCTTGTTTGAAAAATATTTGAAATAAAACCGTGGTTAATGTTTTTCTTCTTCGTGATATTAATCAAATTAAAGTGAACAGACAGAAATTTAATAATATTTTATGCATTTTTTAAATTTTATTTGGAAGGAGTGTTAAACAATTTTCTTTCTTTTTTTTTATTGCAGAATTGCTTTAAAATTTACAAGTAAAAAGAAAAAGAAGAAACCTCTTACAGTATCCGACAATTCTGATATTGAAAAAACACCACCTCCTTCTCCTGTTGAGGATAATGGTGTAACAGTAAGTAGTTTTCATGATGTTTCTTTCATTTCCATTCTCTTGATTCTTTCTAGAACTTGAAAAGGATAGGTTATTTTGTGAGTCAATAAAAAGTTTTAACACTGTGCTGAATAAAACCCCTGTGGCAGAATTTTTTCGAGCTTTCTGCAACATACCTTTCTAATACAAATATCTTTCTTCAAGATATTTAAACTAGTTTTAACTAGTAAACTATATTTAAACTAGATTACTAGTTTAAAGTAACAGAAGCATTAACTTCAATAAATTAAATAAAAAAATTAATTCTCTAATTGAATACGTAATATTCTTTTTATTTTAGTACTATGGGCGATATTCTTACATTTTGTAAGAAGATAACACGCTAATTATTTCCTTCGCATTTCCTAATTCATCATCACATTGAAAAAATTCAAAAATCTGGAAATCCTTAGCAGTAACTACTGAAAAAAGAGATTGACGGCGAAATCGCGTGAATTGGACTCTTCAAAAGGGTTCACTAAATTAGTGTTTTCATTTCGAGATTCGGTTGTCGTAATAAATAATATCGTATTAAAAATATCGGATTTTAAAAGCTATGTGTAAATTAGTAGTAATAACTGCATGAAAAAATAGAACGAAAATTTCTATGAAAATGATAACCATTTTTTTACTTCATTATTCCCAAATGAGAAAAGAAAAATCATAAGCATTTTTTTTTTTCCCACACCGATGAACGAGAAAGGCATCTTTTGAATGTAATTCTAGGGAAAAGATAAAATCTTTCGAAAATTTTTGCAGGAAAGAAAAGCTAAATTCTTTACTTCCCAAAGGTTTTGCGACAATGTTGCTGTGTGACTGCGATTCTGAAACTGGGAGGGAATAAGACTCTATCATTTATTTAAAAATGTAATATAATTATTACCACTTTACATACTTAAGTTTTCATAGTATTAAAGGGCAAAACTGGAAAATGTATATGGTGGCCACTGGAAGATAATTTTTTAGTTATTTTATAGGTACCGCTTAATGAACTTCTGAATTGTTGGCTGGTATGCAGGATCTCTACTGGCAATTAAAGCTACTAATTAAAAAAAAATTGGCAACATATTTCATACACAGGGTGTGTAACTTTTTTAAAAGGTGCTTATTTTCGATTTGCATTTTTTGAAAGCCCTTAAATGTGTTTTGTTCATTGGGTGTTTTTAAAAAGTGCTTAATTTTCCCTTTTTCAAAATTAGATTTTTCTTTTACCATGTAGATTTTCGCTACGAATTATACAAAAAGACGCAGTTCACATTGTTCTATTCAATGTTTTCACAATTAATTCAACACCAATCTATTGCAGCGTATTATGCGTCCGTAGCGTATGAAAAGGGCGTTCGTTTGACATGTTTCAAAATTTCAGAATTTTTGACAATTGTCAAAAACAATGCCAAAAGTTTTTTGTTTGACAATGACGGTTAAAACGAGATAAAACCGTCAATTGTCAAAAACTTTCCAATCCTGCCTAATTATGATATTTTTTTAAAGTGCTTAAAAATATTTGAGTGCTTGAAAAGTGCTTAATAGGTGCTTATTTTTTGTTGAATAATTTGGCTACGCACCCTGATACATTAAAAGTCAACTATTTTAAAAAAATGTTGGTACTGACACTAGAGATTTGTAAAAAAATCTAACATTCATATTAAAATTTGGTTTAAAATCGCCCCCGTGGCAGAATCGTTGCAACACGGCGACATTGTCGCAGAACGTTACCGAGTTCTTGCACAAAGAGTTTTCCTTTGGGAAGTAAAAAATTTTGGTTTTCTTTTCTGCTGAAATTTTCGAAAGATTTTATCTTTTCTTCAGAATTGTATTCAAAAGATGCCTTTCTCGCGCATCCGAATGGGAAAAAATGCTTCTGATTTTTCTTTTTTAATTTCAGAATATTGAAAAATGAAGAGTAATGAAATAAAGAAAAATTGGTTTTCTTAGCTGCAGAAATTTTCATTCTATTTTTTATGCAGTTATTACTATTGGTTTCCACATAGCTTTTAAATCCAATATTTTCAATACGATATTATTTATTACAACAACTGAATCTCGAAATGAAAACACGCTTTTAGTTACTACTTTTTGAAGAGTCCGATTCGCGTGATTTTGTTGTTGGATTTTTTTTTGGTTGTTACTGCTAAGGAATTCACAATTTTTCACTTTTAAGGTCGTTCTTTTATCACCTAGAATTAGATCATGCACGGAGAGTAAAGCATTTTAGAGAGATAAGAAGTCATGTGTGTGAGATGGCTACTGGCAAGGAGAAGAAAATATGTCTTTTTATTAATATATTGGTTCTTTCATTAATATATTCTGCCTTTTGCCTCGAATGATACTCTATGAAAAGAGTGACATTCTAAAAGAAAAGAATAGAGTGTGGACAAGGGAAATACTGGAGGATACTGGAAATACTGGGAAATACAAGGTACTTAAGTAGGAGACCCACACTGACCTTCAAAATTTGCAGAATTCAAGAAATTCAGTTCTACTGGTAATGCATATGCTAACAAGAATAAAGTAAAACCCTTAGAAAAGAAGTATGCGAAAAAATTTTCGATCTAGAATCCATAATGAAAATTATTTCCATAAATCTTGAAAGAATGAAATAAATTTGTATAATATTTCAGTGTGTAATAAGTAACTGTAACTGTAAAGCAGCAGCATTTTTCAAAATTCTTGATTGTACTAAAAATTAGACAGATATGTAATAAACANGTTATTCCCCTACAAAATGTGGGAATATCGTCCAAAATGTTAAAATAAAAAAAATTACATATTAAATTAAAAAAAATTTATTTGATCAGAAATTTTTTTTCAAAGTTGACGCTTCTGTTACTGTAAATTAGTAACATGTATATTTGATATAAAATTCTGCCACAGGGAAAATCATTATAGAAATGACAATAAAAAAAGAAGAGATAAATGATGAAAAAACAATTCTCAAGTGACATTAATTTAAAATGGTATAATCACAAAACAAAAAGTATCTTAGTAATATAATTCTGCAGAAAAAAATTATTTGTTTTGTATTTTTTTCAGCTATATTATTGCTTCAACTCTTTCTTTACTCTTTTTTTTTAAAATTTGAAATCTTTAAATATGACGATGCAGAGTATAACAGTTTTGGTTATACCTATTATTTCAATTTATGTTATTATAATTTTTTTTTTAAATTTCTTGTTGTGTTTTTGTTAGAGAAAATAGTAACTTCGTGAAGTCATGAAAAAATCTAGGAATTAGTCATGAATTTGAAAATCTGAAATGCAGTAGATACTCTGCAAGTGTGTCATAAATTATGTATTCAATAAAATGCTATCTATTAGATATTTAACAGAATGCTGTTTTAAATATTATTACATATCGTTAATATAAAATGTTTTTATTTATCACTTTAGCTAGAATAACAAAATTAGTTTTAGGTGTTAGATATTTTCACTGCTCATGTCTTAAGATAATTTACTACCCTACATTTTAAGGATCATTGGGTTAGGTTTATTTATAATTAATATCCTTGTTTATTTAACTTTTGATGTTAATAGTTTTTTTGGATAAGAACTATTTCAGGAATAAGTTATACCTTGAAAGTATTTTTAATGCATTTTAAATTTATTTTAAACTAGAAACGACGATCTGCCCGAAACACCGAAAGGAAAAAGTACACAGATGACATTGAACTGCATTTATCGGATGATGAAACAATAGAGATGGATTTTGGACAAAGACAAGATGGCAAATTGGTTCAAGTTGTTGTGGTATGTAAACAACAATTCCCTTTACTCAACAAAATTATAGCATCAAAATATTATATAAAGCTTGTACAGTGCGTTAAAAAAAATAAACTTCCTAATGATTTTTTTTGGTGTACTATGGGATTATTGGATAAAAAGTTGCACAGCGATTCTCTTTTTTTTTTATACTCAAACCTGCCAAGTCTCTTGTTTTTTAATGAAGACTTCTGTATTTTACTACTATCTTCTGTTTACACATATACAGTCAACCTTATATATACAGTGTAACGTCCCATATTCAGATGTCCCTTTCCCGGAAGGGTCGATTTCCGGAACACTTTTTAACAATCAAAATAAACAAACATCTCCATCTTCCCCTTTCCTTAAAAAAAAAAAAAAGATCTTTTGACACATTTTCTCTTTTTCTAGCTTGCACTGAACCTCTGATTTATGCATCGAACCCATAAATCACCAGACGCTCCTCCCTTGGAATGTAGGAAAAAGAGGGAGATTTGTTTTCAAAAGACCACAACTGAGTCCCCTCTCCCCCTCCTTTCCCATGCAGGTGTCTAGTAAAAGAGGCATTTCCTGGAACCTTTTTATTGAAAGAAGAAATACTGTGGAAAAGGGTAAACATGGCAAGCGTTAAGGTGGGGGGGAGTCAGAATGGAAAATTTGAATAGGTCTAAAATGATACATGTCCTTGAGAAACAAAACATTCGCTCTTCCCCATACCATGTAATATTTAGGAGGCGGGGGGAAAGGGGGTAACATTCTTTCTTTAGCAGATTCTTACAGTCATAAAAGAAAAAATAAAGAGAACCCGGTCAGCATGTCCCGCCTTTATGCTTGATTGATAGCCAATGATTGGAGAGAAAACAGTAATTTGTTACTTCCCCACCCTCAACTTAAATGATCTCCTCTTTACACTTATTTTCTTTCACAGATAAGGAGGAAATGAATTTTTCTCCTCCATCTACCCACCTTAATGAATGACGGGAATTTCCCTTTCTTGCTTGAATCATTCTAGTTAAAAATGGCGGATTATTATTTTCATATGTCAATTTTTTTTAGTTTTCTATATTTTAAGCAATAATATTTTTTTTCTAATATTTCATATTTTATTGATTAGATATTCTAATACTAAAACATTATTCCCCTTAAAAATAATGTTTATTTATTTTTTGCTTCTTAGATTTAGATCANGATTATGCCCATTTTATCATCAATGGAGAACGCTTTACGTTTACTGTTCGCCATAGTTAAATTTGAGACACTTGTTTGCATGATTTTTTAAACTGAACTGAGAGCAAAAAGAAGTTGAAATGAGGGCCTTATCAACACATATTAGTGTCCAACCCTTTGACCAATAATGAATAATTGCTCATTCCCTCTGACAGAAAATGCATATTGATCCAACCTGGGTTGGAAACATCTGCTTTGTTTGTTTAGGGATGGGAAAGTGAGATAAAAGAAGTTAACAAGAAAAAAATTCACATTCCCCACTATAGATGGTTTTGAAAATCGGTATATGTATTTTTTTTTGAAGTAGAAATTTCAAATTTATTACAAAAAATATTAGTTGAAGACTATATGCAATTTCTTCTCTTTTTTGGTTCACTATATCCACAAAAAATAACATTATCCATGTATAGCAAGGCACGGGACCAAACATTTCATTCTCTATATCCGGGTGTTCACTATAAACCGTGTTCACTATAAACTGTATTTTCAAATTTCTCCGTATATTTTGAAGAAATTTCAAAAAAATTATTTTCGGCAATGAAATATACGCTTATGGCAAAAATTCTCTTATTTTTCAACAGATGGTGCTATTGCCAGTACTGTGGTATATTGAGTGTTAATAGTTTAAGTAATTATGAATAATGGTTTGAAAAAAATCTTTAGATTAACATTCATATACATATTTCTTACTCCTGAATGTAAGTGCTTATATTATTCTCAACTATGAATTTCTCATGATGTATCAAAGCTTTACTCCTAGCCTAAAAAATGTTGCTTGTAAAATCTCCTTTATTTCAATTCTCCAATGTTAGCAGGTGTATACAGTGAGCAAAAATGAAAACGGACCACCCTAAATAACTTTTGATTTAATTTGATCTTTGTTTATAATTTTAATAATCTAATATTTTGATCTTCATGTTCTAGGACTTAATCTTAATGGTTCAAAGGGGTAGCCTGCAATAATTTAATTAAATGGTGCAGACGATATTTTAAATTATAAAATCAGTTATACAAATGAAGAAAAAAAACATAGCTTTTTTTCAGTTATTGTGACGCCCAAAATATTGAGATTGCCCTCAATCTGGGAAATAGGGTCCTAATCGTTTGGTCGGGAGAACGGTACGGAGCTTATATTCCCCAATGTACCTTTTGTGTATTTCACGGTAGCTTGAGAATTGAAAAATTTATCACAAAATTATAAAATTCATTTAATCAATGATTTTGTGCAGAAATAACATTTAGTTACTATTGTTCAATAATTGTCGAAAAATTTTGAATTGTGATCTATAAAATCTTTGCATTTTAAAGAATGTAATTTTAAATAACGAAATGCAAAATGTGAGCGAAATTGGTGAAATAATTCCCCTGAAATAAAATTTTAAAAGTAAAGACTTTAATTAGTATGTTTGAGTCATCACCTTGAACCATTAAGATTGAGTCTTAGAATGCAAATCATTGGCTTAAAAGTTATTTCCATTCTTTTTTTCGCACTGTTCATTAATAGAGACCTTATAATTTTTATTTATTTATTTAATTTTTGTAGTTTTTGATTGTTCATTTTAATTTAACTTTTCTAGTTTAATTCTTGTGCTTATTTCTCTTTTTTAAAGATTATTTCTAATTAGCTACTGGTTTATTAATTTCTTTAGGATAATCACAATGAAGATTATATGGTAGTTGAGAAGATATTAGCTGTTAGAACAGTGAAGAAACCGGTACAGTATTTTTATCAGATTTATTTTTTCCGTATTGTGTTTATGTTAGAGGGACCGAAAAGTAATGTCGTTTCGATGCATTTCATATTTGTTATCAGGAATATTTTTTATCTATAATGCATTCACCCTTGTTAGCAACAACCTTTCTATGCTGGATCGAAAATGGAATGAAAAAATGAAGTGGTTTTTAAGACAAGCGATTATTTTATGCTCCAAAACATTACTTTCCGGTCCCCCTAATATTTATATATATATATAAGAATGGACATCAAGGAGGACATTTATCAAATAAAATTATCTTACAGATAATTTTGTTTGATGAATGTCTTCTTTTCTTTTAATCTAAAGTTTAATTTATTTATTAACAAAAAAATGAACAAGTTATCTGAGAAGACATTTATTATGGTAACCATAAAATATATATATTAAATTTTCTCTAAGAAATAAAAAGAGAACACAATTTATTTTACATAAGAATGAATTTTTTCCAAAAGGAAATTGAAAGACATTAAAGGAGATTTAATGACAATTCTTTTAAATTGGATGCTGAGAAAGTATTTGGTGAGCTCTTGATTTATTGTTAAAGATTTTCAGTACCTTTAATTAAATGATTTTATAGGAAAAATCACCTTGATTAACAATGTCGTAATTGCAATTATTTTTTTAATTTGATGAAATGAGGGGACCCACTCCGATTCAGTATTTTAGACTCCAGGGCTGATTGTGCACCGGAAAAAAATCCATATTTCCGGATTTTTCGCTAACCGTGATCCGGAAGTTTTTGGAGATTGAAGGTCCAAACGTTTAAAAAAATCATTGATCACAAAAGTTTACGGTAATCAAATTTTCAAAAGTGGAACTTAAAAACATAGTTTATTTTATTTGTTTGTAAGGGAGAGCCAGATACTTTATATTTAAGATTAATTTTTTAACAGTTAATAGTTATTATAATCATAAACTCAAGAAAGAAAGACTATTTATAAATTTCAATTACTTCTCCGGGTTATCATAGGTATGTGTAAATGGTATAATGTGTGTAAAATTTTAAATATATTTTAAGTGAACTAAGAAAGATTGAGAAAAAGGGAGCAAAAAACCTTGTTTAAATTTTTTTCAATTTAAACTGTTTTTGTTTTTTTTACTCAAGAAATTTTCTGGAATTTTGAATTGGGCTCACAATCATTCCTGAGACTCACTCTAAAATGATAAGTAGACAAGCAAGTGCTAAAATTATACTGCAGATATTATGTTTGCGCAATTCCTAAAGTACTGCTGCGGATTATTTGCTAGTTAAGAAAATTACAGTACTTCTGTTAAATTATTCATCTAACTGTTAACAAAATGATTATTAATGTGTGTTTTCAAACAATTACCTTATGTAATAATTATAGTGAATAATTTTGTTTTTTCCAACAGGTGGAAAAAGATGGAAGTGATGCTGATGAAGTGGAAAAAGATGAAACAGTTGATGTTGAGGAGTATTACGTGAAATATAAGAATTTGTAAGTATTTCTTTTTATTAGATATTGTTATGAAGAATATCTTTTATATTTCAGATGATACTAATTAATAATATCTTTTATATTTCAAAAGATATTAATTATCTTTTATATATTGGCTGTTTTATATTTTCTCTTTTATATTTCTTCTGTATTATTTATATTTCAAGAAAATATCTGATTGTTTTGTTTTTTTTAATTTTTTATGCATGACCTGATTTTTCTGCTCTTTGATTGCTTCATCCACTAATTCCACGATTGCTCCACATGTCAGAATTTTTTCAAGCTATCTGCGACGAAACTCCCTAGCATTAATATCTTTCTGCGAGATACTTTTTATAATAACAAACATATATGTTACTAATTTAAAGCAATAAAAGCACTGTATTTGCAAAAAAAACTACTATAATTTTTTAAAATTAAGCTTGTAATAATTTTTTAATTTAATATAATGAGTGATATTCACACATTTTGTTGAGGAGGGAAAACGCACTTATTATTTCTTTCGTTGCATTTTGTGAATAATCATCACAATAAAACAATTATTAAAAATCATGAAATTCGTTGCCGATAAAAAGATTGATAAAATCACACGATTCTGACTCTTCAATACGGGGTTAATCAAATGCACGTTTCATTTTCAGATTAGGTTGTTGTAATAAATAATTTTATATAAAATATATCTGATTTAAAAGCTATGGAGCAATAATTGCTAAAAATTCAATAGAATCATCGGCTTAAAAAGTAAATACTCAAATGCACGATTTCAATGTTCCATCTTGTTTTTTGAAGTATATTGGGATATTTAAAAATCACAAGAAAATCAATATCTATAACTGCCGAAAATTCAATCCAAACATTACATTGATTCAGCATAAATTTAGCGCATCAAAAAATGATCTAAATGCATGATTCAAATATTATGTGTAAATTTCTGTAGAAAAGTAAACTAAAGTTTTTTACTTTTCATAAGAAAATGTTTCTGCAAGGACTCTGTAACGTTCTGCAACAATGTCGCCCTGTCGCTGTAATTCTGTGAGGGACAATTACTATGCAATCAGTTTTATTTCTTGTGGATAATCAGATTGTTGCATTAAAATTAAACGATTCTAAAAAGTTTTATTGTATTAACACAGATTTTACTTCATAAATTTTTGATTTTACTGGGATAAAATTTAAATTAAATAATTTTTATCTGTTACCAATAAAACTCTATCTGCAAACTGTTTAAAATTCATATTTAAGTCTTGATTACTATAGAAACTCACTAAATATTTTTCAACAAAAAGTTTATTTTATAGCAGTGTGAGAAACTTATTCCCTAAAATTTCTTTGGAATTTTTTATATATTATTTTTGTATGTTTTGACATGAAACACATTTTTAAATATAGCTTATTTATTGCTTAATAATTTTCATAATAGACAAAAATATTGCTTTAAATATTTATCATAAAACATTTTGGGAAATAACATCACAAAATTACTTCATAATAAAGGAATGCTGCTTCTAGGTTTATGCCTTTAATTTGAAATAACAATAAAAGCATAATAATAGCAGAGAATTATACTAAGAAAATATGCTATCGCTTTCTAAATTCTAACTATATTTTTTCTTGGTCACTAACTGTTTCTGGAATTTCTTTTCTTCCTATGAAACTCCTCATTTTGTCTATCAGTGACTTTACAGTACTTAACTTGCAGTACTTAATACACAGAATTATGTAATTGTTACAAAGTACAACTCAGTCTCCAAAAATTCTCTTTTATCTGAATGTGATAAAAATGTATTTCTAGGTCATATATCCATTGTGACTGGAAAACCCTGGAAGAATTGGAGAAAGGCGATAGACGTTTTATCCAAAAAGTAAAGAGGTTTAAGCAGAAAAAAGAAACTTTCAACTTTTTTGATTTTGTAAGTATACTTTGAATGGCTTTAATTTATCCTTTTTTTAAAAAATTTTTATATCCAAGAAAATAAGCCAATTGAGACTGTGGAAAGGTAAATATTCATTTTGAAGGGGAAAGCAGACTAGTCTATTAGCTCTCATGTCATGTTAGCCAGAAGATACATACTATCCATTTTTGATCCTTATCCCATCCCTATTTGATTAAATGGCTTTGTTCGCTATTATCAGTTGTCCACGGGTACTTTTTCTTTCCTTTGCATTTGCTGCATTCTGATATTTTGCATTTTGCAAAGAAAAATGAGTAGGAAAAGAAAATCATATGCTGCAAGTTTTAAACTGCAAGTGTTTTCTTTGGCAGAAAATTCCAGTAACAACATGGCTGCCCAACAAGTTCTGGAATGGAATAAAAATGTATCTGCATATAAGTGCAGATTCCCAGATCACAAAGAGCATTACAAAACCATCCACCAATTTTTTCAAAGTTTAAAAAAAGAAAAGCTCTCATCATGGATTGTAGAATTTCAATTAAACTATTTGATTATAACCTGTACTAGAATTCACATCAGAGCAATGAATTAAGTTAAGAAATTGGAATTTGCTCGTTACAAACCGAAGAATTTCATTGCCTCTGTAGTGTGGTGTCAGGGGTATGTCTAGATTTTTCTGAGAGGTACCTATTTTGTGAAAATTTAGACATAATTTGTTAAAATTACGAATTATATTAAAAAGAAATCAATGCAAAAATATGGATTTATCGTTTCTTATGAGACACAAAAATAAAATTTTAGGAAAAAGTATTTTATGAAACTACCGTGCTTGCACCAAAACTAACCGCTGAGCTTGAAACCAAAATTGAAGCCTTTCAGAGGTATATAATAAAGTTGCTGAAAGAGTATGATTTCGAAATGAGCGAACTTGGAAAGTTGGGCAAAATACTCAAGTCTTTTGATTTACTGTCAAATCACACTAATAATAAAGGTTCTAAAACCATTTTCGGGAAACATTGGGGCAAGAAAGTGTCGTTTTACAGTAGTTCCGTGTTGCATGGCCAATGGAAGGAGATTAACCCCACTATTATATTTCATTTTATAACCGTCGTTGAACAGCTAAACCAATTTTTGGAAATTCCAATTTTGTTGAAGAAATTTTTTTTATAAAAAATTTTTGGCGAAAAAATGTCCGCTGATGGCTAAAAATTTCTCTTATTCCCCAAGAGATAGTGCTATTGCTAGAACTGCAGTATGTTCTGTGTTAATAGTTAAGGTAATTATAAATAATGGTTTAAAAAATCTATAGATGAAGTTTATATACATATTTTTTACTTCACTAAATGTAAGTGCTTATATTTCCAATTTTGAATTTCTCTTTTTGACTTACATGATTATGCATGATGTATGAAAACTTTACGCATAGCCTAAAAAATGTTGCTTGTAAAATCTCCGTTATTTTATTCCTTCAATGTTGGTAGGTATGCAGTCCCACCTGGGTCTTACTTCAATTTTCACTATTTACTGATGAACTGATTTATCTCAAAATTGATGTATTTTTCCCATCTTTTCAATTTCTTTAGTTGGAAGAGGATCCCTTTAATCCTGACTACATAGAAGTTGACAGAGTTCTTGATGTTAATATTATTAAGGAAGTCATATCTGCTACGGGTGAGGTGACTCTTGCCCCTCCTTCACCAAAACCTAACAAACCCACAGAAGAAGAATCTCCTGAAAAGGAGGCGACCGAAGTCAAATCACCATCAGAGCCATCTGCAACAGAGGAAATCAAAAGTGAAGAAATTGAGAAAGAGCAGAAACCTGTCGACACTCCTGCCCAAGGGGAGGGCACACCCATGGAGTCGGATGCTGTAGATTCTCATCCACCTGCTGTGATAGAACCAGAATCAAAAGAACCGAAAGAAACTGATGACATTGTAAATATAGTTGTCGAAGAAAAGGAAGTGAATCAAGAGAGTGAAGTTCCTAATGATGCTGAAATCAAAGAAGAAGAAATAGCCAAAGAGGATGCTCCATCTCAAACTGCTGAAGAAGAGAGCAAGCCACCAGAGGAAGAGAACAAGCCACCAGAAGAAGAGAACAAGTTACCAGAGGGAGAGAGCAAGCCACCAGAGGGAGAGTGCAAGCCACCAGAAGAAGAGAACAAGCCATCAGAAGAAGAGAACAAGCTGCAAGAGGAAGGAATTGAAGAGGACAAAGTGGAGTCTGAGAAGAAAGAAGAATCAACTATAAGGATAACACGCCATTATTTGGTCAAGTGGAGGGCTTTGACTTACGAAGAAAGTACGTGGGAACTGGAAGATGATGTCGACCAAGACAAAATCGAACTGTTCCTGAGGTTTAAAGATCCCCCTCCTAAAGATAAATGGAAGGTAAGCATTTTATAAGCATGTTTGTAAACTTATTTATACATTAAAACATTTGTGCTTCGTTATTAAATTTGAATTGAGCAATAGTTCAATGCAAATCACTATGATGTTTACAATTCCGTGTAGTTAACTCTTTAAAAATCCTTCTTTGAAATATTTTCTGTGTATGACTATAGGATTAGAAAAAGATCTTAATTCTTTTTTTTTTTTTTTTTTTAAATATTTAAAGCAGTTTTTTTCTTCCCCTTATATTGAGTTAAGAAAAATATTTATAAAAAAAAATATATGTATGTGACTAATTATAAATTGAAAGCATAGGAATTTGTATAAAATATTGCATATCTTTTTAGACCAAAAAGCGTCCTCGTCCTGCTGAATGGAATCAACTTGATGATTCTCCTGTTTATAAAGGTGGTAATACCCTTAGAGAATATCAGTTAGAAGGTGTTAATTGGCTTACTTTTTGTTGGTATAATAGGTAAGAAGAGAGATCTTTGTTTTATATGCATGCATAAAGTTTCTGAAGGAAGTGGCTCTAATATATTTGTGTCGTAAATCAATAACTGTTCATTTTTTAAATCATTTTTTACATTTAAATGTTATCAAATGACTATTAATTTAAAAACAAGAACTTAAGATATTTTATGTTTTAGTTATTAGATTTTTTTTAAAATGCAATGAAACATAATTATCTATTTGTTGGTATTATAAAAGTAAGCTTAGTTTTGGTACCTAAGCTACTTTTTCAAAATGTCATTAAATGTACAGTGCACAAAATAAAAAACTAGCACCATCATAACTTCTCATCTATTTATCGAATTTTCATCTAACTTGCAAATCTTAATGGTTCAAGAGTTTAACCTTAAACATACTAATTAGTTTGATTAACATACTGACGATATTTGAATTTAAAAAATCAGACCTAAAAATGTACTTTATAAACATACATTTTTTTTTATGGATTTGGATTTTTGACTATCATAGCTATAAAAAGTTGTTGGCCAGAACACCATAAACTGTTTTTAGAATAATTGCAATGATATTGAAATAATTAAAGAATCTATAAAAAAAATTTCACATTGATATTTATTTAAATTTCTTATGGATTTGGATTAACAACAGTTAAGTTAAAAGAATGGTATTAAGTTTGAATCCATTAATGTTAATTTCACTATGCAAAAATAATTTTTTTATTATTTTAATTTAATGGTGATTGAAAAACATTTGCAGTGTCAAAGAAACAAATTTTTAAATTTGTTTCAAACTACATAATTTTAAATGAAGAAAAAAAAAAAATTGGACAGAAATTAGTTTTTGAGAGATGAAAATTTAAAAATGTGTTATCCTACAAGTTTCATTACTCAGAAACTCTTCTGTTCAGTCCCTCCAAATTTTTGATTTTGAAATAAAAAAATTATTTAATTTAAAGGGATATTAAAAGTTGTTGACTTTGCAATTAAAAATTTGCTTGAACCATTTTAAAATTAAATTGTAAAATTTAATAGTTAGGCATAAAACATTTGTGGAGCTGTCAAAAGAAATATTACCAAGCAGGGATAAGAATCTTCCTTTAATTTCCACTTTTTTGTGATTTTTACCCCACTTCTGTGTTTTGCATGATTTTTGTCCGATTTCTGCTGTTATATGATCAAAAAATTTGGATATCACTAAAGCAATATCCAAGGTTTTGCAACTACCACTGCAGTTCACTAAAGTGCGTAAAATACATGCATATATATATATATTTTTCCCTTCTGGCGTAAAAAGATTACTACTGCTATAAAATTATGTAGTTTAAAAATGCGCATGGATTGTGATAATATATCAACAACAAAAATTGAGATTTTAAAAACCGCATGACTGTACATACCAATAACAGTTGAAAATGCAATCAACAAAACCATCTAGAGTGACTATGAAATCATCACAAATCATGTGCATCACATTTTTGTCAGTTATTGCTATGGAGTTTCATAGTTTTTTAATGATATATTATCATACTTAAAATTTCAAATCGGTTATTTATAGAATCATTTTTTGATGTACTCTATTTATGACAATTTTACTTTCAACGTGGTTTTGTTCATCGAATTTTCAACAGTTCAGGATTTTTTTTTCAGTTATTGATACCGATTTTCATAATTTTTTAATGCTACATTGTCATACTCAAAATTTCGAATCGGGTATTTATCGAATTATTTTTCGATGTACTCGATTTGTGATGATTTATTTTCCGCAGGGTTTTGTTAATCATATTTCCAACAATTTGGGATTTTCTCATAGTTTTTAAAATTTCAATTTCATTTTTAATATAATATTACAATCCACAAATTCCGAATTGCGGTTTTGAATAATTTCTAAACGACCCATTTTCATAGGTGATTGTGCTCCGGAAAAAATCCGGATTTTTTACTAACTACGATCCAAAAGTTTCCGAAAATCCAAGGTCTAGAAGTTTCAAGAATTCATCAATCACATATATGTATAAAAATTCTAGTATATTTTGTTTTAAAATAATAGAACTAGAATTTATTCTTAGCATCTCTTTCTTTTGTAATTTTTTTTCCTGGTAGTGTAATAAATGTGATTAGAGATAAAAATGAACTTCTAAGCAATTATTCATTCAAATTATACTACATATAATTTATGTAGAATTTCATGTTTGAAAATATCAACAATGATTTAAATTTATAAAGATATTTTGTATACATATTTTGAAATGCGTCATTAATGATTTTACTCAAGAAATTTTCCAGATTTTTGAGTTGGGCTCACAATCACCCCTGCATTTTACTCATGGCCATTTCACCTCAAATCCACAATTTTTTCAAAATTAAAATTTTTTGCGCTCTCTGAAATTAAGTGCGTAATTCTTGGCGGTATTAATCCTTTTATGGGGGACATGAGAGAGAAAAAATATTTTTTTCTTTTCTTTTAACGTGATAGTGAAGTGTCCTATTCTGCGATATCCACTTTCTTTTCTCATTACAACGGAAATTGGATTGAAATCGAACAAAAATTGGAAGCATACTTTTTCTAATTGGTCGCAAATGAAAAAAAAAGTTTTCTTAGTTTTGATTGTTAAAAAGTGTCCAGAAAAGAGACCCTTTCAGTAAATGGAAATCCGGATATGGGACTTTGTACTGTGTTATTGCAAAATGTTTTTATTTGTTGTGTATTTTGTTCATGTGCTTTTCTCTTTCTTTTTATAGTCAAAATTGTATATTAGCTGATGAGATGGGATTAGGGAAAACAATACAGTCAATAACATTTCTGAATGAAATAGATAAATATGGTATTCCTGGGCCATTTCTAGTAATTGCTCCTCTTTCCACCATTGGTAATTGGCAAAGAGAATTTGAAACTTGGACAGACTTAAATGCTATTACCTACCATGGAAGGTAAGTGTCATTATTCTTTGCATTGAAGGTGACAAAATAGGTCTATTTGTAATAATGGCAATAACATTAATACCTTTGTTTATCAAATGCCAAAATTCTATATTTAGCTTAAAGACATCAAAGAATTCTTTAGAGCATGGGAGTGGGGGGAGCCTTTAAAAACTGTCCTGGTTATACAATAAGTACAATTAAAATATCAATAAGCACTAACATTTTTAGACAATTTATAACATTAAATCACTAAAAATGTTTTTTTAAAAACAAATTATTTTTAATTGTATTTTATTTAATATAATTTCTTAAAATTTTAATTTTTTGTTTGTATAGAAATAAGTTTATGAAATTTTATGTTACCACTCAAATTTCAGCTTTTTCTCATATTTTGGTGTGGCTTATTTGCCTGTTATTTTGCTTCATCTTGGGAAATAAATTGTCTTCAATTTACATGACTGCCAACTCTACTGAATTTTGCCAGTTTCTACTGGTTTAATAACAATTCTTTTTGTACATTTTAGAAAATTCCCTAAAATTGAGTAAGTTTTCTAAAAAGAAACATCCCCATTGAAGTCGAACTTTTGTGCAGATTATTGCTTGAATATTTAAATAAGTGTTACTAATACATAATGAAGTGAATGTCATTTATGGAAATCAGTTCAAAACCTTATTTGTTCTAAAATGTTCATTTTATTTTTATTCAGAACTCTTATTTTTAAATTAATTAAAAAGTCTTGTATTTATCTTTGATGAATTAAATGTCTATTAGTATTTGAAATTATGAGTGAACTTAATGCATAACATTTCAAGTATGTTTAATGTCTATCTGGAAAATATTGCAGCTTTCCTATTTTGATGACTATTAAAATTCCCTATGTGTAAAATATTTAGTACATTATTCAACAATTATCATAAAATGTATATTATTTCATAAAATCTGCTGGATTTTTTTCTCCTATCCATGTTGGCAGCCATGAATTTATAATTAGTTATACATTATATATATGTATTTTTTCCTTTCAGCTCACCTAGCCGTAATATGATCTTAGAGTATGAAATGTATTGGAAAAATGAGGAGGTAATTTACTATATTTATGGATGATTCTTAATCTATTTTGTTAGCTGTTATTTAAATTTTTTCTTTCTTATTTTTCTAGGGTGAGCGTATTCAAGATGTGTATAAATTTCAAGTAATGATCACAACATTTGAAATAATACTAACTGATTGCATGGAGTTGAAAGCTATTCCATGGAGATGTGTCATAATTGATGAAGCTCATCGATTAAAAAACAGGAACTGCAAACTATTAGAAGGCTTGAGGATGTTAAACACTGTGAGAATTTCATTTATTCTCATTATTATTATCAACTTAATTATTTTTTTTTGCTCAGTGATTAACATTTCTTTTTTTAAAAATCAGTTTTTAGTTTATTATTTTTCTATTGAATTTTTGTCAAATTCTGAGAGGAAATTTTTTTTGAATGAAATTAAACATTAAAATTTTTTTTTTAAAAATTATAAATAGTAAAATTTTTTATTAAAACCTATACACATTTCGCAGTCATTAATGCAGCTTCATAAATAGGGTGGATGGCAGGATGTGTAGCGTTTTTAAAAAAAGCTTAAAGGTGCTTATTTTTTATTTGCATTTTTTTAAAAGCCCTTAGAGGTGCATTTTTAATTTGGGGTTTGTAAAAAGTGCTGAATTTTCTATATTTTAAAAAGAAATTTTTTCCTTGCGGCTTCGATTTTTGTTCTAAATTACAAAAAATGCATGATTTTCACAATTTTCTATTATCTGAAACTAGTTATTTTATTGTGATTATGTGAGGTTTGTAAGAATGCTTTTGAATTTTATTGATTTTATGTTCATAAATTAATAACTTTAAACGATAAGAAAAAAAAAATTATTGCTACCCATATCCTAATAAGGATTTTTTTTTTTTAAAGTGATTGAAACTATTTTTTGAGTGCTTAGAAAGTACTTAAACGGTTTTTATTTTTTGTTGAAAAATCTGGCTACGCACCCTGGAATGGGAAAACTGAAATGCAATTTAGCAGGGGTTATAACCTACCAAAGAGATAAATAATATATAGTAACAACATTAATTTAACAGTAAGTGTTGGAAATTTAAAAAAAATTTTTTTTTTTTTCTTCTTCCTAATGTTAGAAGAATATTGTATAGCAGTAAGATCATTAAAAATAGTTTTTGATGGTTTGGTTACTCTCCCTGAAATCTAAAGCAATGTATGAAATACATTTATGAATGATATAATGTGAGGAAAAACCAAACCTATGGCTTTCTGCCCAGCAATGTTTTGCGACAAATGGGCTTTGATGTGTTTCAGTGCTTAGTTTATCTTATGTACGAAAGTCCACATTGACATGAAATCCTGAATATGAAGCTTGTAATTCGTTTATGTTATGTGTCTTATATAAGGAGGGTAAAAAATTATTTTAACCTGATTCTTAAAAGGTAAAATTGTCTAAATAATCTATTGAAAACTGAATTGGTGAGAAGCTTCAGATTTGCAAGTTTCTACTCCCAAGATTGTCAGGAAATCAAAACATTAATTCTTAAAGCCATTATATTTTTGTTACTGTTTTCCTGTTGCAATAATTTAAAACATATTGAACTCGAATGAATAATTTATTTTTCACTAAAAATCTGGTAACCCAGAAAGCATGGGATGAGAATCTAAAAATTCTGGATGTGAGAAAATTCTCAATCGACACTCACTAAAACTAATAATGTAGGGAGAAAAATACTATAATATTTGTACATAAAAATTTTTAAAAATATGTAAATAAAAATTGGAAGAAAAAGTATCTGCAGGTGAAGAACATAAAAAAAGTCTTTCGTAATTACCATCACATTAAAAAAATAAATAAAAGGAAATTCGTGTCGTAAACTGAAAGAAATGCCAGAGGGAACCCCCTCCCCCAAAAATATATCAGAATTGTTGCATAATTAAGTTAGCAGTTAAAAATGTTTCTTTTTTTTATATTTTAGCTGTTAAAAATGTTTCTTTTTCTATATTTATAAAAAACAACAACAACAATAAAAATAAACAGAAAAATGGCTCATTCTTTATTCAGAACACAAAGTTCATATGCAGGATGAAATGTAGGCAACAAGGGCTAGTTCTAACTTAACCAAAAATTAGAACATTTATTCCGAACAATTAATGAATTTAATTTTATAATGAAGTATAAAGTTTCAGTACTGTATAATTTTTAATTTAGATCTTTTCATCTAATTCTTACTTTTTTTAAACATAATGTTATTAATATATTGAACTCAGTTGTAAATACAACTTAAAATTCCATAAATGTCTGATAGCTAGTTTGTAAAGTTGACACCTCTGTGAGTTGGAAAAATAATTGTGTGAATTAGATGGCCGTACCATTAATGTTATTGCGTTTTCCAATTTTTGAATCATAATTTTAAAGCCCAAAGATTTCAATTTAACAGTATCAGAAATGTATATGCTTATATGATTTCCTCAAATTGATAACTTCTTTATCTGTTTATAGTTCGTAAAATGTATTTATTATTATTAGGAGCATCGTGTGCTGTTGACTGGCACTCCTCTTCAGAACAATGTCGAGGAACTTTTCAGTCTTTTAAACTTTTTGGAGCCCAATCGTTTTGCCTCAACTGAAGCTTTCTTAGAAGAATTTGGTAACCTTAAGACGGAATCACAAGTTGACAAGCTTAAAGCAGTAAGATCTTTTTATTTGTTTTTAAATATAACAGTCTTTGTAAGCAGGCTTGTTACTTTTAGTTTTGATTTATAAATTTTGTAAATTTATAATTATTCACTTTACTAATTTTAACTACAATAAAAGATTTATATAAAGCACACCTTGAAACATTAGGCTATGCATTATATGTATACAATTCTGTGTTTTTTTAATGCATAGTTAAACTTACTTAACATGGCTATATGTCTATGGAACAAATCAATATTAATGTTTTTAAATAATTTTGAAATATACAAATAATTTGCAACACAGAAATACGCACAATTTTTTGTGTTATAATGTAATGAGAATTTAAGAATTTGTCACACAATTGTTATTTAAGCATAGCAACCAATTCTACTGGGTTTTCCAGTAGACTACTGGATTTCATCAGTTTCTTCATCTACTGGATCTATCTTGATATTGATTTTTTGCACATAAATAAAATTTTCAGGATTTACCTTTTGTGTTGCAATTACCCCTGATATTGTACAAAAAAATTTTTTTTTTTCTTCACGTGTATTACTTGTTCTTGTTAACATATAAGGTTTCACAAACAGCATATCAGTAGGTTAAGTATGATATTGGTTATTACAAATGTTTAGATTCTGGAATACATTGTTGATATTTATACAGTGCTGTATCTCATTTTATTTTTTCAACAATGCTTTTTGGATTAAACTTAGTTTAGATTCGAAAATAAAATTTGCTGAGTCATACTTCCATCTTCTGTTCAAGATTAAAAAAACGTTCTCAGCTACAGAGCCACCATTCACCCCATTCCCTTTTGAAAATTATTTATAAATAATTTATGTTTATTTTAATATCCTCTCAGATGTGTGTATATTCTGTAACCTCAAGTATCAGTTGTCATTCAAATTGCTTTTGTTGTGGTTATGTTTTTTTTTGTTCATTAATTATGTTGAATTTTGTGCCCAGCTTCTGAAGCCTATGATGTTGAGAAGATTGAAAGAAGATGTTGAAAAATCTTTAGCACCCAAAGAAGAAACAGTAGTAGAAGTAAGTATTACATTATTCTGTTGTGTGTCTTCATCCTATTGCCTGTTCTTCCTTTATGATGTAGAAATTTATATATAATATTTTGTAGCAGGTTAATTTTTAGCAATCTCATTTTCTTTGTTAAAATGATCTATTTTATTAAAATTCAAGGAAATATTATATTTGTTAAATTGCTATATAATAGATTTTTTAAAATTCTTGACAAGAAATTATTTTGCGACTTTTTTTCAAATATTAATTTCCTCCTTTTTATTTTTGTTCATTTACTTAATTTTATAATTTTCAGGGATGAGATTCTTCCGCGGATTCGCGGATTTCCGCTTTTTTTCAGATTTTTCCATTTTTTTCCGCTGATTTCCGCTGAAATTTTTTTTTCGCACAAGTTAAAATATTTTATGAGGAATTAAATTTTCCACGGAGCGAAATTACTGAAGTCTTTATTCCACCCTCTGAAGTTTCTCTAAAAATCATTTCCTTGGGATAAAACTGGTTGATCCCAAGGAAATCCCAGGGATGAGATTCTTTTTGTCTCTCGAATTTCAACCTTTTTATCAAAAACTCCGATTCTCTAAAAGTTTTGTTTTTTTAATAAATATCTCGCTTTTTTTTTAAATTCAGTCATTGAAGCAAAATAATTATATTTATTTACGATTTTCAAAGATAAACTGAAAATTCAAACTACGTCCTAGCTGCTNGATGTAGAAATTTATATATAATATTTTGTAGCAGGTTAATTTTTAGCAATCTCATTTTCTTTGTTAAAATGATCTATTTTATTAAAATTCAAGGAAAAATTATATTTGTTAAATTGCTATATAATAGATTTTTTAAAATTCTGGACAAGAAATTATTTTGCGACTATTTTTTTCAAATATTAATTTCCTCCTTTTTATTTTTGTTCATTTACTTAATTTTTTAATTTTTCTGTTCTGTATTTTTGCATAGATGCTTAAAATGAATTACTCTAAAAAAAATTTTGTAATAAAATTCTGCAGTTTTTTTAAATTATTCAACTATTATTGATTGACATGATTATTGTTTGGTGCTAACAATTTAAATTTTTATAAGTAACCTTTTATAAGGGATCCTATACTAATTTATTAAGATTTTGGAGTGTTGGTCTGAAAGAAAAAAAAAAGGAGGTATATTCTTTACTTTAATGTCTTAATTATCTTCAAAAACAAACATTTCTTCTCTTTAATTTGTAAGGCATTTCCTTTTATTGAAAAGGAAATTAGCGAATTGAATTGCTCATTTGATGTTTTTTTTTTTTCTTTTAACAATAAAATTTTTACAGGTTGAGCTTACTAATATCCAGAAAAAGTACTACCGTGCCATTTTGGAGAGAAATTTTACGTTCCTTACAAAAGGCAATTGTTATTCTAACATTCCTAATTTGATGAACACCATGATGGAATTGCGAAAGTGCTGTATTCACCCCTTTTTAATAAATGGTAAGAGAATTTAAGTTTGTTTTTTCTTTACCACCGTTAAAACATGAAGAGTTGGAAATGAAAATAAAATTATTTTTTTCAGGTGCGGAAGAGCAAATTATCAATGACTACAAAACACAGCATGAAGAAAGTTTAGAAGGTCATTTAAATGCTATGATTCAAGCATCAGGAAAACTTGTACTTATGGATAAATTGTTACCTCGATTACGCACGGATGGCCATCGAGTTTTAGTTTTCTCTCAGATGGTGAGGTGCTTAGATATTCTTGAAGACTATCTTGTTCAAAAGAGGTAAGCATAACTGTTTAAAATTTTTTTTAAAACAATGCTGAATTATCTTAAAATTAATTTTAACTTAGTTAACCCTTTCGCGACAAGTATTTTTTTTTTTCTTTTCTTATAACAGAACAATTTTGGTAGCATAAACTATGAGTAGAGCACACTAGAATGCTAAAACTAAGATGTTATATTTTTAGGAAGATTTTAAACACTGATTTAGGACCGGGACATATATGTCCCATCAATCCTGACAACTATGATATGTGTCCTAGTAGTCTTCAATGACAGGGTTGCCAGTTCACAGGGAAAACCTGGAAAATACATGGAATTTAAAAATCACCTAAAATGACAGGGAAAATGCAGGGGATTTTGATTTTTTTCTTTACAAACTGGGAAAATACAGAGAATTTTGTTTCTTATTTTTGTCTCTTAAAAAATGGTGACCACTCAAAGGTAGTCTATGGGATTTTTAACCATGATATTTCAGCTATACTGAACTATTTAATTTACTATAGCATTATTCAAGTATGTTCAGCTGTTTTTCCACCAAATAAAACTAATAAATATAGTTAGCCCAACAATAGCTCACACAAGAGCTCATTAATTTTTGTTTTCTCTTAATATATTGTGCATAATATGTACAGGGAAAACACTGGGAATTTTTTTCCAGATTTAAGTGGCAACCCTGAATGAGTAATTTTATAAAGAAAACCAATAATCACATAGGACTGTTGGGACGATGTGTTCCCTCTATCCTAGACGAGAGGGACACATGTGTCCCAATAATAAAAATGGAAGTAAAACTTTGCCACTTACCAGTTTATTAGAGGTAATCTGCTGTGTGAGTAACTTCTCTAGTATTAGATTTATAGATAATAAAAATTTAATTGAAAATAGGCGGTATTCTCCAAAACTAAACTATTTACATTCATACAGTATGGAATGAGCTGCTACAACACTTCAAAAACGCAGGAATTGCATTATGTATGGTAGTGCCATCTATGTTCTGTGAATGAAAATACCTTCAAAAATATTGGCAAGACTGGTGGGAAAATCTCCCATTAAACAGAGAAGCGTTTCTGTAATCATTGGACTGAAAATGTAATCATTGGACTGACAATGAGCACAAGTGTCAAGGGATTTGATTTTTGGATTAAAAAGTGTTAGGAAATAGTAGTGGAAAAAATTTATTGTTTAATTTATAGTTATTGTTAATCTAGAAAAATCATTTTAGCAAACCAGGGAAATAACCAATCCAGCTTTGCTGCGCTACCTGAAAAATTGTAAATACTGTTAAAAGTCAGGAATTTTGTAAATTGTCCAAAAAAATAAAGGAATTAAACATTTTTGAGCCAATCTCTGGAAAACTTGGAGTTAGTGAGCTCCAGGCATGCAATCTTCACTCCAATATTTCCAACAAAGCAAATTTCCAACACTTAAGTTTCCTTTTATTCCTTTTGACATACTTTAACCGTACTGTAACCGTATTCCTGTAATTTTGCCCTATTAACTGTACAAAACGTTTAACCGTACTGTTTTTGACTTAAACTTTTAAGTGGAAAAGGATTATTGGTTGTTAGATTTCAAAATACATAGGTAGAAAGAACTTCAAATTGTCTAGTCTTATTTTTGAAAGAAAAATTTATTGGTAGTTAGGTACTTTATTAATAGAGCTGTACGGCTTACTAGTGCTGCTCAATGGGCTGTTGGCGACAGTTTGAATTACTTTTTAATTATGAAAAATTTCTTGATGAAAAAAAGAAATTTTTTTAAAAGTATTAAATTAATGTAATGGCATTGTATATCATGGGCTGCAACAGCGTTTGATTTAGTGATTAATTATTGTTATTTGAAAAAAGCAACTTGCTTAAACCGTTACAGGCTAGGAGGTGGGACATGCTGTAATTTAAGTTAAGTGCTTGTACCTTGTTTTGTGTGTGCATTTTTGTAGTAGACAATGAGCTTAATGCAACTTTTAAAGGATGCTACCAAAAAACGATATTTTAATTCACAACCTTATGTGTTAAAATTATTGCATTATTAATTTCTTAACTTAAAATCACTGAAACTAAACATTTGATTTTATGAAAGGTGTTTTTTTTTTTTAAACTTGTTTATTATGCTTGATTTTGTTCCCTATTTTCACTTTAATATTTATTTTGGATATAATGTTTTTATTTGTATCTAGGTATCCATATGAAAGGCTGGATGGCAGAGTCAGAGGCAATTTGCGACAAGCAGCTATTGATCGCTTTTGCAAACCAGGTTATTAATTGAAATTTACCTTGATTTTGTTTTCTTTTGTATCAAATGGAATAAATTTTATAGAATGTTTTTTTTAATTCAGTTTTTTATTTATTTTGGGTATATTTAGTATCATTTTGTTAAAACAAGTTGAATTATTTACATTACTTTAAACATATTACAATAATCAATGATGGATTTCAAATAGCCATGAGCACAATTTAAAACTCCAGCAATTCTTTGTGGTTACAAATCATTGCAACTGTAGCACGTCATAATGACACAATTTCTTTCATTGAATGCATATTAGTCTGTTCATTATGTCAATATGAATTACATCTGAAAATCCCCCTACTCTCCTCTGCATGCCTCTTTTTTTTTGTGAAGGAAATGTAGGTAATTGAGGGAGAGAATTGAATATTTTTCAAGCAGTCTAATGAGGCACTGTTTCTAATTTCTTTTTTAATGCTGAATTGACTGAAACCAATTACGAGATGAAGGGGCAAATAGTTTAGAAGTTATATGTACGGAAGTATTTTTACCTGTTAATGAATCTGACACTGATATCTTAACAAGTGAGGCTTTGTTTTCCTTGTAGTTTATCACATCAATTCGAATGAGACTATTCAAAAGTAAATAGGATGAATGGTAAAATAGTTTTTTTTTTTCTGTAAAAAATATTTCGATTGACATGTTCTTATACTATCTGAACGTGTAAGGTATACTTTCTTAACTAATTTTTCATGCTGAATTAAGCAAAATCCATGTTAATAGGATATATAGCCTTGAAATTCTTAGGAATTTCTTAGTACAATTCAAAAAATTGTACTTTTTATATAAAAAAAAAACTCATTGCAAGTTATGAAATACTAGTCTTTTTTTAAAAAAAAAAAATTTTTTTTATTCGATTGCTCAACAAATACATAGGGAATACCTCACTATATTTAGCAATATGTGATGCATATGTAAGTGCAAATACAAGATTGTACTTTTTGTACACAAAATCCTTATAACTTCTTAACTATTTGTCATATATATTCCTGTTTTATCTCAATCAATTCAGCATAAAAAATTACATTGAGAAATTTACCTTACATGCTCAGATAGCTCAATGGTAAAAAGAGTACGTAAGAACATGTCAATGAAAGTACTTTTTATACACAAAAACCCTTTTAAATTTTGTACTATTCGTTTAAATTGACTCTTGTGCATTGCTTCATTCAATTAAACAAAAAAAAATTTATTCGTTGCCTGCTGGATTCAAATAGCACAATTTAAAGTTTGCGTCTGGCATGTTTGTGTTTGCATTGTAATTTGTAAAATTCTGCTCTTTAGACCAAAAAATCTGTAAAATATTCTGTTCTTCATTTTGTTTAAAAATAAAATTCGTTTTAAACTTATACTGGTATCGTTTCCTAAAAAGTCCCAGTTTCCGTGATTAAACACCCTCAGTGTCTGATGTCAAAGTCTTCAATCTTTGTCTGTGGTAGCTAAATTTAGTATTTTGTTTTAATTCAACAAATACCACTGCAAAAGCTGAAAATAAATGAAGGAAGAATAAGAAAACATTATAATTACTAAAAGTATGTTATATTAAGCTTCAAAAATTAAATTTGCACTATCTAGAACATTTTTTTGACAAGAAGAATGATAGGTAGAATGTATTTCTTGTTACAAATATTTTATGACAAATATAAATATTTTGTTCAGCTAAGGTAAATGCTAATTAAAAAATATATTGCAACTAATATAGATCTTTTTCATGAAATTATGCTTGACGCTAAAGACTAGCCGCAACAATCATTTTTTAAAAATTTAGTTGTCCTATACAAGCATATACCTCCTTCTCCTTGTAATAAACGAATCACAAAACCTTCTCCTTTCACGAGCATTCGTAAATTTTCAATGGTCGCAAATTAAATATTTAGTTAGTATCTCTAAATAATGCAACAGCTTTGTCTTCGCAAGCAGTGCATGAGTTTTGTCTTCTTAAATTGGTATTTTTCACTAAAGCTGCAAAAGATTGTGCTGAAGACGAAAATTCACTTAAATTATTGTCCATGACTAATTATGCGTAACTAATTGATGCCACACTGCAAATACTAGTGCATGCCTGCTGAAGCTCCTCCCTAGTGATCACATTGTGTGTGCTATGACTAACTCTAATTCTCTTTTTATTTGCAGATTCTGATAGATTTGTGTTCCTTTTGTGTACCCGTGCTGGTGGCCTAGGAATTAATTTGACTGCTGCAGACACAGTCATCATCTTCGACTCAGATTGGAATCCTCAAAATGACTTGCAGGTAAGAATTCAAATGGAAAAAAAATTGCTGATAAAAAAACTCAATTTCTAAAAGAAATGATACATTTTCATTTGCAACACATACCTTATATATATATAGCAGTTTGACTTTATTTGCCAACGTAATCCCCTCCCAGATTCATTCCAATGCTCTTCTAATTTTCAATGTTTTTTTCGCAGAATGATTTGTTTTTCCTCTTAATATGGGACTCAGCTTCAGTGATAATTTTTTTTTTTTCATTTAAGTCAAAGTTCTTTTCTTGGAGCATCCTTTTTAGGTCTGCAAAGAGCCAGTAGATACTAGAATCCAAATCTAGGGAGTATGGTGGTTGGGAAAGTAATTCAAAGCGTTGACTTGTGACAAGGGGAATTTTGGTGGTGAACAGAACTTTATTCATATGAGGCTGTTTTTTCTTTTCTTGCAATATTTGCTTTTCTTGCAATTTCCATGCAATATTTGCTTTGTTTTGTTTCAAGAGTTATTTTTTGTTGCAAACTTTATATTAATAGTTAAAATTACGTAACAGAGAGCGGGCTAATTAGGTGTAGGAACACTTTTATATGAGTACTTACTGTCTATATCTGAAAATTAATTTTCTAACTTAGCTCTGTAGTTTTTTTTTTTATATAAGCTAAGTGCTTTATTGTATATTTGCCTGATACTTTGTATTTACGGATGGTATTCCCCTTTACCAGCGTCATAAAAAGAATGTGACATGACAATTTGAAAACTATTACTTTTTTGTGCTTAACTATTGCACAGAAGTTTTATTTATTGTGCTTTATTATCTGAGCAATTATGTTTTTTCTTTTTCTTTTTTTTAAATAAGGCTCAAGCTCGTTGTCACAGAATCGGCCAATCGAAAGCAGTCAAAGTGTACAGATTGATCTGTAGGAACACATATGAACGAGAGATGTTCGATAAAGCAAGTTTAAAGCTTGGCTTAGATAAAGCTGTCTTACAGTCCATGTCTGTGTCTAAGGAAAATGTTGGCATGGTAAGTTTTGAGTTTTGCAAAACTTAACTTATTTTCATTCATTTGGCTGTTGTGTAATACACAATGTGAAATGCATATTGTGCAATACATATTTGTATTTTTACTCAGAACCAACAGATGTCCAAAAAAGAGATAGAGGATTTGTTGCGTAAAGGAGCCTATGGTGCTCTGATGGAAGATGACAATGCGGGTGATAAATTTTGTGAAGAGGACATAGATCAGATTCTTCAAAGACGCACTCAAGTCATCACCCTGGAGAGCGGTACAAAAGGGTCGACATTTTCCAAAGCCACGTTTGCTTCCGCCAGCACCAGGTCAGACATTGAAATTGATGACCCGAATTTCTGGGAAAAGTGGGCCAAAAAAGCAAATCTCGATGTGGATGAATTGAAAAACAGAGTATGTTAAAACTCTTTCCGTGTCTTTAACTGATATATGAGGTATTTTTAATCTGCATTTTTATTTCAGATTATAGCTTTGATTGGTATACATTTCGAAACATTTGGAATTTTATTATTATGTATTTTTTTAAAATAGTTATGGAAGACATTATGTATTTTTTTAAAATAGTTATCGAAATTAATGTTTCCTCCTCATTTGGTTCTATTTTTTAATTTTTGCTTCCTCAAGTTTTTTTTTTTTTTAAATATGATTTTAGTTTAAACTTTATAAGTTTTTTCTTCCAATTGAAATAAAGTGGATGATCTCTTTCCCCTAATTTTTTTTATTAAGTGAAAATTAAATTTCTTTTGCTATTTTGAATCGCTTACGTTCACCGTTAAAAAAGGTACAACTCCCCCCTCCTTTTTTTTATGTAAAAATCTGATTACAAATTTGGGCAATTGTAATCTAAAACAAAATTACATAATTTTCATTAAAATTTTTCATTATCTAATATTATAATAGAATCCATTTCACACAAAATTTCCTGATCATAATTGAACATTTTAAAGATTTGATGATAACTAATATTTATTATTTTAACTCATTATTAAAGGTTAGGACTGGGTCATTTTTTTTTTAATTCTTTCAATTAACACTCGTTATAGTACAGTCATGCACTACAGATCGTCATCACTCTTAAATTTTGATATACCACTTATTTACTACTATTAATTATAAAGTTTTACAATTTTGAAGTCACCAAAACTTGTGCTTGCAGGTCATCTGCTAATTAAATTCAAATGTTTTTTTAAATTTTTTTTTAGAATCAGCAGATGTATGGTAAAATTATCTACAGCATTTCTTATGATAAATAATTTCTCTTGGAACATTCTTTTTCTGATATCTTATATGCTCAATTATATTTATTGAGAACATATATTATGCTCATTTTTTCACTTGTTTGACATTCCAGTTAATTGAAATTAATTTTCCTTAGAATGAGCTTATTATTCAAGAACCTCGACGTCGTACTCAGACCAGGAGGTTTGGCACAGACGATCTGATCGATTTGTCGGAATTAGAATCTAGTGATGAGGATGATGAAAATATCTCTTCTCGAACGCGTGCATCTCGTAAAGGTTCCAAAAATCAGAAGAGAGGCAGGGGAAGAGACAGGGATGACGACTTCATGGATGATATTCCTCCTGGTAATTGGACGAGAGCTGAATGTTACAAAATGGAAAAAGGATTACTTACTTTCGGGTAGGTCATTACTCATATTTAATTTATTTATAATCATAAAGGTTAAATTATTCCATGTTTAAAGGCTTAATTATGTTAAAAAAATCTTTTAGACCTACTGTTTGATACGATTTTATTGCAATGTTTTTATTAAGACTTATAGAATCTAATGGAGTAAAATCTGAATTTGTGTCTTTATAATATTTGTCTTGATAGCTATTTGGGAACATTTATAAAGTATATAAATTAAGAAAAAAAAGGATGATTTATTATTACTTCTGATTTCATGTTGTGGTTTAAAAATGTATTCTTTGTGATATACATCAATGAGCATCGCATGTTACTATACTTGCTCTGAATCTGCTGATTATTCTTTAACAATTTATCGTTCTCTAATTTATTGGAACAAGTTAAATAAGCATGATATTTTTAATTGCAATTGCAGTTCTAAATCCTGGGCTATTAATTTTTTATTGTGCTAATAGGTGATATAAATTATAGTGCACTACATGCATACTCATAGTTGCCAACTAAAGTTGAGTAAGTTTAGGGAATAAAATAACCCCTAGAAATAGAATTTTTGTACAGGTTATTGCTTGAATATTTAAATAAGTATTACTAATGCATAATGAAGCAAACCTCATTTATAGAAATCAGTTTGAAAAAGATGTTCAGTTTATTTTTATTCAAAACTCCCATTTTTAATTAATTAAAGAAATCTTTTAACTATCTTTGATAAAGTAAATTCCTTTTAATATTCAAAATTATGAATATGCACAATACGTAACATTTCAAGTATGTTTAATGTTAATTATAACCGAAAATATTGCAGTTCTTCTATTTTGATGACTATAAATATCCCTAAAATTCCTTGCGTGTAAAATATTTTGTACATTATGCAACAAATCTACTGGATTTTTTCTTATCTATGTTCACAGCTATGAATACTTTTACTAAAACTTTTGCAGAGTCAACAGTGTGACCACAAAACTAGGAAAATTGATGGAATTCCATAAAAACAATTTTTAAATTTTCAAGCAGTTTTTTTTTCTTCCTATTAATTATAAAATTCTATGAAAAAATTGCACTAAGAGAAAAAACTTATCTATATAATGCTAATATGAAATTATAACAAGATGGGTTAATTTATATTTCTTAGTGTGACAATTTAAATGCTCTCTTATGCTCTTTCCCCAGAGTTAAGTTTTGACTTTTAATGTTAAAACTTTTTCCAATCTACTAATTTTATTTATTTTTTCATTTGATTGTAGATGGGGACGATGGGATGAATGTATGGCCATTGGGCAGTTCAGGAGGCGGATGTCTCATAAAGATTGCGAAGAAATATCAAGAACAATAGTAAGTTCAAACCTCAAATTCATCTATTATCTCCACAAATTTAGAAAAGATTTTAATGAAATTTAGTTTATTCACAAGTAGTGATTTAATATAAACAAAATAATTATTCAACAGTTATTTGGTTTGTGTTTAGCCACCAATGTCTAATATAGTATGCATGACTGATACAGTCAAAGTCTGAAAATCTGGTTGGCCAATCCATTTGTCAAATATCTATTTATCAATATATATGTATGCAGTTTTACTATAATTATACACAAATTATTTATATGTTTTTGTTTTTTACCATAACTTCGTACTAATCAAAAATTAGATTTTTTTTATAGTTTTTAATGTTCCCCGGTAAATTCTCTTTGACTCATCCTTTTCAGTCAATTTTATAATTCTGACAATTTATTATTTCTAATCATTGATGGTATAGTTAAAATTGCTTTATAATTTTTTTTAAATGAAAATAATTTATCATTCTTTCTTATAAATTTTGTTGAATTTTTATAAAAAAATAATTCTTAAATTTTACGTATATATACCTGGAAAAATCGGGAGAGGGATTTTCATATTTTTGAGTATGTTTTGTAAAGTGTGTAAAGTATGTTTTGTTAGTGTTTTGTAAATTCTTAATAAGAATATCTACATTAAAATATTAAAAAAAGCACAGTGAAATTTTCCTGGGGAAAATATGACAAATGAATTTGCTATGATAAATGACTGTTCTGTGAATCGTTTATCTCTAAAATGCTTATAAATGCCCCTAGAATATCTTTCTTCTTTGTACAGGAAATTCATGCATATTAATGTGTGTTATAATTTGATTATTCACAGTTGCTTTACTGCCTACTTCATTACAAAGGAGATGAAAAAATAAAAAGTTTCATTTGGGATTTGATTGCCCCCAATTATGATGGAGAAGAAAGAATTCATAAGAATCATTCTGGTATGTTAATTTTCTATTTTAAATTATTTTTCCTCCTTTCCCCGCTTTTTAATTTTTTTTTCTCTAATTTTTTATTTGATATGGATTCAAAGGAATAAAAAAATTCTAGAATAACGAAAGGAATGGATTCAATGAAGAAAGTGTTCTTTTAACAGACGTGCCACTTTCTGGGAAATTCAGATGTTTTCGTCTGATTTCCATCAAAAACTCAATGACTGTTCTAAGATTTCAAACGCTTGATAATTTTAAACTGATGGACAATACACAAATTATGAAAGAGTTATGAAAGTATCGGTATCGATGCTGTTGATTTGTTGTTTCAAAAATTTTGGAACTCTTGAATAATATAATTTTAAAAAATATATATTATTAGGCTGAATCAGGGGTCATCTGCTTATTTACTTTTTTTAAACATTGAAATCCAATTTAGAACCTTCTTTAGAATTGTTCTTTTTGTACAGTAAAATGATTTTAATTCAATTGACAGTTCAATACTATGGGAATTTTTAAAACTGTGATCATTCATAAAAAAAAAATTTTTTTTAATAAAACATGCCTAGATGCAAACTTTTTAATTAAAATTTTTAATTTCTTGTTATAAAATATTAACCTTAATTACACTTATAGGCAGAATAAAAAAAAAATCTAATTATTAGATTTGCTCTTAGATTTATGTTGTTGTGGTATTGACATTTTGAAATATTTAACAGTAAAGTAATTTAACTTATAGTCAAATTGCTGATTATGTTTACGTAAAATATTATTGAATTTGTGTTTTTAATTGAATAGAATAACTCCTTGAAATTATCTGTTAAAATTTGGGAAACATGTGTCTGAAGTTTTATGTTAGTTTGAAATATTAGTTTGTTTTTTTCCAAAACTGTTGTGGCATGTCTGGCAGATGAAGTTTTAAAATAAAATATTGATTAAAACTTATTTTTTCATACAATTAGAATCTGAAACAACTGTTGAGCAAGATTTGATTTTTGATGGATTCTCTCACGACGGTAAGATTGACGCATCTTAAATGTTAGGCTTCTTTTGGCTGACGATTGCCTTTCTCTTCCCAGATAGCGTTTTTGCTTTTATTGCTAGACGTATTTTAGCTTTTGTCTCTTCTGCTTGCTATATATATATACAAACTAATCTTTTCACACAATCTGTTTTTTGGTTTTCTGTTAATCCTCTGCATGTTTTTTTTTGTATTCCCATCATTCTGAGTAGAACTGCTGCAAATATCTGGCAGTGTTTTTATGTGTATATGTTGTGTCATGCCTTTTAACTTTTGCCGCTGCACTCAATTGTGTGAAAGCAGTCCTGTTTTGACTTTCAGTCCGTTTCGCATATCTGTGTTTTTCAAATTTCAGCTGTTTTGCATCTTGATAATCTCATCTCATTTTGGAGCTTTTTTTTTCTCATCTAAATCATTTACTAACTGTAGATTCATAATAAAGTTCTAAAAACACAAAGCGTATCAAACAAAAAGAAATTATTTCCTTTATTTAAAAAAAATAATAAATAAACGGTCTATTTAATGTTTTAGGAAATTAAATATAAATATAAGCATAGCTGCCAACTCTACTAGATTCTCCAGTAGACTACTGAATTTTGCCAGTTTCTCCTGGTTTTTGTACATTTTAGAATCTTAAAAAAAAAAATCCCTATTTAAATAGAATATTTACACAATTTATTGCTTGCTTGAATATTTAAGTAAGTATTAATAATACATAATGAACCAAACCTCAATTATAGTAATCAGTTTAAAGCTTTCTTTTTGTTCTGAAAATTTTCATATTTTTATTCAGAACTCCCTTTTTAAATATAATCTTTTAACCATCATTAATAAATTACTTGTCTATTATTGTCAAACATATTTATTATATTATAGAATATTTATTATATTATGCAACTGTTATGAAATATATATTATTTCATAAAATCTACTAGATTTTTTCCTGTGATGGCAGCTATGTATAAGATTTAATTAAAATTGCTCTCTTTCTCTAAAACATCAATGTCAGAAAACAATGAAAAGATTTTCTTCACAGTTTGAAACTTTACATAATAATTCTAAAATATGTAAACTTATATACCTTTTAAAGTGTTTGAAAAAAACTTGTTAAAGTTTCATAACTCTAAGGCCACATGTTAGTATTTAATTTTATTGTTTACCAATTTGAAATTATGCTGTTAGTTTTAATCCTTAAGTATTGTTTTATGAATTTAATAAATTTTTTGCCTTGAAATGGCTTATTAAACAGTTATTTGTTAGGATTAGGTCATAAGTCATTCGTTATCACCAGAATAATTCTTTCACCATAGTATAAATCAGTAAGAATAATATCTATTGATTAAACTTGAATTTATAAACTTGATGAATTTTCAGATTCTGATTTTGGTAGTTGTGGTAAGTAAATTTTCGTCTATGCTTGAATTTTGTTTGCAATTTTAACTCTATATTTCTACTATATTAAGCAAGAAATTACATTTATTTATTAATTTAAGGAATTACATTAAAGAAGTTCATAAATTCCTATTTATGTCTAAAACATTTAGTTTTAAATAAATCTTCTATATTATCAGTGTTGTCACTCTATAGGGATAACAGGGAAGACCTGGAAAATGCAGGGAATTTTTGTCTTTCAATAAATGCTCACCTCTCAAAGTGTAATCTATGGGATATATAAAGATGATAGTTCAGCTATATTAAATTATTTATCTTATAGCATTTCTTCTTTTATGTTGAACTGTTCCTTATTTCTCTAAGTTTTTCCAGCAACTAAAAATAGCATCTTTATTCTAGTATAGCACACAAGATCACAGTGAATGTGTGTTTCGTCATAATATATTGTGTGTAATGTGTGCAGGGAAAACATGATGAAAATTTTTTTTACAGATATGAGTGGCAACCCTGGTTAGGGTTGAAAAAATTTTATGTTTATGTGTACTAAAGCATGTTATAAATACAACTTTCCATCTTGTGTAACTTTTTCCTCTTTTTTTTCTCATGTGTAAATTTAAAATTGTTATAAAGTTTTTACCAAACATATACATCCCACTATCAAAGTCAACACCTTATTTTTGATAACCCAGTGAAAAAATTGGTGTATGAGTCATCCTCTTTCAATAAGTTGATTATTATTCCTATGTACATCATCTGTCAACTGACACTAGGTGTATGGCAAAATATCGATTCAAATGTTAAGGTAAAATCTTTTAAAAAGTGTGGAATATTGAATTTTTTTTTGTTTTTTGTTTTTTTTTTTTTTTTGTTGATGGATTCAAAGAAGATATTTTGCTAGACTCAGCCGATATAGATGAAAGCAAAATTCCTTACAGAGTGGGTTCCGTATGCAGCAGGGGGGGGGGAGATTTTTATGCCTTTCGTCAGATATTAATTTTCTTGAAAAATTTCCTTTTCCGCCTCCTTTAGTTACTATTTCTCATAGCTGCTAACTCTTCCACATTTACGTCCTGTTTTTCTGGTATGAGACTCCAACTTTCCTCATTTGGAACAGGATTGCTACTCTACCTGAAAAACCAGGACAAGTCAGTGAATTTGAAAATTTCGAAAGAATCAGGAAAATGTCAGGGAATTTAACAGTTTTGTGTTAAAAATCTTTGCAGCAACGCTTTCCATGAAACACATTTCCAGCGCAATAGTTTCTTTTTCACCCATTTGGCAGGAAGTCAAATTTTCCCTACCATGCCATGGTATTAAAGACTTGGAAGGCTTTCAACTGTGAAAGGGTTCTTGGTTATTAGAATCCAGAACCGATATAACGATGGATGTACTTTAGGTTGTCTATTCTTATTTTCAATTCAGAAATATATATGCGTAAATAATGTTTTATAATCTTTTATAAATTAATGTTTTTATTGGTTGCTTAATTTTCTATCCTTTAGGCTTGATAAATGAATGTTATTAAACTTGTCCCTTGTTGAGCATTCAGAGTAATTATGTTGGATTTCTGTTCCACATGGAAATTATGAAGCAATAACTATAATATCCTTGTTTTATTTTAAGGGACCGTTTTTATGAAAGTAGAATATATTTTTCTGAAAAATTTCTTAATTGATGAACATTTCATTTTAGCAATCACTATTTTTTCACAACACCTTTTTTTGTTGTTTTGGAAACTTGCTTTTTTGTATTTTTTTGCTATTTTCCAATTGCTTTTCAAATTAGTTCTTATATATTTGATACCTTTTTACAATATGCAAATTTCGAATTTGTGCCATCACTTTTTAAGAAATGTTCAATTCCTTATTCTTCTATCATCTTATGTCGTTTGGCGATAGTTTATCACAGTTTTTTATTGTTTATTCGGGTCCTTAAAAAATAGATTTTCTTGTCGCGATATTTTTAATACAGTGTTATTATAGCGCTCAAATTCTTATTTTGAATTATAGCGTGTCACAATAAGCTCACATTAAAAAGTAATGTTACTTTACAATCCTTGTTAATCGATGCCAAAGACTAATGAAAAGAATTATTAGTAAGTCATAGTGATTTATAAAAGAAATATTCAATTTTACTGCATTCTACTCACTTGTTGATAACATCAAAACTGTCTTATGACAAATGAGAAAAAATACATAGGGGAAAATGAGAAAACAAGTAACCATAACGTTATATTAGCAGGGCGTGAACAAAATTAATTTGAGGCCATTATGTGACCCCCCCCCCCTGAGTGTTCATTTAGGAGGAACTACGGCTCCCACTTGTCAGGGATAGCAAGGAAAATCTGTAGTTGTCAGGGAATTTTATTTGAACTCTCAAAAGCAGGGAATAGTCAGGGAAAGTTACAATTTTTTACTAATTCCTATATGATATCTGAAAAAATAACCAGTTTTAGAATTGTCAATAGCAGATACTAATCAATTACTGACATTTGCTTAAGTAATTCTAGCATCTAGCACAATTATTTTATAAAATTCCACCTTTTAGTGAAACTTTTCCATGTTTCCATTCTCATTCTACTATGTGTTTTGGGCTCACAAAATCTAATATTTGATATTACAAATAAAAATATCAAAGTTTTCTGGTGATAAGTAGCATGGTATAGATAAAATATAATATGGATTTTAATTGAAATTTGCCTAACGATATAGTATGTTTCTTGAAAATAAAACTGTGATTATCAGTTGTGTACATTCAAAAATGAGTGCAGAGGTGGCTTATTTTAATATTTTACGGTACTTTAAAAAAATTCTTTGGTTCTACTTGATTTTCTCTTTGTTAAGCCATTAAATAATATAATATTCATTCATTATTATTATTTGAAGGGGGAAAAAACTTTAATTACTAGACATGTATTTAGGTTTTCATTTATTTTCTAAAACTTTTAGAGAGTGGTAATAGCAAATTAAAAAGTACCATTACATCTGATTTCAGTTTAAGAAAAATAATGCTAAAATATTTAAAAGATATAAGAGATTTGATGTTTAATCTAGGGTATGAGAAAAGTAGAATCTGATTTAAAAATAATTAGTATTGCCTCAATTTGAGAGAAGGCATTTTATTGACAAATATTGACAAATTTTTTATTGGCATTTTATTGACTCATACCAGTTATTAAAATCTTTATAACCTTTATACATAGTTATAATTTACTCTCAGATTTTCAGGTTACTAAAATCTTCTATGTATTTATTTTTATACTTCTACAAAAGATTAATTTTTACTCCTTTCATTTGACAATCAATATCTGGATCAGGGGTTTCCAACTGGCGGCCCGCAAAGCCCTTTTTTGTGGCCCGCGAACTAAAATATATTAGTTGTCATTTTTTTGCGGACAATTTTTTTAAAAAGTATATATGGGTTTTAAATACTTTTCTCGTTAATAAAAACCTAATTTCTTCGTTTCTGTGAAATTTAACATACCAAAGGTGCAAAGAAATTTATTTCTCGGGTTTTGCATCCAACTAAATATTTATTCAAATACAAAAATAATCGTGTATGTTGCTCTTTTTTATTTAAGTTTTTTGTATTTTGTGAATATAATTTAGCATGTGCGTTTCAAAAATTTTCTCAAAGAAATTCTCCGATTTAACTTTTTGAAACCACTCATTTTGGACGAAAATTTGTACACACACATTTGTAAATTTTACATTTAAAATGTAAATATATATTCTCTGGTGATTGCAGCAGACAAACCTCAATTTTCTCATTGAATATTTTGTGTGCTTTTATGTAAGTTTTAATACCAACCTTTTTTAAGTTTTATATATCAACAATTAGATATCTGTTGCACATTAATCGTTTAATAAATAGGTGCACATTAAAGTTATTGTAGCCCGAATTTTTATTATTTATGTAATATTTTTAAAAATATTAATAGCAATTCATTNTTTTTTTTTTTTTTTTTTGATTTGTAATTCAATATTTTTGTTTTGTACAATTTTTTGTTTTGCAAAAATCTGACTATATCTAATGCCCCTTCAAACATACAAAAAGTCTTACATAAAATTTTGATAAAGTTGCGGCCCGCCATTTGACTGGTGTTTTTAATTGTGGCCCCCGGCTTCATGTAAGTTGGAAACCCCTGATCTAGATAATATGTCTTTACTTTCTTGCATTTGGAATTTTTACTGTTTGTTAATTAGTGTTTACCTTTTCAAATATGACAATATTTTAGTTGAAAATAATTATTCAATTTCCATTGAAATTTACTTTTTCTAGAAAAATAGATTTTTGCTCCTTGAATTTATATCTTTTTAATGAAATGTATTTTATTTTGTTGTTTGGGAAAATTTATACAATTTCTGGTAGTATACAACATTTCATATCCGACTTGATTAAACGTAACCTATTGCCATCTATCGCTATAAAATGCACTTGCGTTTCTATACTCTGCAAAATGATATTTAATCATCAATTAATCTTTTCTAAAAAAATATAATCAATATTTTAGTTACAAATTTTTTTTTTTTTTTTTTTTTTTTTTTTTTTTTTTTTTTTTAAATGCCTATCTTTTCCATAAACCAACCAAATCAATGATAGGTGATTATTTTTCTTTTTTCTGTAAAATAATACATTAGCCCAATTTTAGAATACTTTAAAAAGGATACTGTGTGGATTGATTACTTGCAATAAAGTTATTAATTAAAAGCATTGTTTTATTAAAGGTCTGTCCGCCCCAGTACCAAGAGGTCGTAAGGGTAAAAAAATAAAGAAAGAAACCAAAACAGTGGATCAGATCATAGAAGAATGTGAATGGACTAAAGAGGAGGTCAATAATCCAGATTCTCTCTTAAATGATGAGATTTACAAGAGGCACTTAAACAGGCACTCTAATAAGTAAGTTTTGTTCATTTATAAATTATTTCTCGATTTTTGTTATAACTACTGATAACTATTTCATTTTCTTCCTCAGGGTTCTTCTACGTGTACGTTTATTATATTACCTTAAGCATGAAATTATAGGGGACCTGCACGACCAAATTCTTTCTGGACGAAATGCTAAGTAAGGAGTGATATTTTTTGTTGAAATTTTGAATTCTATTTTAATTATTTTTATTCTTCAAATATATTACTTTAATTAAATGCCAGGCTTAATTAAAGGTAAATACTACCTTGACCAAATCTTAAGTAAAGCTTGATATTGTATTATTGATATCAATTGAATTAAAATACTTTTTTAATAAAAATTTTGAATTCTACTATAATTATTTTTATTTTTCTATAATTATATTATCTAAACAAAAATTAATGATGTTAATTTTGATAATCTTTTAATTTGATGATGTTTAAGAGTCATTTATTTAAAGTTGCTACATGGTGAAAATTTATTTTCAATTTGAAATATTCAGATTTTCGATAGCAAAAATTTTGCATTGAAACAAGCTGTTGTCCCATAATAAATGATTTTGAGGAACTAAGGTAATATTCATTTAGATAAATGGAAACCTCTGTATTAAGTGAAATAATGGGATCTGATAAATATGTCTAATCGGAAATTTCTGGTGTTATTTTTATACATGAAAAGAATAAATAAAATACTATTGCTAAATGAAGTTGAATCACCCCTATTCGATACTATCATAACATCTGTAAAGATTACTGGAAATGAGAATCCATACAAATAGCTAGATGTTATTCAGTTTCACGTAATGCATTTTCTTTTCTGAAGAGCCTATTACAATTTCCTTAAACGATACTATCAAAGAAATTTTTATGTTTAGATTGTTTTTGATTTAAAAATCTCTTTTCTTTTTAGTGATATACCCCTGTATGTGCCACCAGCTGATGGTGAGCCTCCAACTCCATGGTGGGATGTGGAACTTGATAAAAGCTTACTCATTGGAATTTACAAGCATGGTATGTTTATTTGTGCAACAAATTATTATTTTGTGTTATGTTTTTATTTGTTATCCATTCCAATTTTCACCCACTGGGGACTAAAATGCCTTTCTTTGCTATTAAAACCAAGAATAAAGCAATTATGGCTACTGTTTCTTAAAAAGAAATAATAATAAATAAATCAATAAAAACAGCTATTCTAAACAGCTAAAGTGACTTTCTAAAGAAATAGAGTAATAATTTTTTTTAACAGCGTTATATTAGTAGCTGCTGTAAATGTGAGCTTAATGTAACTAAGCCGAGTGAGCTAATGTAACTAAGCTAAATATATTGTCTGAGACAAGAAAGAACACTTAACTTATTAAGGAACACTTAAGCTGTTATGCATCAGCTCTTATTTTATGAAGTCTTGGTTAATCAATTGCTTCACAATTCATTTTTTTTTTTAATGAAGAAAATTTTATTTGCAAAATTTGTATATATTTTTTTTAAATGCAGATTTATAAATATAACAAGAGCTTTGTTTTTTAGATTTAAGGATTTATCTGTGCCAAATTACCAACCAGATTCAAATTTATTATCTGTTTCCTTGTAAAAAGATGAAACAGTATACTTTATATATTTTTAAAATCATAAAAATTCCTCATTGACCTTCTAAAGATTTATAAAATTCAAAATAGGAAAACAGATCTTGTAGATAGATTAAAAAATTTCGTGTAGGAAATTAATTTCTATTGGTTTGCCCATATGTATCATATTCTTCATTTTGGTAGCAGAAGTCTTCTGGGTTGCCTAAATATGCCTAATAAGCCTAATGTATCAGCAAAGAACACAGGTATGCGTAAAAAACATGCACATTTTTCGCATCAAGTTCAAAAGCTGTATCCTTAGTTCTAACCCTTTGGTCCTTAATTCTAATGTATATTTCCTTTAAGATATTTGATTTCAAACATTTATCTGTCTTTTCCAGTCATTAGCATCAGTGGTTCAGAATTGTCCTCAAATTATTTATGCTTGGATTTTTTATAATATGTTCTTTTTTTTTTGAAATACTTTCATTAATATTTTATGAATAAAAATTATTTGGCAGAAGAAAGACGTTGAATTACTAAGCAAAATTAATATGTATTCTGTCTCTGAAAAGTTAGAATAAAATTGAATATTTTTTTAAATCTATGTAACAAAAAAATTATTTTATGGTTATTAGTTTATCATTAATTTATTTTATTAATTTATGATACTTTTCTTAGTTGAATACTGGCACACTATTATAAACTTAATTCACGAAAATTATATTTGTTGAACTTATACATAATTTGTGACAATGGATGGTAATGACAGCTTTTGCCATATACATAATTTGTGACAATGGATGGTAATGACAGCTTTTGCCATATTCATAAAATTAAGAGTTATCTCCAAAATAAATGTGTGTATTTTATGAACATTTGTAATTCAACTAGTATACATGTCTTATTTTTTGTTTGACATTGTCATGTCTGACATTGAATAAAGTTTGCCTTTCTGATTTTGAAATACTGAAAATGCAATATATATACATATATATATATGCAGGCAAATTTTATCTTCTTATATTGTATTAATTAATGTTTTATTATATTCATTACTTTTCCTCTTTAGGATTTGAGAGGTACAATATAATGAGGCAAGATCCTATGCTTTGTTTTTTGTTAAGATGTGGTCCCCCAGATGGAGCTGCCTTATTAGCTGAACTCAATCCGTAAGCCACTCTTAGCTTAAATTATTCCTTTTTTTAGAAAAATTCTTCTTTAAATTTTCTTATTACTTTTACTGTTAAAAAAAGCATGTGCTTTTTTGTCCGACATCATATAGATCTCGTTTTTCATCACAAATACAAATCAACATTTGCACCTTTTTGTAATCCTGTTTTGCCCCATATCAATATCTTATTTGATCACTATGTCTACTACCATGTGATAGTTAACAAAATGGGCACATTTTACATTTCTAGTATTTATCTAATACTTTGTATTCATATGCAGGCAACTTTTAGTTAACTTGAAACTCAGTATAAAAAGAAATTTTTCCTAAACCTATAAAAATTGAAATCTTATGCTTTCTCTCTCTCTCTCTCTTTTTTTTTTTTAGCAGTCAATTTTAATGAAATTTGTTTTCTATTGCAAATGTGCCATAGAGCAAAAATGTGCAAAAGAAAAGAAAAAAAAAAGGACAGGGCGCATTCTCTCTGAAAGTTTTTAGTTTTGAAAGGGCACTCACTTAACAATTTAACAAAATGTGTAATATTGTGTAATTACTGAATTTTATCCTGAACAATTTTTAAACTTCCCCCTCTGATACAATTTTATGTATATATTTCAAAACGTAATTGTCTCTCATTATCAAAATAAGAGGAAAAGTTTTAATTTATAAAATTAATTAAAGGCCTGCTAGAAAGGAATGATTCATTGCAACCTTCAGTTTGGCTCACTCGTATGTGATCGTATATATATGACTATTGCATGCATTTTTTTTTTTCAAAAAAATTAAACTAACAGAAAATAAATTAGTTGATAAAAAAACTTAAAACCCCTTTTCTATAATTCAAACTAAAAAATATGAGAAAATGTACATTTAAAGGTACATTTTTTTATTAAAAAGAAAGGGTATTTACTTAAAGTATATTAAAATTTAAACTTACTTAAAAATTTATTAATATCCCCCCCCCCCCCCAAAAANCCCCCCCCCCCCCCAATAAAAAAAGTTACTTACAAAAATTGAACTAATTGAGAATAATCCTAACAAAGTAAATAATTGTAATAGTATTTAAAACTAAATTATAAACACAAATAACTTTACCTNGAAGAAACCTTACGGTAAACACGTGGTTGCAGAGAAATGTGTTCTGAAAGGGGTTGTGTTCTGTTGTTGGAAAAAGTTCTGAACAATACTGGTAAATAGGGAAGCTAGATAACGAGGCAGATGTTGAAAATAATGAAAGATCAAGGAAGAAAAGTGAAACGGATTTTATTCTAAATGGCGTAATCCGAAGCCTTTTCCAGAATGCGAAAAATTCGCGAATTTTGAAATTAATTTATAGAATGCGCGAATTTCTCACGGTAATCATTTTTTAATGCGAGAACAGAAAAAAATATACCAGATTCTCGCTTTCTCGCACTGTTGTGAAAACACTGGTTTTGTAAGAAGGTAAGAGATTTTATAAGGGCACTATCGACCCTAGTGCACACAGGTTCCAGGAAGATTAAGATTTAAGGAGTACGAAATTTAAAAAAAAAAAATTTAAATTATAGTCATCATTTCTGCTAAGAATTCTCAGCATTCTACAGGAAGAAAAAAAAAATGTTCTTTTTATTGTCATTAACACCACTATGTTATAAAAATTTTTCCCTCCTATACAAAGTTGTTTGTGATATTCAGTTATAGTTAGATCAATTTAAAAATCAAGTATTTGTCTCATTCCTAACTAATTTCTGACGAAAAATATCGGACAAAGTTCTATGGGTTTTGGGCTCTGAAATATTTTTAAAATGGAAGACTTGATTTGCAGGTTTTATTAGGTAATATGTGAACATAACCATGTACCAAATTAATAAAAAAAAATATTTTCTGTGTTGAATTTCAATTTGTCATGGTTATTCAGATTTTATTGTTGCATTTTTTTCGAACCAAACATTATCATTGTGTTCTTTAACTGATATTCAGCGTTGCATGTACTTTTTTTTTCTTAATTTATTACTCTGGAGAGACAGGTAAAACTCAAAAGATTTTTCCACTCCCAGAAATTCAGTAGAAACTATAAAAGTTTTTTTTTTTCAATAAAAAACCTTTCTCAATTAAAATGAATTTTGTTTCTTCCAGCATTGCCAATGAAGATGACATTGAAGATTCTAGTATTCATAAGGATAAGGATGAAGACATGGATCCCCTTTCTCCTAGCAATGAGCATGATGCTCCAAGGCAGCAGCATATTCCTAACCATTATCACCTACCTCATGGTATGACACAATTTATATACAACTGATGTTCTAAAAAACTGCAGTTTGATATGCGTTTTCTGTGACTTTGAGAAGTACTGAATTTGAATTGAATGTTCAAGGACACCTAAAAGTATTTCAAAATGGTTTTAGTCCTTGCAAAATTTTAAAAATCTTGAAAAATGAATTTTTTTTTCAATCCATAAGAAAGATCTTAGCTTAAATTTTTATTTTTCTTAATTCATGTTGCCACTGCTTTCGGTATTTTTGAAATATTCTAACAGAGTTACTACTTCACAGAGGAAACCTAGAAAATACAGGTAATCTAAAAATCACCTTAAATAACAGGGATAATATAGGGAACATTCGTCGTGGTCCCGACAAACTTTCATATGAATTAATGTTATTCTCCTCCTAATATTATGATATTCTCTGATGCAATAAACCCATGAAAGATGAATTTTTTTTCTCCAAATTTCAACCTTATTTTCTCCATTTATTATTGGTTTTCTAATACTGTAAAAAACTTTATTTTATCATCTTTTGCCATTTTCATTTTTTTTTTTCTGACATGAAAAGACTCACTACTGACCACCCCAAGAGCTTCCATTCTTAGAATTGCCTCTCTTATCTTTTAAGAAGTCACAGATGTTACATACGTAACTGATTTCATTTGCTTCATGCTGAAGCTGGTCACGAGTCGCAAATGACTGGAACATTAACATCTTAAAGAGAATATTTTCCGTAAAGGGTAGATGGAGCACCAGTCACAAACGAATATCATTTTCGTACTTTGAACTCAATGCATACTTTGTTGGTTGACTTGGTAGTCAAAAAAAAAAAAAAAAAANATCAAAAAAAAAAAAAATGAATAAGCAAAGAAAAGTATTAGATTATTTTCAATAAAAACTGTTTTCAGGTATGTTTACGATCTTATTTTCTGAATTTGTTTAAAATGTTTTTAATATTTAACCATAATTAACACTCAGCAAATTAATTTTTTACATAATATATAAATACATTTATAGCTAATACATATATAACATTAAAATTTAAAAAAAAAATCTTATTATCTCTTAATCTTATAATGTAGGCCTTCAAATAACATTATATCCTTTTAAAACAATATATTTTTTGGTCCCTGAAAATTGTGGAGAGGTTTTACTATATTTTGAAAGCTGTGTTTAGCTTTTGTATCTAATGTGCATATTTATTTTGAAATAGGCTTTGAAATGGGAGTTATTCATTTCCCCTCTGTGACTGATGTTAATACTAGAGTTCGAAGATTAGTGACTGCTTTCCAGAGGAACAATAAGAAACTGGAAATTAGGAATGCTCAAAAAGCCAGAGTAATTATTATTCTTATTACTTAATTCGCAATTATTGGTTCCTTGGATTTCAACTTCTATCAAAATTTCTCATGGAAAGTTATAATTTTATTTAATGAATGCCAAAAATCATGGAAACTCTTACTTAATCATGGATTGGTATTAGAGCCCTTAATCCTTTCAAGTGATTTGAAAATCGCACATCTCTGTTTGTATTAACATTATTTAAAAGTGACGCATTGTGATCTGAATATGTATGATTTAAAATTGTGCTCTCTTTTTACGTTTGTGCAGTTAAAAAAATCACACATTGTGATTTGTATTCATGTGATTTAAAAATCACATTGTTATCCGTATTTTTGTTACTTAAAAATTATGTGTTGCAATCCGTATTCATGTTAGTTCAAAAATGAGCCATCATAGGTTATGTTTGCCCAATTTAAAATTTAACATCGCAATTTGTATTTACACAATTTAAAAATTACACATAAAGATTTGCGTTCTTGCGATATAAAAAATAACACAACATAATCCATTTCAGTGTGATTTAAAACTCACATAGTGTGATCAGTGTTCTTACAGTTTAAAAAATTAAACATTTCTAATTTGTATTCATACAATGCGTCATTATACGTACAATGTATGATGATGCATACAATGTATGATTGATCCATACTCATCCTATTTAAAAAATCACTAGACTTGATCCAAATTTGTGAAATTTAAAAAATCACAGTGACATGATTTAAATATCACACATCACAATTCATATTTGCTCGAAATAAAATGTTGCACATTGTGATGTGATTTAAAAATCACACATCTCGATTAATTACATAAATAATTTATTAAATTCAGTATGTAAATGTAAAATATATGAAGGAACAAAATTTTCGATAAAACTAATTTGTGACTGTGCCGGTTTTGTTTTAAATAATTTTGAAGTAATAATTGTTTGTTTTTAAGATATGAAATTTCATTTGATGTAATGAAAATTATGCTTATAGTATTTTTATTTATCATTATTTTCATATTTATTCTCTATTTGATGTAAACATCTTTTCTTCACCAAAACCTTTTTTTACTTTCATATTCATACCAAGTATTTTGCAATTTTTTATGGCAGAATTTGTTTAAAAAGAAAGCACAAAATAAAATGTAGATTGTTTGAAGTTTTTGTGTTCAGTTGTAGGAGCATTATGGTGTTTTTATGTGGTTATAATAAATTTATTTTTATTATATGAAGCAAAAAAAAAACCCCTACTAAATCAGTGTGAGCCTAATAAATATTAAAATTATTTGTTAAACCTAATTTTAAAAAGGATTTTAATTAATATAATTTTTTTATGTATTGCAATATTTTTGATATATTTAAAGTTATTTGATAGTTATGGAATGATGTTGAAACTTTTGTTTCTTTGAAATTGAATTAACATAATTCTTACAATTGACCTTTTGAAAATAGCATCTTTGAATTTTGTCAGATAAAAAGATTTTAGCTTTTTAAATGTTCCTAAAAGGCATAAAATATTTTCAAATATATATATTCTTATTTGTATGTTTGTCAACATCAATTGCTGGGCTATTTATTCTTTTACTTTGTTTAATAGTACAGCTCTTTTTTATTCTTTGTTTAAATTGTCTTATTAAAAAGATGAGCAAAGTATTGCTCAGATAAAACATTGTTTTTGAGAAAGAAAGTAACACTCGATTAGATCCTCTTTGACTATATTGAGTAATGTATTAACCTGTGTAAGTCATGAAAAGTTATTAGTTGATATCATGGGCTTAGAAATTCTAGATTTCCGGTATCATGTTGCAATAGATACTGGAGGGCCTTAGAGTATGAGTTTGTTCATGGTATTACAAAAAGCAAGGCTGACAAATATATTTGTTGCTCGATATTAGGGATTCTTGGTTGAGAAATGCTTTTTGCTGAGAATTTCAGAATCATAATTTCATTTTTAACTTTCTTTATTTTCGTAGTTGTAAGCTCTCTGGATTTCGTTTAAATAAAACCATGAATTAAGGTAATAACTAAATTTGCTTTTAATTTATTTGCATTTTCATAACGAAGAAAAGTCTGTTTATTAAACATACTCTTTTATTTTTGATTTACACCTTGATTTCACCAAGTTTCAATTTAAATGAAAATTAGAGTATGATAAGTTTTAGATTCTCCTGAATATATGTGTTTGTTGTTACTGATCAAACGGTCTGTTTTACAGAAAATTGAAAGACGAGAAAAGTTTGAAGCAGCAATCAGAGAAAGGGAAATGAAAAAGCGAGAATTGCAACAGCGGTATGATGTTCATTTAATTTTCTACCATTTCTTTTTATTTCCTTTCTCAATCTAATTAATTCTAGACATTTATGTAGATATGTTATGAATTTTCCCTATAGTAAATGGTCTAGAAGGGAAGAAGCAGACTTTTATCGCACCATTTCTTCATTTGGTGTTGAGTACAACGAGGAAAAGAAGGAATATAATTGGTCGCGCTTCCGTGGCATCGCACGATTAGAAAGGAAGTATGATGAAACCCTGGCTGAATATTACAAGTGCTTTTATGCTATGTGTAAAAGGGTTTGTGGCAGAGAGTTGACAGATGAGGAAGGTATGATTTATATACAATTAAATACAGTAGAGCGCCGATTATCTGAACCCTTATTATCCAAAATCTTTTTATTTTATTTTTTTAAATTTAGGAATGCTTTTTTTTAAAGTTTAGAATACTAAGAATGCGAGCTTCTTTTTGACAGTCTACAATGGGTGGAATGTGGAAGGAGTTTATGAATAGATAAGTGCTGAAGCTCTACAATTGGGGGATGGGTAGTTGTCACTTATGGTTAATGATTAGTGATTACAGTGCTTGGAATCTTAAATCTTAGAATAAAATTCTTAACAGCAAAACAAACGAAACTGAAGTTTCTGTACCAGTAGATCTTCCGGATGAAAAGATGCCAGGTTATACAGCAAAAGAAATAGAAGACTGGTGTCGAGACCCTGAATTTCTAATTTTAAATGATGATGAAATTGTTGCTGAAATTTTGAATGAAAATCGGAACCCCACAGGCGAAGAGTAAGAAGTAGGTGATCAAGTTTAAGATAGTGGACCTTCTCATATAGAAGCATGCAATTTATTAATTAGATATTGCAATGAATTAGCTAGAACGTCAAAACGATGTTGATCTAGTTCAGTTGATTTATTTAAATATAATAAAGGATATGGCTCTTAAAAAAGAGCATCTTCTTTGAAACTTAAGTTTTTGTTGGATTTCAATGGAAAATAAAGAAAAGTGTGGTAAAATCAGTAATTGACAACAAAATTATAAAAAGCTGAAATATAATAAAAATAATTCAAAATGGGAAAAAAAATGAATAAAAACTATTTAAAAATTGAAAGAAAAAAACTTTTAAACAAGCCAGAGCTATTTTAGATATTATTACCAGTCCTAAGCCTAGAGAAAGTGTGAGGGGAAATTAGTGCATAAATAATAATTACTGAAGCTAGATTTTAAACAACTTTCCAATTATCCGAACCACGTTCGGTCCCGAGCAGCTCGGATAATCTGCGCTCTACTGTACCATTTCAGACTCTAAACAGGGCACAATATCATTTCAATCAGAAAAAATAATTCGTTGCTGCCAACTTTAATGGATTTTCCAGTAGATTACTGGATTTAGCTAGTTTCTCCTGGTTTAATTAAAATTCTCTTAGTTTTTGCACATTTTAGAAAATTCTCTAAAATTGAGTAAGTTTCCTAAAAAAATCCCTATTGAAATAAAATTTTTGTACACGTTTTTGCTAGCTTGCTTGTATGGTTGGAAGTATTACTAATACTTATTTAATTGAAGCGAACCTAATTTATAGAAATCAGTTAAAAATTATTTAAAAAAATCTTTTAACAATCTTTGATGAATTAAATGCCTATTAATATTTGAAATAATGAATAAACATAATACATAACGTTTCAAGTATGTTTAAGATCAATCATAAGTGAAATATATTGCTGTATTTTTATTTTGATGACTATAAAATTCCCTATGTGTAAAATATTTAGTAAATTATGCAACAATCATCGGGAAATTTATATTTCGTAAAATCTACTGGATTTTTTTCCTATTCATGTTGGCAGCTATGATAATTTAATTACCTATTTTTTTAGCAATCTAGTATAGTCATTGTTTTCTATATTAACAACTTGAACATATTAGCTAACCAGTTTACACATTTTTTAAAGATATGAATGACCATAATATGTAATTTTTATAATATTTTTTACATGTAATAAATGCTTAGTGATTACAATTTAGTTTTACAAGTGTTTTAACTATTTTTGGAATCATTTTGTTTAGACACTTTTAGTAGACAATCTAAAGATAGTTTTGTATTATAAATTTTCTGCTCCTTATTGGAAATCTTAATAACCATGACCATAATAAAACTTATGTTGTTTGATTTTCTAATATATAATATGGATAAAATATTTCTAAGTATTCATATATCTGAGCATTAAAAAAGTATTTTAGAAAAGAAAAAAACATTAATTGTTTTTTTTTATATATATATCTGGAATGTAGATTGCGATAATTTAATCCTACTGTAACATTCTAGCCACAGTTACTAATTTTATTGGTATGTTTTTAATTGTTATCATAAACTTGAAACAATGTTTCAACTTTTTATGGTTTGTTTGATAGAGCAACTTTCTATGAATGTTGAGCCTATATCTGAAGAGAGAGCGAGTCGCTGTCTGCAGAGAGTGGAATTATTAAATAAGATCAGGGAAGAAATCCTATGTCACCCTGATTTAGATGAAAGGTTAAAACTGTGTCAACCATCCATGGATTTACCTGATTGGTGGGTGTGTGGAAAACATGATAAAGATCTGTTAATAGGTGCTGCAAAGTAAGTTCTTTTTAAATATTAAAACTATGATTTTGCCTAAAATATGATTTTAACCTGCGTGCCCCACAATTAAAACTAAAAAATGTGAACTATTTTGATATCAGAAAAAAATAAAGCAGCCATAGAATTTCAATGAAAAAATAAAGGCTGAAATAATTTAATGCATTGTATCCAATATTGGGTGAAATTAATGGTTGCCAACAAGCGACTATATGGTGGTTAAATGGTTTAACAAGTGGTGATTAAAACATTAAGTGACAGTTTCCATCTGAGAGCGTTTTTCCGTTAAAATGGCATTTATTATTATTCAATTTAATTTATTATTTTATAATATTTTAGAAATTATTTTAAACCACGTGTGAAAGGGATAGTTTAAAAAAAAAAAATTTCGTTACTAGAATTTTTAAGATCAACATTTTTTAATCAAATAAGATTCAATTCTTTGTTATATCATAAAATTGTAAGTGATGATTGTCCAAGATTATATCAATTAAAGCTTACATATTTAATATGTTTTGATACTTTCTCATATTAGTACACCTTTTCTAGATTAGGCATATTTTGTTAAATTTTTTATTGCGATAACAGTGGTGCTTATGATGGCCGATCCCAACTAATTTTCACTGATCACATGCTCATTAGATATAATGCTGAACATTATAGCTATTTTTTTGTTTTAAGTTTAAAAAGGGTGTCTCATATTAGGAACTGCAAAAAATTATATTTGTTACAATGATTAACAGAAAAACACCACTATCTTTTAATTTACATGTATTCAGTTTATTTTTAACATTTTTTTCAAATCTATAATTTTATTTTAAGGATTTTTTTCTTTTAGTTTTAAAAAGATCATTATTAAATAATTTGTTTTTAAACTTGTAAAATTATTTTAGGCATGGTTTGAGCAGAATGGATTATCATCTGTTGCATGATCCTAACCTCTCTTTTAAAGATGTTTTAAAGAACATACCTAATGCCAAAGCTTTACAGATTGGTAACATGTTATCTACTCCTCTTGGTAAGAAAAACCTTTTTCTGTACATATAATTATATATTTATTGTAACGTACTTGTCAGATGTAATTTTCCTACTCTTTTTTAAAAAAAGTTTTATAAGTTTTCTTTTGCTGAAAATTGATATTGTGCATGTGCCAGGCATTAAAAAAATATTTATTTTATTTTTATTTATTTATTTTTTAATTGAATTTTTTTTAAAAATTCAAAGTAGATTTTTTTATTTTTCATATTTATTATTTTAAGCTAATAACATCTATTAACAATGTTTAATATTATAAAACAACAATATTTTAAGAAAAATACCTAGTATTTCTAACAAAAAAACCTTACTATAAAGGTACGATTTTATAAAGCTATATAGATAATTTGTTTTATGTATTTGAATAAGTATATATAATGTTCTTATATTTGTATTAAATATGGCTTAATATACAATTTTATCAATATGCTATACAGAAGAAGTAAAAAGATTTACAAGTCATTTGTAATTTTATAATCTATAGTGTAACCTATTTTTAGCTGAACAAACTGTTAAATTGCTCCTAAAAGTTTTAGAGAATGTTCCTAAAAGTACCTGAAATTTTTTAAATACTGTGACCCCTGTACTTGTATTTAAATAATAAGTATTTTTCTGCTAAATGAAAAATAAATTTAGATCAAGAAATGTTAAAAAATAAGAAACATTCCAAATTACTCTTTGTGGTACAACTGTTTCTTCATTATTTATGTATCCATACTACATATTTAACTCCTTGGGGACGGGTGATTCATAAAAGCATTCATACAAAATCAGAATCAGGATATAAATAAATAAAAAATGGTAGCTTAAATGTAGATGTGGCTAATTTGATGGACTTACTTTGCTTTTACTTTAAATATTGTTATTATATATAATCAAGATATATTCATATTTATGATCAATGTTAGTTCAAAGTATAACTAAATAATTTTATTTTGAACTGAAGTAATGGTGAATTAAATAAAACAAACAGTTATAACCCTGCCCACAAATAAACTGCTAAAGAACAACTTTGGTTACCAGTTTTATCTTTTTACCCTGATTGATACGGTTTTATGCTGGCACGCATTTATGACAGTCGGCGCGAAAGGGTTAATGAGTTTTAATTGCACATCTATTAAAAGAAACATAAAAGTAAATAAATCTCAGTGAAATATGTTTTAAATAGCTAAATACTTTACATTCAGATTATAAAAAATTATAATTTAAACGTTTCAAATAACTTATTCTATTCACAAAAAGTCTCACTAATCTTTTTTTTTTCCTCATTAATCTATTTTGGATATCAAATAGTAATTTACATACATTCCCTTATAAAAAGAAACCTTTTTATAAAACCTTCAATATCAATAAAACCATGATTTAAACGTTTCATAATATTAGGAATATATTTAATATTTGGTAAAAAATGTTTAGACTCAAATGGATGATTAAAAGAAAGAAAAAAGAATGCAATTTAAATCATGCTATCCCTTCAGAATCTAATCCTAAGCTACTTGATATTTAATATTCTAATTCTCGTTCTATTTTTCTTCAACATAGCAGTTATAAGTTTAAATCAAAGAATTTTAAAATAGCCACAAATAAAAACATCATAAAACACAATTCTGAAAAATTTTCCTACTTTTTCTTCCATTTCCTCTTCTGTTTCTGAGGAGGAGAAAATTTCTTGCTTTCCTAAAACCTGACCTTGGCACAACTGTGTAATTCAACTCATTCAATTTTGGTGTAGCAATGATACCACTCTTTATGAATAAAATGTTTGTTCATGTTTTAGTAAAATTAAAGCATTCTGCGACGATAAATTAGTTTTATTTACAGATTTTTATGCGTTCTGACTTGCCTTTTTTCAAGTAGGCTCTTTGCAAGTGTTTTGTTTGCGGAATTTTTATGACCACTGTTGTCCACTCCATTACATATATGAAAGTGATAAAGACCCTATTTCACTTACATCAGGTCATATGGATGTTTGTCTATGACATTCATTTAATAGCTCAACACTAGCAATCAGCTTATTTGGCTCAATAACTTTGATAGAAATTTAATAGCTCAACACTAGCAATCAGCTTATTTGGCTCAATAACTTTGATAGAAATTTAATAGCTCAACACTAGCAATCAGCTTATTTNATATTTTAAAGAAAATAAAGCTTGGTAAGTCTTAGTTATCTGTAAAATATTGTTCTACAATAGATTTTATTATGTTCAAAATACATTACTGATATTCTTAAGTAAGAACATAGAAAATTTGATATTAAAATTGAAACAGATATGTTAAATAGATATATTTTGATAATTTATCTAATTATATACATTTCCTGTAACCTAAAATTTGATCTAACATATTAAAAAAAGTATTTATATTTTAAAAACCGTGCAATTACACAAAGTTTATCAATTATTTACTATGCTTGTTTAATGTAATATGCATTAGTCATTCATTCAGTTTCATTAATTCTAATTCATTTGTCATGAAAAGTTTCACTGATGCTAGTTTTAAATGTTGGCTAGTATCCTGTGTCAATTGGAGGTTGTTGTTTTTTTTTGGTCAATTGGAATTTTTTAAAGTAATTTGAAACAGCAATGTAACTATCAACCATTCGTATTATTAGCTGATAAATTTAATAAATAATTTTTTGTCGTTGTCAAATAAGCATTATGATTTAAAAATATACAATTTCTGCTTCTACGTAATTGTAAAATCAGGTTGACATGTACTTTAGCGTATAACAATAATATCGAATAGGTCCTTGAAAAATTTGATTTTAGGTCCTTGAAAACTCCCTTAAATTTTTTTTAAAAGATTGAGTGGGAACCCTGTTATTTGATGCAATAACTTTGATAGAAAATAAATTGTATCTTGCTAAGAACTGTAATCTTTGTTCGAGCAATTAGATATTTTGCCATGCAATAGAAATTTTCGCTTCCATTTCTGATAATTACTAATGTACATCATGTCTAATTTATTACTTTTTTTAAGTTTAATACTCAATTTCTGTTACAGATAATTATTGTTTGTCTCATTTTCATTTGCAGGTTGTCCTAGTCCTCTAAATATCTATCATACAGACGATAGTATTTTATTAAAAGATGAAAGTGCCAACAAGCTGAAAGAAGAGCTTCCTTCTTTAGTAGATGATACTGCATCTAAAGAAACTCCAGACATATCATCCACAAAGCAAGAGGTTGGTGAGAGCTCTCCAAACTCTTCTGCTTCAAATGGAAACCAAAAAGACGCACTATCGAGTGATCCCGTAATTGTCAAATCTGAAGATCCCGACAAGGAAATAAAACGAGAGAACGATGAAGTCAAAACGGATGAGCCATTAAGCGATAAAGCTCCAGAGGTGAAAAAAGAGGAAGAAAATAAAACTCTGGATGCTGAGGTAAAGACAGAAGAAGTTACACCGACCGTGGTGGAAAAGAAGGAATCCGATTCCACGGCGGAGAGCAAGGACGAAACGGACACATCCAAGATGGAGGAGGACGATCCACTCGAGAGAAGCAACGAATTGAAAATTGATGAGGATGTGAAAATGGAGGATGAAGAAACGGACATAGAATCGGATGTTCGCAAGGAAGAGGACGCTGAAAAGAATAAGGATGCTTCTGTTGTGGATCCAGCGATGGTTGTGGAGGAGGAAAAAGATGAACATAAGTATGACTGTGATACTGACACTGAAACTAAGTCTAACTGTGATGCTGTGCAATCCATGGAAGTGGAAGAATCTCCCCTCCTCAAAATGGAGAAAGCCATAAACTCTGAAAAAAGCAACTTGTCAGAAAAATTTATGAAAGTGAAGCAGGAAGAACTGATGTATGAAGAGGGAATGCGTGATAGATTTAACATCCAACCCAAAGATGATCTCCACTCACATGATTCTCAAGTAAGTTACTTTTTTGGCTTAATTATCTCTGCTAAATGAGATTTGAAAAAGTTCCATGCCTCTTCTTTTTAGTGTCATCTTAAAGCTCTATTGATATATCTAATAAAAAAAGTTAACCAATATTTTGTAACAGCAAAAATGTATTAATCTGTAACACATCTGAGAAAAAATACAAAGTAGTTAAAAACAACCCTCATGAACAAAATATTATTCTGAGTCAACCTTGTGAAACAAATTGACGTTCGGATCACACATTAAAAACCATTGCCACTTAAAATAATAGCACATTGCAAAATCTCATGCTAACAAATTATCAAAATAGAGATTCTGTACTCATTGAAGATTGAAGTATCTAAATTTTTTTAAATTTGAAGTATCTAATTCAAAATCAAACTATGTAAATATTGATTAAATAATTTAAAAAAAAAAAAAAAAAATCTTAGATTTGCCTACTGAAGAATAAGAGTAAGCTGTATTTTCTTATGAAAAAATTACAATGTTTAACCAAAAATGGTATAGATTTTTTTCATTTTTAGTAAAGCCTATGAAAATATGTTATTGCTATTCAATTTGTTCTTTGTTTTACTTTTTATGAAAGCTTCCATTTTTCTTAGTTATTATTATTTTTTGTTGTTTATATGTTGTGTAGCATACATTATATCATTTAATATGCTTGTAACTTGATATCAAATGATGGAAAAGGGTAAATTTGTCAACAAAACAAATTTTGTTCATGAGTTTTAAGTACCCCTAGTATTTTTTTATTGAAATTTAAATTCGAAAAGTAACCATTAAGAAATGATGTCTACTTCTCACTCTTTTTTTTTTAAACTAATAAAAATGGTCAAAATAAAATACCATAAAAACAGTTTATTTTACTTTGACTGATGAATAGCAGATTTTATCTAGCTGTCACATTAACCATCCTCTCTAACCACAAGCAAAAAATAACTTCTTTTTTTAATTTGAAGCATGTCAAATTTATTTAGAATAAGTGAATTTATGAAATAAATTTAACATTTAGCTTGTTAATGTAGACATTATTAAAATGCACCTAATTATATTATTCAATTGCGTAAAATATTTTGCAGACTATATTGTGTATTGAAATGAATTGCAGTTATAGTACTGCTATTTTTTTTCTTTGTGTACAATTAGTTTTTTATATATATACCATATATAACAAACCATGTTTGTTATATATGAAAAAATTATGTTATATTTTATGGTTTGAATATTAATGTGCAGTATGTTGAATCAAATGTATATCGTATTTTTCGATATGATAAATTTATTTGATATTTTACTATTTTGTAATTCCAAACATAATAAAAGCGACAAATTTGTCTCCCACGCATATAATTTCAACGACATTTGTAGATCATTTGACAACAATTACACTGAATTCTGTTATTTAACTTTTTTTTTATTAAAAGTATTCCAATATAATGAATTGCAGTTTTTCAATATACTCTCCTTTTAATGATATTTCTTTTCTTTTAAGATGATTGCAATTTTGCAGGGATGCATGTCGCAAAACGACGATGTTATGAGCCAAGCAAGCTTCAATCTCGAAACAGAAATGGGTGAACCTACTGTAGCTCAACTTCTGGCTTTTACGAATGGCAATGCAGTTCGATGGCCAAAAGTAATTATATATTTTTTTAAAAAAATAATCATGGAAAATCATTGATTTAGGTTGCTGAAAAATCTAATATTTAAAAATGGAATCCCCGCCCCAATTTTATTTTATTTTATTTCAAATATCTGAATTTCTAACAAGATCCCCACTCATATTTTATTAAAATATAAAATGTTTCTATCATGCTCTGTATAAATGATGGTGTTCTTTCAAAAAATGAAAGAAAAAACATCATTTCTAGAACAAATTATCTTTTAAACTTTTTGATTTCAGAATATTTATTATTATTTATTTATTTTATTTTATCAATTTAAAGTTCTAGCTGAAGCAAGCCAGTCATTGGTGAATTTTTTTTAATTCCAAAGTGAGAACAGAAAAATCAGGAATATTTCCTTCCTGATGAGCAAGAAAAGTATCTTTAGAATATAATTCTTTAGGAAAGAAAATTATTTGCTTTGGTATTTTTAATTGCTTCAACTCTTTCTTTAATCTGATTTTTAAATTTAAAATCTGTAAATATGAAGATGCAGAGTACAGCAGTTTTGGTTATACCTATCATTTCAATTTATATTATTATAATGCTTTTTTAAATTTATTGTTGTTTTTGTCGGAGAAAATAGTAACTTCATTTAATCATGAAAAATTCTTGGAATTAGTCATGAATTTGATCTGATACCCTGAATCAGATCTGAAATTTAACAGATACCCTGTGGGTAGTGCAGTGATATGTGGGTACTAATGTTAACAAAATATTACTTCATTGCATAAATAAATTTATGTGTAATAACAATTGTGTGTAATGATGAGAAATTGAGTCTGTAACTTTTTATTGCAGGATAAAGTTTTGCAAATTCGACTAGAGCATATCGTGCATGCTGTGGAGAAAAATGAATGGCCAATAATCAGGCATACGTTTCTGCCGACATTTCCACCCGTTCCTCAGTCTTCTACGCCCATACCCCATCCACCCATTTCTGCCAGCCCAGTGTCTCATCGTACCTCTCCTGTCCCTAGTGTTTCAAGTCAAGGACAGAGTGGTGAAGTCACTCCTCAAGCAACACCCGAGCACACACCTCAGCGAGAAGTCATGCTTCCGGACATACCAACACCTACTCCCCCAGACTTTAGTGTCCTGCGCAAAAGTCCTCTTCACATTCCTCCACCAGTAATTAATACCTTTCTTTCCTAACATTTCTTCAATCTACTATATCTACTGCAGTCATATTTGTTTTGTGTGTCCATATTTTTTTTTTTTTTTTATATTTTNATTAAAGTTTTTTTTTTTTTTTTTTAAATTTTCGAAAGTAAAATTTCTAAATTAAATTTAATAAAAAATAAGATAGTACAGGGTGCATAGCATTTTTAAAAAGTGCTTAAAGGTGCTTATTTTCAATTTTTGGTTTTTAGAAGCCCTTTAAGATGCTTTTATCCATGGATGTTTTTAAAATGTACTCAATTTTCCCTTTTCCGAAATGTGATATTTTTCTTTACCATGTTGATTTTCGTCACAAATTATGCAAGAAGACATTGTCCTATTCAACGTTTTCACAATTAATGCAACCCCAATCTATTTCGGCTTACCGCTGGTCTGTAATGTATAAAAGCACCATTTGTTTTACATGTTTGATGCAATACTCATGGGTCCGCTCTTTCGTAATGAGCTGGATTCAGTGGTAAGGATTTTTGACTCCCATGTACAACCCTGCTGCATTTTGCAAGAGATTCTCAATTTCAGACTTCGTTTTCTGCCCTCTGTAATAGAATCGAAAAATCTCTCGAATTTTTGCTGGTTACGGGTACCAACTAAACGTTGTAAATTTTTTTCTCTATTATTGATAGAAAATTTCATTTCTCTTGTTAATTTCATCGTTTGTGACGCGCCATCATCTTCGTTACTGTAAATAAAACAATCAATTGTCAAAAACTTGCCAACCCTGTCTAATTATGATATTTTTCAAAGTGCTTAAAAATATTTTTTGAGTGCTTGAAAAGTGCTCCAGAGGTGCTTATTTTTTTTAAAAAATTTGGCTACGCACCCTATAGTAATTTAATAAAATATGAAATTTTTTGCTTTAAATGTATATTTTTAGTACAGAAATAAATGATCTTCAAGATATGTTGAAAATTTTTCTATTATTGAACAAATAACTTTTCCTTTTGCTGCAATCAGTTGAATTGGAGAAAATTTTCCAAAAAATAGTTTAGTTTATAAATTGTAGTTTAACTTAAGTTTTTCTTTTTTAATTTTTTAAAAACTATAATTATATTATATGATACCAAAGTAATTTTTCCTAAAAATTTATTTTCATTGGGTGCATTATTTTAACTTTTTATGAAAACTAAAATCTATGGGCATGTTGCGTGAAAGGCTTCCTAAGCACCCCCACATGTATTATGATAAACAAAGGAATAAAAGCACAAAGAATATTGAAGAAATATTTGACAACTATTTCTATTCTAATTTTCTTTGAGAATCAATCAATTGTAAGAGAAATACATGAATGGATCAAGGATTGCAAATCTTTTTTGATTAGTGTGCCAGTTAACTAGTAATTTATAAAAATCAATTTATAACACCTTACTTAAACTATTAAATAATTCTTTAAAACTATTTAAATATTTTTGTAATTATATTTTGTAATTAGTTTATTAACTTGCAAAAATGTAAATTAAATATACATTATTTAAAAAAATATTTTAGTTTGTTATTAAGAATCAGACACTCAGTAAAGCAATAAGGTGATTAATTTTAATAGATTTAAATTTTTTTTTGCTATGAAAAATTAGGTTTATTAATTCTTTTCAAAATCTTACAATAATTTGCTTTTTACCATTTAAAATAAATAATTTATCTTTGAAATGTTTTCTTAATTTACTTTTTTAGTTCAAAAATACAGAAACAATATGGCAATAAAAAACAACTTTCAAAGAGTTTTGATGTTTTTAATTTTTCGCTATTTTTAAGGAATTGTTAGGTTATCAAAATAAAGGTCTTGTCATTACATAGGTTTTTTTTTTCTAGAAATTCTATGAATTCCATTTTCAAAATGGCAATATCCAGCCACTCAGAGAAAAAAAAATGTCTTTAATATTACCCACTTAAGCAATGTGAGGTATTGAAAAAAAATATAATAAATTTGTTTTCTCGAAGTATCGAAATTTAGAAAATTGTGTTTTGTCTGTCTTTGAAGAATATTTTCTCAGCAAAACTCGATGACTATCCAAAGTGCCCCCTAAGCAAAAGGAAATATTTAAACTTTCTAATGCTAGTAAATGTTTTAATATCATTATAAATATGCTTCATCGGTATACATTGTTCCCATAAGTTCTGATAATTCTTTCCCCCCCTTTTTTTTCTGTTGTAAAATTCATTATTGTGCACACGGAATTCACTCCATTGAGGTTCTATTTCCTATAAAAACTTGAAGAACTGTTGATAATTTAGTGCATCTACAGATATGAAGTTAATAGATAATTACATGATTCATAACAGACGGAACATTTTAAAATGACTTCTGTCTAGCTTTCTCCTGGAATGGAGCCTATGCTCGTCCTTCTTTTTGAAAAAGCCTTTAATTAATAATTGTTTGCTCAGGGTTGCCACTCCACAGGGAGAATAGGGAAAACCTGGAAAATACAGGGAATTTAAAAATCACCTAAAATAACAAGAGGGAATTTTGAGTTTTTCTATAAAAACTGGGAAAATACAGGTAAGTTTGTTTCGAATCTTCGTCTTTTAAAAAATGGTAACCACTCAAAGTGTGATCTATGGGATATTTAAGGATGATATTTCAATTTTATTAAACTAGTTCATTCACTATAGCATTATTTGTTTTGCTGTTCCTTTTTTCTATTAAGTTTTTTCAGAGACAAGAGCACAGTGATTGTGTTTTCCTTTTGCTGTATTGTGTATAACATGTACAAAGAAAACATAGGGAATTTTTTTTTCTTTTTTGAAAATTACATTATTAGTAATCGAATAAAAGTAATTTACTTTGTATGTGCGTGCTGTTGTGTCCTATCTAATGATACACTTGCAATAAGTTTACCACCTTTGTTCTATAGAATTAAGTATGTAGGTATAAGGAATTAAATTCATTAATAAAAAGCCTTTTTCTTAAAAACCACCCTATAATTTTTTAAAAATTGAAATTAAATGCAGAAATAAGAATAAATGTAGAAAGAAAAAACAGTTGAAGATCTATTTATTAATTGTAACTGTGCCATTTTTATTTTAAGGAACTTTTTTCAAATTAGCTAAAACAATATGTTTAAATATATTTCCTAATCTTATATTTCTTACTTATTAATAAGGAACTTTTTTCAAATTAGCTAAAACAATATGTTTAAATATATTTCCTAATCTTATATTTCTTACTTATTAATAAATTTTAATGCTATTAATATTTTCTCTCGTTAAAAATTGACTTAATGCAATGAATTAATAAATAATAATACTTTTTAGCCTGCTGCTGAAACTTCTCGTCACAGACGTAGGAGAAGACGCAGACGATTTGAAATTGAAGCTGAAAGAGGTACCCTTTTTTTAATCTCTAATTTTTTTTAAATGTACAGTCAATTCTCAATATAACTACTTCTTTTAGTTCAAACAAAAACAGATGTTAACAGATTATATAGCAAGGTTGCTATATTGTGATTACATAAAATACATTGAAATATTTGCTCATGTTTCATAAATGCTGGATTTATTTTGGCAAAAATATGCTATATTTTAAATAGAATTAAAATACTGACTAATTTGCCTTTTTTATGTCAATAAAGTAAAAGCATTATATAATATATTAAAAGTCAAGAATACATTTAAATCTTTTCAATTGTGATCCTTGAATATACTTTGCACAAACTATAGACATTCATTCTGTGTTTTTTCTAGAGTTTAAAATTTTGCTTCTCAAAAATGAGGTCATGAAATTAGAACACTTTATTTTTCAGCCTGTAGAATTACATAATGATTTTTAATTTTTGTAAACAATCTGCTTTTCATGATCTTGAATAAAGGAGCAAATTGTGTTATTTTTCGATTCAACATCTTTTAAAAAATTTTAATTTCTGCTCTAAGTATATAGTATTATACTGGTTAGGAACAGCCATTTTCGCTAAATAACATACTTCCAGAGAACGAGCAAAACTTAAATTAAAAAAGAATGCCAATAATGCCATGTGTTTTAACTTCAGAGTAAACCTCTCACAATACAACAAAAAAAAAGTGAAGACTCTTTTTCAAACAAGAGTAGCATGATTGGTGATTATATTAAATCATTCTAAAAAATATTGTAATGTTATGATTATTTGGAAATCAGAGTTTCCTGTATAATGTTGCGATATACACTTCAAATTCTCTATAAAGGTAAGTAATCTCTATTTCACAATTCTTTTGACCAAGGCTTAGAATAGGCGATCCTCAAGATCAAAAAGAACTCAAGATGTTTATTGCGTAGTAACATGCAATTAAAGTAGTGATAAAATAGTTTTCTTGAGATATTAGTTGTTGATTGGCTTGTTCTCAATAAAAAAAGTTAGTTTTGAAGGAAGGAAAAATGTCTTACACCAGTTTTTGGCATGATTTTTCGGGGGGAAAAAATGAAAAAAAAAAAAGGTGTTGGTCACTATATTAGAAATAAATTTTAAGTTAGGACGTTTTAATGGGTGTTATATTAATATGGCGTATATTAAACAACAAAACGGGACTTCTCATGTAACAGTTATGATGGGAGAAACAGACTAAAAGGTTAAAGAGCGTAGACTATATTTGTAAGATTTTTTTATTATATTTTTTTAGATAACCTTGATTATTTAAAATACTTTTCTTTTCTTGTAATTTTATGAAGTGAATATTTTTAACTTGTTACTATATGGCACTCACTTAATTTGTTGAATTCTGATGCCCGACTAAATAGATTCCACTAAATTTGTTGGTTGTTATTTAAAAATGCTCTTTTAGCCTGTTTAATTATGTCAAAATTAATTTATTAAGAAGGATTAAAAACTTTTTCAGCTAAACTCCGTCAGCTTCTATCTCATAACATGCAACAACAGCAACAGCACCATCAGCAGCAACTTCAACATGTTCAACAGTTTTTGGCATCTTCACCTTTAAGGAGTAAAATCTGGGACGATCATGTCGAGAGCAAAGTACCGAATGTGCCTTCTCCTTCGTCGGCTGTCCCCACAGTCTCTCCCACAATACCCCCTCCTGCACATCAAAATTCTGCTCCCCGACTTTCGACGACAATTGGGACTTTAGATCTTTCTGTGAAACCTAACATTACACCACCTACCCCTTTTACTCCTTTACCAGTACCACAGAAAGCCAAAGTAACTCCTCCTGTGGAATCACCATCTAATGTCGGTGGGTCTCCCACTTCTCCAATAGACTTAAGTGCTTCCTCCAGCGGCACAAGTGGCGTCAGCCAGGGAAACCCAAGTGCACACCCATCTAAAGGACGACCCAAGGAGAAGAGGGGTGCCAAAGGTGGCAGTAGAATAGATGCCTTGGCATTAAATCTCCAAGCACGCAAGCAACAGCAGTTGATGCAAGAGCAACACCATCCATTGGCTGATATTGGCTCTATGGTTGAAAGGACAGTTGATAAGAACAAAGACTATGGTGAAATGGAAGAATCTCGTTCTACCTCCTCCAGGCATCATCATTCTGAAAGAAGAACTGTCGAAGAGGAAGAAATTAAACTTAGGAAAAAGAGGGTTTGTTATTATCTTTTTGTTTGTTATTATCTTGTAGTTATGCAAAAGGTTTGAACATTTGCTTGTTTTTAAATTGTTGAGGAATATCTTTGTTTTAAATAATTCACCAGGGTGTATAGCGTTTTTAAAAATAGTAAAAGGTGCTTATTTTTTATTTATGTTTCTTAAAAACCCTTTTAGGTGCTTTTTTTATTTGAGGTTTGTAAAAAGTGCTTAATTTTCTATCTTTTAAAAAGAGATTTTTTTCTTTGCCGTGTCGATTCTAAATTACAAACGAGGAGAGAGAAAACATGATTTTCACAATAATCTCTCTGCAAGGGCCTGGTTGGTAGGTTTGCACAATATTCTCAATTTCAGGCTTCATTATCCCCTCTCTGAAATCGAACCGAAAAATCTCTCTTATTGTTAATGGTGACTAATATAATCAAGAAAATAGTTTTTTTGTCAGAAACTAGTTGTTTTATCATGATCATGTAAAGTCTTGGAAAATTATTTTGCATTTTGTTAATGTATGTAGTGCTTAAAAAATTGAAAGATTTGGCTACGCACCCGGTTTAAGATACTAGTGATATACTTTCTCCTACTAGTGATAGTGAGAGGGGTAAAGAAGTCAAATTGAAGAGGAGTTTGCTTTGTATAAGTTTAATATGAATAAATTTGTCAATGAATTTAATAAAAAATTCTCTCTGTGTAAAATTGCTCCAAATCCATTAAATAAATGTAAAGTTAAAAGATCTAAAAGGTTTGTGTTACTAAAGAAAAAAAAAATGTGCCTTTTAGGATTTTATTAACAGAGGAAGTTTACAACCTCCTATATAATTTAGTTTTGTATTTTCAATGCATCACTGTGAAATATACTAAAATATTAATTGTGAATAACCATTGATTGTAGAAGTAAATAATACAAACTTTGTCCTCCCAACAGTTGCAGTACAGTGAAGAATCAGTGAGAAAAGCTTTAAATCGAGGATTTGATATGCAGCCTGTACCTGCTCACTCTTCATTTATGAATCCATCATCATTATCGGGAAGAATGAGTCTAGGTATTTTCATTCTATTAAACCTCAAAATTTTTTTAAATTCTTTTATTTTGTATTCAGGATATCTGCGCACCTGGATGCAAGTAATGAGAAAGTCATGAATTTCGGTATTGTACAAAATTTGTCATAAAATGTCATGCTTTTAAGTATTTAAAAAAAAAAATCAGGAAAAGTCATGAATTTAGGTCACTAAAAAATCTAATATTTAAAAAGGGACCCCCCCCCCCCNTTACAAGTTTAAAAATCGCACTTTTTTGTCAAATTTTTGTTTATATATATATATATATATTTCTTCTTTTTTTTTCTTTCTTTTTTTTCGTTTTTTGGATTTCCTCTTTTTTACTTTCTGACTACTCTCATCCCTGTCTATAAAAATTTATGGTGTTCTTTCAAAAAATGAAAGAAAAAAGCATATTAAAAATTCAGTTATTGGCGGCTTTCTATTGTTCTGAAATGAGAACAGTAAAATCAGGAGTATTTCTTTCCTTTTCGAAGAACAAGAAAAGTATCTTTAGAATTTAATTCTGCAAAAAGAAACCAATTGCTTTTGCATTTTTTTCAGCTATTTTATTGCTTAAACTCTATTACTCTCTTTTTTAAATTTAAAATCTATAAATATGAAGATGCAGAGTGTAACAGTTTGGTTATACCTATCGTTTTAATAAATGTCATTATAATGCTTTTTTAAATGTATTGTTGTGTTTTTGTCGAAGAAAATGGTAACTTTGTTAAGGCATGAAAAATTCTTAGAATTAGTCATGAGAAGTCATGAATTAGAAGATCTAAAATGTAGCAGATACCCTGTATATTCAACATTTGGAATTTTCTTCATATTTATTATTTTTCGTAACTTTGTTAACATACAGATATTCCAAATACTACTGATTCTCTCTCATCTCCCCTGTCACTAAGAATATAGAACCCATTCTGTTGAAAATTCCGATTTTAATAGTTTCTATCACTAGTTTATAGCGTTATCAGCCATTTCCTATAGTTTTTAAAAGTTTGATATTTTAAATAGGTTATTAAAATATGCAAAGTTTTCAAAATTTAAAAAAAAAAAGGCTAATTTTTACTGTTAATTATTTCATTATGTCTTAAATTTGCTGTAACTCATTTGAATATGTGTTTTAAAGATTACGTTCTTAATTTTTTAAAGCTCGTGTATTATTATATAAATGAGGTAGCTCTTGAAAGTTTCACAAAAGTTTAAGAACTGGACCCTACTGTCCTTGATTGCCCCCTCAACTACAAGTGAAAAATATTTTTTTTCTACTGTAGTATGTGTTTAGCAATGCAATATTTTAAAAAGTGTTGTTTTTAGGTTCAAGCTCCAAATCTGAAGAACATTCTGGTGGCAATAACCCATTATTGGATCCGTCTTCATTGATGCACCATGATTTTAAGAAATGGATTGATGAACATCCAGAATTGGTGACAGCTAATCCTAATTTGGTAGCGGCTGCAGCGGCGGCAATGGCTTCATTCAGTCCAGTGTCATCTTTCCCCTCTCATGTAAACCACCTTCTCTTTTTATGAATTATCTCTATAAATCTAAGGTGTCCATCCACCTGGAATTATCAGCGATTTTTTTTTTTATCCTGAAAAAATCTGAAGAAGTCGGGGGGAAATTTGGATAAAAACCTGGAAAAGTCAGTGAATTTTAAAGAAAGGCTTGAATTTTTTTCTGAATTTAAATTACAGGGTTGCCATTCCACAGTGAGAACAGGGAAGACCTGTAAAATACAGGGAATTTAAAAATCACCTAAAATAATGGGGAAAATGCTGGAAAACTAAAAACTGGGAAAATACAGGGAATTTTGTTTCTTATTTTCGTTTTTTTGAAAATGGTAACCATTCAAAGTGCAATCTTTGGATTATTTAAGGATGGTATTTCAGCTATATTAAACTTGTTCATTTACTATAACATTATTTGTTTTAAGTATGTTCAGCTGTTCCTTTTTTCCTTAAGTTTTTCCGGCAATTATAACTAGTATAGTTAGCCCAATATAGCTCATAGAAGAGCACAGCAATTGTGTTTTTCTTCTTAATATATTGTGTACAATATGTACAGGGAAAACACGGGGATTTTTTTCCAGATTTGAGTGGCAAACTTGAATTATTTTACTATCCGTTATATCAACTTCATTTAGATGGAAATTTATCGTGAAATTCTCTCCATTATTACCCTGCTGAATTAGAATGCGATATGAAGCTCTCCCAGGTTGCTAAATGAATGGCGAAATCTTTTATCTCGTTAGAGATTGATTATGGGACTATGCTGTTTAGGAAAGGCAAAAATTGTGCTGGAAGTGTGGAATAAGGGGCTAGTATATTTACTTCTGTTTATAAAAGTAGTTCATTTTACTACTACAATAATTGATTTTTGTGGAAAATATTAATTTCTAAGAAAAGTAATAATAATAAGGAATGAGAAACAGTTCAGTGAAGCCTCTTAATATATTAAATTGCTAAAATATTTTTAATCAAGAAATATATTCAAATAAAAGCAAAAAACATAATAATTAGTAAAATTATTCAATATATATATAACCTGTATGTTTTATGCATATACTTAGCTAATATTTATTTTAATTATTGAATAATTTTGAGGGTTCTGCAAAATATTTAGTATTTTTATAAAAAATTATTTTTTAAAATTTTTTTAATGTTTTTGAACTAAGTTTAATAGTTAATGTTAAGAACAATAAAAAAATTTTATTTTCAAAACTGTATACAATAAAATATGATCAAGAATTGTTTCTTAAATTCTCAAAATGAAAAAAATAAACGCATTTCTTTCAACATTTTTTAAAAGACTAAAAATTATGAATCTTTTTTTTTTCTAAAAAATATAATATTAATATTTTTATGTCATATTTAAGCTTATAGAAGACAAAATTAATAAATAATTATTTTACTATATTTGAAAAATTTGAGTGATATTTATAACATAGTTACAAAATTAAAATTCAATCTATAATCTATTAAATTGTAATAAAATGATTAGATGCATTATAGGGATGGCTTGTTCTAAAAAATAGGAAGGTTCTTTCTTGAAATTCACAGCAATGTAAAAATTCTGTTGATTTGCTGAAATGTATAGATGGACAAAGAATAAAATCTCAAAACATTTTAATGTTATTATCCAAAATAAAGTATTAAAAATATTTAAAAGTAAATGCAGAATTCATTCTAACATTCCTTAACTTCAGGGCAACTTATTCATTAAATTCTGTATCTGTCTGAAGTAAGGTCATGACTTACATTGACCTTCTATATAGCTGACCAGCTATATAGAATCTGGTATTGTGACAGATTGCAGGCTGATATGCTGCCAGACTTAAAACATACTTTTTTTTACAGCAAAGTGATATGGTGTAGTTATTTTTGTTCATACATTAAAGATAGTCGGTAATCTTCATCTAAATTATTATTGAATATCTCCATTTGTTGAACATGTTTTGTGTGGTGGAAATACTTTTATTTTTTGAAGCTTTGGGGAAGGAATTTATGTAATTTCTTTAAAGCATAGGGAAAATTATATTCTTCAGTATAAAATGTATTATTGGTATCTATTTTGTTATTTCCATCTTAAATACTAAATTGGCTGCTCGTTGATGTGGTTGCACTCACTCTTATGATAAATAACCAAGATAGTTTTCCAGGACACAGTTGAAAATAGGTTTACTAACATGGGGATTCTTTAGTCTTAGAGATAGTCAGAGTCTTTAATGATTGTTTCCTATAAATCTACTTCATAAAATGCGTTAAATCGCAAAATTCGGTAAATAGGGGTTCGTTAAACGGGGGTTTGACTAAAGTAGTATTTTTCGTTAGAAATAAATTAAAACTTTTTTAAAATAATTTATTATATTTCCTGGTGGGAACACAATCATTTCTTGTTATTCTAGAGTTATACTATAGCTGATATTTCATTTTTAAATTCTTTAACAGCTAGTAACATATTTACACTTCAGTTTTCAGTGATGCTTGTTTTACATTACCTGTAGAGATAAAATCAGCTTTCAAATATTTAAGGAATCAATTACTAATTGTATTACTTTTCTTATTCATAAAATATTTTTATGTATTATATCTTTAAATGGGAGATTTATATTATTTCAAATAAGACCTTTTAGTAGGGGGGGGGAAACCAATATCCGGGCCCTGGGGAATCAGTTTCCAAAATCTTGCAAAATTATCTTGATCAAAATTATCTTGTTCAATAATTTAGATTACCCAGTTTATCCATATTGTTTATCTCAACATCACATATCTTGGGTATAGTTTAGTCTCCTCTCGCTACAAAGTCTTGAGACTGTCTGCTGCTATGGAAACAAGAAAAGCCACATTTCAAAGTAGGGAGCTTCTTTCTCCCCTGATTTCTTTTCTCTTGCTGACCCGAGTCAAAACCTGTCTTAAATAATGACCCAACTACTCTAAATAGTTAAACCTTGTAACCATAGTCACAGCCACCACTCCAGACGAATGGCTATGGGATTCCTTTATATAGACAAACTATACTAAGGCTTTGAAACAAATATATTTGAAAATGTTTTTACTTATTTTGGTAGGGCCTCATAAACGAAAAAAAATTTTTTAAAATGCCTATTTTTTTTTATTTTTTTTAGACTGAATTGTTGGAATTACCCGAAGGTAGGAGAAGGGGAAGGAGACCACGATTGGATCCTACCAAACTGGATTACGATAAGGTCACGGGGGAGGAGAATGTTTCAGTTATCAACAGGCTTACTGGAAAAAAGGTAACCTTCTATTTCTTCATGATATCCCTAATGCTCAACTAAACTATTACTGTAACATAATCAATTTTACATGTCACTTATATTTGAATAGTGGAAAACAGTGTTCACATGATTTAAATTATTTGATGTTTTTAATCAATTTAGAATCATGTTTTTAATCAGTTTTAAAGAAAAACCATCGATTTAAACCAACTAAATCAGTCATCTGAGGACGACTGCTATCCCAGATGTCTGAATTTCCTGAGGAAAAAATACCCTTTGAGTAATTGCAATGAAAATGTAACTAATTTTTTATACTGAAAAGAACAAATTATCTGGGGAGGACTACTATCACTGAAGTCTGAATTTCTTGGTTTTCTGAATGGCAATAAAATGATACATTACAGCTTAACCACATTTCTTCTTCAAAATTTAATGGAAAAAAAAAATTTGTATTCCAATTAAACATTTTTATTTTCTATTCACTTTTTTTAAATGATGTTTATATAGTAAAGCATAGTGACGTATCTTTCTAAAACTTCCTTACCACCCTTGTAAATGGAAGCAAAAAATGAAATCCTTCGTTCCATCTGATTTCGTTTACGAGAATAAAAAAATATATAAGTAAATAAATGAAGGGGGGAAAAAAACTACTAATATGAGTCTATTTTTCCCTGCAATCAGTCTAGCAGAGACTGACTTGAAGAAACTTTCATTCTCTACATTTTCTTGAAATTTCTTCTAAATTTCCTTCCCCACAATTATGTCATTCCCTTTGGGTTTCAGACATCAAGAATTGGACGGACAACTGTTCGTTTTTTTACCAGGAAGAGAGTGCTGTTTTTCAGTTCGCAAACTCACCACCTATATCTGGTTATTAAATTATTATTCAAAAGTGTGATTCGAGATGAAATAGTCCTGTCTAAAGCGGGTTATTAAATTATTATTTTTCAAAAGCGAGGTTCGAAATGAAAAAGTTGCGACTAAAGCGAGTTATTAAATGATTATCATCCAAAAGCAAAATTCAGAATTTGCGGATCGCAACAACATTACATTAAAATTTTAAAAACTATGTGGAAATTCCAATCTGTTGAAAATGTTAGGTGGATAATAAGATGAAACAAGTGCATCAAAAAGTAATTCTACAAATGCGCAGTTTGAAATTTTCCTTTTGTGATAATGCATTATTAAAAACCATCAAAATGCACAGAAATAACTGACAATAATACTATTGTGAATCTACGTGAAATGGTGAGTGAATCGTCAATAATTGAGTGGAAATGAATAATATTGTATCATACCAAACGAAATAATACTATATTAAAACGTTGGATTTTTAAAAGCCAAGTGAAAATCCGTTTTAATAACTACCGAAAAACAATCTTCAAAGCTAAGGAGATTTATTGTGGAATTGTCGCTAATTGAGAAATGATCAATACTAACTAAAATAAGTGATTCAGAAATATCAGCTTGTTATAATGGCATATTAGCACAATAGAGATTTTAAAAACCATGTGGAAATCTGTAGCAAAAATAAGGCAACCACCCAAACCAAGTGGATTTATTCGTCGTTGATTATAACTGACATTAATTATCAGCTTTTTGTTACATTTGATTGAATAAATGTTTTGCTGTTTGATTACTGTAAGACCTTAAAATCTATTTTCCGGACATGCCGGACTCCCAATGATTCCGGATATGGGACTTTCCTCTGTATATATCTATGCTGATGAATGTGTGTGTATATGCGTATATTTATATATATGCATGCATGTATGAATGTATATATAATTTCTTGTCATGTTAAAGTGTAAGTGATTAAATCCAATATTCTTTCTTACTTGGTGGACCTGTTTTCCCTTTTGCTCAAAATTTTTTAGTTCTGTTTTATTTTTGAAATGAGAGATGTTTTATAATGTTCTGAGTATTCGAAGATTTTCATGAAGAACATTTGAAGATTTTGAAACAACATTTGATTTTTTGAAAGTACTTAACAGTTTATTAGGATATTTGGATAAAATTGAGTTTCTGTTAATTCTAATTATTTTTTAGCTATCTAAGATTCACTGTATAATTGTATATGTATATATACAATTATTATAATTAACTATATATGTATACATATATAGAGAGAGAAAGAACACAAACACTGAATCTTAAAAAAAAAATTGAGGTTGATGATTTTCTATAAGATGATACAAACAAGCTCTTAGTTGATTGAGTCCTAAGGGAGAAATTTATGACGAGCAGGCATGTCATGAAAAGCATCTGGTTTGAGATGTTACTTTGTTCTACGAATTTTTATGTTCTTACAAATCTATTGCTTTTGTAATTTATAGCTCTTTTTAATCATTCAGTTGAATTGCCTTGTTAGAAATCTGTTATTGATATTCAGAGGATGGCTGTTTTTTGTGCTCTTTTGACATGAAAAATAAAAATAGCCATAGTTTGTTTGCTTTTGTAAAAGAAAACTTTAATGTGTACTATCTTGCTGAAAGAAATTACTGGATTTCAAAATGCACAAGTAATTAAAAAAGAAATTAAAAAATTCCTTTTAAAAGATAGCTAATATGGCAAGATTTTTTTACCCATATGAAAGTTAGTAAAACAAGTGAATAATTCTCTAATTTTTATAAACAAACGAGTAATTTTTAAAAATGTTGAATCTTAATTATCAGGAAAATTATTTCTAAATTATTTTCATTATCTGAATCTACTGGAGAAAATTAATATTACAGACTCAAATAGCTAATAAAATAATTATGAAAGTTGAATATTATATGTTGTTGTGACAAAAATCTTAAGAATTACATGCTGATTAAATTTATTTTATCTTACTAATTTTCTATTTCTCTGAAAGTGATGTCATTTTATTGTTTCTTTTAGCAGAAAAAAAAAAGCACAAGGAAATTAATTTGAAATAAAACAATATAAATAAGATCATTCCTTTTTTTCCTTTTTACAGAAGCTTAAGTGTGTGGTTTATCCTTAGCCGCTTAGTTTATTTTTAATCCCTGCTTTGCACGCTTCTTTTTTTGTAAAATCTCATTTTAATTTGTGTTTCCTTCCTGGCAATTGTATTTGAATATGTTCTCATCAACATTGCCCTGCTTAGTTTTAGTCATCATATAAATTTAAAAGAAACATGCATATTTACAAATGATCTAACTATGTTTGCGCTTTTCACGGCATGGTGTATTTTATGTACAAATTGTTAATGTTATTTTCCAGTTGTAAGTGGCATTACTTAAAATTTCTAATGTAGTTGGTTATTTGTGTCTTTTTTTTTTCTTTTACTAATGAAACATGCTGACAATTTAACTTTTTTGCTAATTCTTCACCCTAACATCTGATACAGATAACTGGAAGCAAAGCTCCTCCTTTGAAGTACCTTGCTGAATGGTTGGACAAAAATCCTATGTTCGACGTTGATCCGAAATGGGGACCTTTAGTCCGCGAAAAGGTGCTTTTTTGCTTTGCATGACACTTTGTTGTTCCCCCTTGTCCGAAAATACTCTTTCTTTTGCATGCTTATAGAATCACAATGCCTGCCAAAAGAATGATTTTTTTTTTCTTTTTTAAATATTTGAAATGCTTTCTTGCCTTGAACAGAAAAAACAAACAATTGTTGTATAAACAAACTTAGATTTATTTATTTTTTTCCATTCTATATTAGAAAATTTTCTGGATGTTTTATTAATTTTATGTGCATGAAAGTTGTTTATTTAAATATTTTTTTCTTCATATTCTTAATTTTATGTTAATTGCAGGGTAACCTTCCCAACAACATGTCTAAACGCATAGTCACGCCTTCAGAGAAAAGAGGCCGCAGAACAGCCGCTTCTCTCCTGGCTAGTGCACATCAAAATGTTGTACCTCCCGTCACTACCATGTCTTTCCCGTCGACTGGTTTGAATCCTTTGAATTTTGCCAATACTGGAATGTTGAGTGGTTTTCCTAACATGAAGTTTTTTATGGATCCTCCTAAATCCAATGTGTCATCCACTACCACTACGCCCTCCACTTCTAGTACTACCACAAATCCAATATTTTTGCCTTTTGGTGGTCTGGCCGGCATGGGGCTGACAAATCCCCTTTTTGGTTTCCCAGGATTTAACTTTCCTGGGCTTCAAGGATCGTCTGGTTTGGCGGGAACTCCCTCATCTAAAGAACATAGCAAAGATACTGACAAATCTCGAAGTGAAAAAGACACTTCTCGTAAAAACGCCTCATCTAGTGCTACCTCTGTTAACATGAGTGCTAACGCTAATCTGCCGCAGTCCTCTTTACCGTTCTTGTATCCTCCCGGTCTCCTGTATAATCCTCTCGGCTTGGGAGGTTTCACGCTTCCTCCCAATCTTCCAGCATCATTTGGCTCGTTCACCCAGAGTGGTTTGGTGAATGGTCTGGGGTTGAGCAATCCTTTGTTCACCACGAGTTCGCTCAGTACGAGTCTCAGCTCATCCACGGCCACCGTCACCACTCCTGCGACTCACGGTATTTTATCATCCACACCGTCATTAACGAAGGCTCACACGTCCCCCGGTAGCAAGGTGCCACCTCCGAACCACTTCACGGACGGGCAGGAGACCGACGACGAGAGCCTCAAGTCTCTGATGGGTAATCACGAAGACGACTACGACGACCTGGACGACGGCAAGATGGAAAGTTTTGACAATCCGGACAGCGACAAGGAAGGGTTTAGAGACAGGCAGCAGTCGAGTCCTGTCAATAGTGTACCTCTTAAAGACTCTGAAAATGTAAATTTAGCAAAAACTAATTGTGAAAATTCTAGTTTAGAATTATTAAGCAAATCTAGAGGAATGCACGACGACCCTACCTCAGATAGTACAGACACTGAAAGCAAACATTCTTAGTGATGAGCAAATAAAAGAAGAAGAAAAAAACTGTTTGTGACTGTGATGCAGCTGTATATTTATTATTATTTCACATTTTTCCTTCCATTTGTGATTATGATTGTGGTTTCAAGAATGAAAGGGAGATAAAAAAAAAATATAAATGTTGAGCAGTTTTATGACGCAGCCCCTGTATAAAAGCAAATTTATTTATTTAAATCATAATTCCCATTTTTTTTTTTTAATTTTAGTAAGTGTGGTGTTATTTTAAGTTCATATTTTTACTATCATTTGTGATGTGTTTTTAGTGATGTCCATTTAATGGTAATCACATTTTATTCTGAATCTGGAGTACAATCGCTAAATAAAAATTTTACTTTATACTTCAGTGATTAAACATTTTTAAAATCGTACCAAATTTATTAATTTTCTTTTATCTTAAAGGTAAGAAAATATGTTTTCAAATTTTATTTATAAGCTTCCAAAATTCAACTTTAAAAAAAAATAAATCATAAAAGGGTTAAAAAACTATTCTCATTTGCATTGGTATTAATTCACTCATATGTCGTCTACTTTCATACATTTTTGATATGTTGCTGCTTTTTGTAGACCTCAACATTCCTACATGAATATGGTGTTCGCGTGTACTTAAAGAGAAAAAAACAACAAACAAACTAGAGGTTGCTAGTGTAATATTTATGGCTGGTATATTAGTAAATTATGAAGAGCAGTAATGTTTACTGTTGTGCAGTTTTAGTAATGCAAGCCTTTTGTAAATAACCAACTATTTTCAAACGGGCAGCTTATTTATTTTGTTACAGGAAAGGATGTAGACCCAGAATTACATTATCATCTCAAATGCATTGGTTAATATAAGATATTTAATGAAAAGAAGGAAATAATTACTCAGGCAAATACTGTTTCCGGCCGCGACAGTCAAAGTCTGTAGATAAATTAGGTCTGTCTCATGCTGTAGTCCTTAAAGAGCGTAAAGGGAAAAAAAATTGTATAGCCATCATCTGTTGTGTTTTAGCTGTTAAATAAGTTAAAAATTGGGATTACACATAATTGTATCATCTGTATCTAGCTATTTTAAAGCGGGAATTTTTACCTTTTTTTGGTTCGATACTTTTGCTTAACGTACTATTTTGTATCTTTTTCCTGGTAAAGAATTGCTGTTATGATCCTGCTGTTTTGTATTCTGTGAATAACTTGTAATATATATTTTGCTATATCTGTCGTTTGTGTAAATTGTAACCTTCAGCAATTAAAAATCATTGGTATTTGTTTCAATCAAAAAAACAAAACAAATGTTGATATTTATTTTACTTATGTAACATATTTCAGCCAAAAATATTGCTGTTATGAAACCTAGATCAAATTTTCAAATCTATTCTAGACATTTCGCAAAATGTGAAATGTTAGAATATATTGAATCATATGGTCTCTTCAATTTTGTAACATGTCCAGGATCTCCAGAATTGTGCATTTAAAATATAAGTTGCATTACTATTTAAGTACAATTGCATAAAGTAAAGAAAAGGCATAAGTTTTTAAAAATTATGATGAAATTAATCTTAATTGCGTTTAAGAGCATGAATCAAATTTTGGAGATAGCTGGCCTCATTTGTACAGACCTGTAATATGATTTGTTTTGATGGTGAAAAAAAAAATAATTCTAGGCACATCCCCATCCTTTTTTTTTATTTATTAAATGTCTTTCATACCTGAGTAATGTAAGTCACAAGTAAAATAAAAAGGGGAAAATAAAAATAATAAAAATTTATAGTATCTTCCTCAGCAGTGCCTTGATCACATCTCAGGTGGTGGAACAAAAGAAATGGTAGAGTAAAGAGAACTGCCACCAGCTGGACACAGATACAAATTTTTTAAAAATTTTGTTGGGGAACACCTAATCTAACAACTGCCGTCTCCAAAAATACAGTAGTCATAAAAATCTTCTTCATGAATTTTGATTATTAATAAAATTTACTCCAAAAACTAAGCTACTCGAAAATTATTCTATATACGTGTGGCTACCTCTAATTCATATGTTAGTGTTTCAGTTATTTAAATATGTTTTTAGATAATTGTTTGATATCCAAAATATAAACCAATTTGCATGGAATATAACCAAAGAAAATAATTTTAATAATGAAAAATGTTTAATTTATTTGCCAGTTGTTATTTCTTATTTTAAGCTTTGATTGAAATTTAATTGTTTAAAAATTGGGCTTGGATTACTTTCATCATTGTAAGTAATTTATGTTTTAATGCTAATTGTTTTATAAAATTAACCAAAAAGAGAAACATTCTTAACTCTGTGAAATATGTCCCCTAAAAGAGCATATTTTTCTGTTTACTTTCTTTTTATAACTTACTATACAAATCTTGTAAAATTTCTTGTGTTTTCTTTGATAATCGCATATTACTTTTGAATGCTACTGTATTTATCTATATGTTAAAGAATCTAAAATTGTGACGATTAGGAAATCATAGATTTCTGTGTATGCTTGTCTGAACCTTGTAAATTTTTTTTTTTTTAGTATAGCATCACAGTTAAGTTTTTTTTATATGATGAAAACAACATGTTAGAAAATTTTTAAATTCAGTGGTGCCAACTATGTTAATTCTTTTAGTACTAAAATACAATATAAAAAAAAAAATATTTAAGAGTACTATATGTATTAGAGATTCGCATTTTATTCACTTACCCATTATATTGTCGCATGGATGCCGGCAACAGCGTTATGACTGTAGAACATGAACTATATGATTATAGAATTACGAAACTCTTGTATAAGCTGTAAAAAATCCAAATTTCAGAAATTTAAATAACTTAAAACAGTACGGGTATGGAAATTTAATTCTTTTTAACTAATTTTACTTCTAACAACATAAGTAAATAAAACTAGAAGAAGGGTAGAATATTGCTTTCAAAATATTTCACAGAATAATATTTTTAAAATGAATTAAACTTTGTTGTTGATTTCTTTGAACAATAACAAAAATGAAATATTTTTGAAATTATATTTCACTTTATTTTCTGCAGGTGTTCATACAACTTTCAATTTTGTGTGTGACTATCGATAAATTTCAAACATTATTAGTGAAAAGGTTAAGGAAATAGTTCATTTCTTTCTATTCCAGGAGTGAAACTGTCCAAGTTTTTGCAGATTATGAACTTGAATAAAATAAAAAAATCATTGTTAAAGCTTTTAAGGAAGAATATTTATAAATTATCCAAAATAGGGGAATTTTAATTATATGATGTACATGAATGGCCGGAAGATTATAGAACTTGAAGCCAAATTTGTCTAGCGACAGTTTTGAAAGAAGAAGAAAAACACAACTTCCATATTAGCAATGAGAGATTTTTGTTTATTGGGCTGTTATCTATTGAATATTCTGGAAAATTATCTGGAACTAAACTAAAGAACAATTTGTTGTAAAAATGTCACCTTTGGAATGGGGCTTATGATTCTTCTATCAAGCTAAAGTATCTGTGGGTGGCATCTCTGACATGGAAGAATAATTTGTTAATAGTGCAAAATTGTAGAAATCTTAATCTTACTTTGAAAATTTTAACATTAGTGTGCAACGGTGCCTCCAATGAAATTCACAAAATTATTTTTGAAAATTACCAAATTGTATCTAATGGCACAGTTAAGGAGGAAATTTTTTAACTGACTAATTCATATTAAAATTTAGATTTTAAAACTACTTCATATCTCCAAATGAGTGCTCATATTCTTTAATGAAGTATCACTCTTTGACTAGTTAATTATTGAGATATTTTTAACACTTAATGTGTTGGACTAATGTGGTAACTTACTCAATCATTTTAAGAAGTTCATTAAATGAAATACTTCCTTTTAAATATTATTTCTCAGTTACTTATATTCTCGCAAGAAATATTCTTATACCTCTTTATTAGTTGGCATCTATTTTCATTGAATAAGCTTACATGTCAATTTTTTATTAAAAATGTAAACTAAGAATTTTATCATACAAAAATGTTAAAATCTATACTTTTGTGCAGTTGTAACATAATTCTAAGCCAATTTATTTTTAGATTCTTTGGCAGATGTGGCAGTAATTTTTGATTTTAACAAGTCACTGTATGGCTAAACTGAGCGCTCTTAATTTTGTGAAACAAAGAAACTTTATTTTCCCCCTTGTGCTATTCCTGTAATAATAAAAAACGAAAATGGTTTTTCTCTCCCTGTTGTATAAAGTTGTACAAGCATATATCATTGCAATAAATAATCTGAGAATGGCCACTTCAATTATAAATCCATTCTTCAGGTGTGTTGTGAGCGGGTAAAAAAAAAAAACATTGTAGCAACTATTCAGCAGTTGTACATTTGCTACATTAAATCATTGTAGAAAATGGAAGTTTCTTTCTCTATCCACTACACTTTTCATGCCCCTCATACACAGTTTAATTTAATGATGATGGAAAAGTTTCCATGTTGACGAAAAATTCAAGGTTCAAATTTGAAACATAACTCTTTGAAAGAAAATACAGTACAGGACCCGTTATCCGGAAATCAGAAAACCGGAACGAAACTCGATAAATTTTCCCGCCATTTTTAAAAAAAAAAAAAAAATTCCTCTTAAGATTTTAGGATTTTTCTTTATTTTTTGAAAGATGTTTACCTTACCATCATTATGGAAATAATCATTAGTGCATTACTTCATCGTTTTTTCTTTTTAAGATTATTATTTTCAAAATTTTTTTTTTAGTTTGGTTTAACAATACAAAAAACTGCTTTTTGTAGCGATTCAGAAAACCGGAAAAATCAGTTATCCGGAATAGCGATGGTCCCGATCGTTCCGGATAATCGGTTCCCGACTGTACTAAGCTTTTAAAATTTTGATTTTGCACAAATTATTTAATCTTTGTTTTGCTTTTGTCATTTGAAATAAGTGTGAAAAAGAAATTTATACCGTATAATGGACAACTAGTCATCTTTTCATTTTGTAATGTAGCGATGCTAACCGAGACTATACCAAACATAAATATTTGCTACAACTAAATTTCAAATCTAAAATATCGATTTTGAAATGCGCTTGTCGTCTCTCTCACACAAAGAAACAAACAGAGCTTGTTACATAACAGAAACGATTGAACATTTTTTCTATCTTTGATTACAAAAAAAAAGTTGAGGCAAATATTTGCAGAGACAGTTATTAATTTGACTATATATTATGACATAAAATGATCTAATATATGATTTTTTAAAGCTTTTTCCCAGTGAAGTTATCAATAAAAAGCTTACTACATACTATAGGACAAAATTAGGAAATTTTAAATACTGGCCAGTCATAGCATTTTTAACAGTGGACATTAGGATTAAAAAACTTGACATTAATAACTTAAAACTTCACATTACAAGGTTCATTTCTCAAATAAAGAAAAGGGGAAAGAAAAAAAAGGCACGCTTGAAATTAAGTCATTTCAGAATATTATAAAATATTCATAGCAATTCTATATTTATAATAAAAATGGCACACATAGTGCATTTTTGATGATAAAAGTGGCGACTGGCAACATTTTTTTTAATCGCCATTTGTTATATTCTGTGGAAGGTGGTCACTATTAATTTTGCCTTATATCTCACACTACTGATATAGACGCAGCGTGAAAGAAATGTTTGATAGGCACATAGTTTTTTAAAGAAGCAGTTTTATTCTATATGCCATGCATTTTATGCAGCATGTAATTTTTATAAAACAAAATCAGTACAAAAGTTTCGTTGTATGTACCGTTGAACCTGTTTATCTCAAAAACCTCTATATTTCTAAATTTCCCTACTGTCTAAAATCAATGTATTTTCCATTTTTATGTCACTTTTTTTTTTCAGAACCTCAGTTTCTCGAATTTCTAATATTAGAGTCCAAATATCAAAACTTTATCGGTAGAATTTGCAAACAGAGATGAATTTGTGAACCCACAGGAAGTAGGGATGAACAGGTTGGGGGTGTTTCTTGGAATTTCAATTACTATCCCTGCTGCACTTCCTTAACTAGAAAGGAATGCAATGATTCTGGCAGTAAATGTGGAGTGACCACCAGGGGTTAGCTTTTCAACATAAGTAAGAAAGCTAGGAATAGAAATTCATTTTCACTTCAAAATTGTAACCAGTGGACCAAAGGATAATTGAGAGTTTTTAAGTGAACTATATAAAACCGTTGGTATGGCATCGATAAAAAAAGTTCTCTTTCAAAAATAAAGATGTTAGATGTTATCAGAATTACTGTTTTGCCTGGAGAAATGTGTCTCTAAAAACTATCACAAATGGTTTTAAAAATAGCTGTGAAGATGATGTACAGTCCGCAAAAAAAAAAAAAAAAAAAAAAAAAAAAAAAAAAAAAAAAAAAAAAAACGAATCACCCTGAATAACTTTTGTTCTAATGATCGGATTTTCACGAACTAAGTGTCAATCTTAGTGGTTCCTAGGGGTGACCTCAAATATGTTAATTAATTAGTGCTAACTAGTAATTAAGTTACGAAATCAGACACTAAAACGTACTTCCTCTGAATAAACATGCATTTTTTTTTACACATTTGGATTCTTAACCTTCAAAATATAGGGGGTTTGGTCAGGAGAGCGATCCAAAGTTCGTACCCCTTAATCAGAGCCGTTTTTAAGGATGGGCCCTGGCCCAGGGCCCCGAGTTCTGATGGGGCCCCCGAAAAGTCTAAAATCTCATTGCATTAATTGTTTTTTTTTTTCAATTCCAACTCATTTATTATTTATAACTTAAGAGGGCCCCAACTTACATTGTCGAATGCTTTTCAAAATCTAATTGAAGTATTTACAAATATAAAATAATTGTTACTCTTCACTTTTCTAACTAAAAGAGCAATAAAACGCTCTTTCCACTAATGAAAATATCCCCACCTTCATAGCTACCACCCACAGACAGAGTTGTCAAATAGCCTTCTCACTTTACACTATGAGAAAATGTTTTTAGCTTCTTTATATTGCCTTGGGGCTCTTTTTTCCTAACTTCGGAAATATCAGATATCCACAGAAACACCCTTTTGTCTAATTTCTGCTCATAAATTTCTAGGAAGAAAAAGTTTCTAGGGCTGTAAATAGGGGTAGGGTCTTGTTAGAATTCCTTTGGGTCACTCTGTCTTGAGATTTCCATAGTGCCTGTTAAATTGGGCCTCCTTCAATTCTAAATTTTCTTTCTTAGAAAATTTAGATATTTTTTTCTAATTTATTGTAAAAGCTTTTTTTTTTCATTGAATCGTCCTAAATGTTTCAACTAGCCTAATTGTTTAATTTACTTAATTTTTGTAGTTGATTTTATTTTGTTATTTTTCAAAATAATCGTAAGAGAATCCGTGAATTGGAATTTTTATCTCAAATTTTCGTAGGATATTAAGAAGACATAAATCTTTCACGTTGGCGGTAAGCAAATGTTTTTATTATATCAATTTTGGTTGTGGTTAGAGAAAACGTGAAAGGTTTGCTCAGTTTTTTATATATACATTGTGAATTTTTTTTGTTTATTTATTTAAATGGCGGGCCACTATTCAATTCCCTCTTTAACTGGCCTGTCTGCCAAAACTCTTCATTTGGTCAGTTCTGGATGAAATTGAGATAAAAAATGTAATTCTATTTAAATTTTACTTACTGCTAATAGACAGAAACAACATAGATTTTGTTTAATAGAGCATTGAAATCAAATGATCATCAGCTAAACAAATGTTTGAACACAAGAAAAAAATTGTTTAAAACTCCTGCATGACCAAATTTTCCATGTTTCCCTTAAATATGAAATATGTTTAACTTGTAATATTATATTTCGTGCACTAAATTAACTTATTTAGTTAGCTTATGATTTTATTGTTTATTGATCATATTTGTTCCTATTTTTAACTCCTTGATTTTTGTTGTTATTATGTGTTTAAAGTTAATAAGGCTTCTCAATTTTTTAATTAATAAGGCTTTTAAATTTTAAAATCAAAGTCGAAACAATTTCTTAAAATTGCAAATCGAAGCTATATATGAAATTTTGACAGTTTTGTTTTTATTTTAAACATGTGCATTTAATTTAATAAAATAAAAAAAATGAAAAAAAAATATATAAATAGATGACTGAATAAAATAAAAAACTTCCTTGTCATATCATCTTTTAAACAATTTGAGTATTAATTATTTTATTTAAAAATAAGCAAATTTTTAGTTTTAAATGTAAA